ACCCACGCGGTCGCAGCGCTGGCCACCCGCGAATCTGGGAATCCATTCGAACGAGCAGGGTGGGGAAGGGGCATGGCATGGCATGGCGTGCATGGGCAAATGTGATCGGCATCTAGGAGGAAAGGCTGGATCCTCAAGGATGGAGAGTGGAGCTCGAGAAGCGCAATGTATTGCACGATGAATACTGTGACCAGCTCGGTTGGTGGTCCAGCTAATCAAATCGTGTACCATAGCAGAGAGTCTGTCTACTCTCCTCGTTTGGCCTCGATCTTTTCTTCTTGCCTGCCGATTCTCAAGATAGTAATAGTAACGAAACGCTCAACAAGACGAGGGAGAGCACGTCATCTCATCATCACGTAGGCCTTGGAGGTTTAATGATCCAATCTCGGTGCTGAGCTCGAAGAGAGATTGATTGGTCCACAAGGGACCAGAATGAAGAGCGAGAATGGCACGTGAACTGGTCCCTTATCGCAGGCGGTGTGATGGGCGACGATGCGAGGTTGGCAGAGGGTCTTTCTGTGCTGATGATGTCGCATTGAATCCACTCATGGTAGTCAGATTTACTTGGTACCCATCTCAGCGTGCTGTTACTGCTATTTACTGTACTAACTGCCCCAGGCTTGGCAGGTACGGCGGCCGTTGGTGCCATCAACCCAGGCAAGAAGGTGAACAGTGCTCCTGCCTTTTCCCCGCTGCGGGCCGTGTCGAGAGAAAGTTGGCAAGGACTCTTGTCTAGGCCGTCCTTGCCAAATCCAGGCACAAAGGAGGGGTTCAGATGGGCTGAATACCCACAAATGACCCAGCCAACATCCGCGCTCAAGCGCTAGAGGCGCTAAAGAGCGCTAAGACGTTCCTTTCCTCGCATCGAAACTATTTTGGACGAACCTGGCTCCAGCAAGAACCTAAACATGAAAGACGATGCCACATATCGCGTCCTCGTCCAGCCCCAGCTCTTACAAACTAACCTATCAATCCACCCACCCACCCAGTGACCCTCAAACTGTAGCTATCTTCCATCTGACGATAGACTGATAGACTGACTGACTGACAAGCTGGCAGCCTGATGCTCCATCGTTTTGGAGACGACAGCCTGTCTCCGTCCGATTGGTTCTTTCTTGGCCGTGCCCCTTCCCTCCGAGAGAATTACACCGAGATGGAATGAAGGGAACATGGATATACGTATATACCTCTCTCTCCACCACGACAGATAGTCGCTTGTGGACTCTGGCTTTTCGCAGGCACCGGCCAAAAGGATACAGGGAGTTTGACATGTGCACCAAGGATAGTCAGCTTCCTCGACCCCTCTCGGCCTGCCTCACCAGAGGGCTGGCCAACCTCGGCCGCGACCAACACCTTGATTTAGTAATCGAGACCAGCTTGTTTCTCGATCCTTTTTTTCTTCTTTCTTTTTCCTTCCCCACGGAGATAAAAGTGTCACCTACGTCCATGCTCACGATGTGCCAGGATCTAGACGGACAGGCCATCCTCTTGGGCAGTCCAGACCCCAGTCCTAGGCACGCTCCCACCTTTTTCTGTTGAGAAGGCAAAGCGACGGACCTTCTTGCGAAAGACGTTTTCGTCTCTCAGACTGTCATCTCCTGTCTTCCTCGGACCTCTCCGCGTCGGACCTCACGCGATTCTTGGGTAGATTTCATTCTGGGACGATAGCATGGCAGAATGGGCCGTGGGATTGCCGCCATCAACTCCTTCAGGCACATTCCTCTCGCCAACACCACTCCTTTCGCCAGTGGCCGAGAACGGGCTAATCCATCGATAGACAGCCTGGACCATGGGGTCACCGAGACAAGCTCTAGAGTCCGCGGATCCACCGGCACTGAACTGCAAGGAGATACATCTTGCGCCGGGCTTTCTGCACGACAAAGCACACACACACACACACGCCTCAGCACGCCGACTCATGGATAACTGAGATCACGAGCCATGTTTGCCACTCCGTTGGTCTGCGTGAGGGCCAATGGAGTGGCAACAAACCTATTTCAATGCCGAGATGGGCTGGGATAACTCACGATGACTGTACCATTTCAATATCCTACCAAGTCGGCCCGCCGTTGGTGATGATGCGTTGGTGGGACGCACGTTAGTAGCTGCTTCGAAAAAACTTGCACCAACCCGTGTGTGGTAACCTTTTTACACTTAGAGTGCTCGCCGCATTCCATGGATGTCTCAAAAAAAAAATAATGTACTCATCACATGTCATGGCTTTACCAACATGTCAAATGGACATGGACATTCGCCTACGGCCTCCGGCTCGCCAAGTGGTGCCGTAGTGATCTGCTGTCTCATGGATCTGGCTTTGTACAACTTTGAGCCTGTCAAGCTATGCAAAAAATCAACACACCCTTCTGTCTGTACTGACCACGTTCAGTAAAGCAGTAAAGTCGAAGGAAGCGAGTAATATTTGTCGGTGCCTTAGAGATGTGTTTGCCCCCGACTCTCATCTTGCTCGGTTGCCGTTTCTTTCTACTGCTAATTCAATTCTTTTTCCCTCCCGTCTCGACTCGTTTCGTTTCGTTTCGTTTCAAGTACGGCCTGCAATTTTATAACCACCCTCCATCTCCTTCCTGCAAGGTCTGATAATCAACCCCAGGCGGCCGCGCATCTGATGTGGGAACTGGGGTTGTCCACCTTGGTGCGGCTACGGCCGCCCAATTGGTTACCGTGATTGCGGTCCGCCATCTCGAGGGAGCTGCTGCACGCAGATCTCTCCTTTCATGCACACACTTTGCCGAGGGATCAACTATGCGCCCGCATGCTATACTTGATTGAGAACATCCATGTAACAAGCCTCCAGGGATTTGTGTACTATGGTACGACCTGGATGGAACAGCAAATGTTACTGCCTAATACAAACTCGGACAACAAAGGCTGTGAGAAGATACTGGCGGGTGCAAACAACCTTTTCCCCTCTCCCTCCAAGACTTTACACCCGCAGACGTTTTGTGACAACAGCGCCTCGATGGATTCATCTTTGATCAGGCCGGGTTACAAACTAAATGTGGTGTCAATCAACTTCCAAGTTTAGGGCACCACCAATTCGGACAGACAGACCGGCCTCTACCATAGTATAAGCTGACTGGTATTCACGGGAACACCGCTGGGGGTTTTACTTGAGATACACTGCCAATCCTGCTTCCCCATCAACTGGTCTCAGAAAGACCCGCAATACTTACATCATGATGATGTTCTCTTACAAAGCATCTCAGAAATAAGGGTACTCATGACCCAATTCATTACCGCTTGATGTAGAAAGATGGCGTGTGGACCTCCTACCACCTTGGGCCATACAGCCCGCTGTCAAAAGATGGGAGGCGGGGAAGGGAGGGCCCAGTGTACCATAGTAGAGAGGGACAAGCTGTGCGGGCCCGTAAGCTGACGAGTGGCAGCACGCAGCAGCAGGGCCACACGGCCACCCGACCCGGCACCACACATTGCTGACGGCGTCGAGCATCTAGATGAGACCTTGCGGCTCCCAGGGACATTTGGCTTCTGACTAAAAACAAAACCAACCAAAAAAAAAAAAAAAAAAAAAAAAAAAAAAGCAAGGAGGAATAGGGCAAAGCCTGCCCCCCTCTTCGGAGGTTTGTCTATCCGTCTGTCCCGAACATGCCACGCACAGGTCCCGCAGGTTGCGATCGGCACGCGAACATCTCCATCAGGTAACAAGATGTGAAGACTACGAATACCCTCGCCGACATGTGTGAGACACATCTCTTCACCCTGCTACCATCCTGATCCAAAGAATCTTGATATTAGCTTTCCTCGTTCGTCTCATTGGACCCGCAATCGCCAGAGGCAACATTTCTCCCTCACACGCCTTTCCCTCCTTCTAGGCCAACTGCACCACAGCACAGCACAGCCTGACCCAAACTCGTCTCAGAAACCTAACCGCCCAACTTGGGCTGGTCATACAAATAGAAAAAGAAACAAAATAACCACTCCCGGGCCCGATATATCCTCCAAGCCCAGCACGCTCACGCCCTAGGCTCCTCCCGCGTCTGAAGTCTTGCCTCCTCCTCCTTCCCTCCCCCCTCCACCCCCCTCAAAAGGTCACATCCTGCGAAGGATTCAAAAAGCCTTAGGCCATTCGATCGACTCCTGCTGACAGGCCCCGACTCAACTGGTACTATCTCAGCAGCGAATTAAGGTACAGATAAAAATCAGAGAGAAGGGTAAAAAAAATAAAAAATTAGAAGAAGAGGGTGTGGTCGATCCGGCTGACGCGGCACTCACACATTACCTATTCTCGGCCGGCTGTATCTAGCCATTGCAAAGCAGCAGCCCTAAGATGGTTTTTTTTTTTTTTTTTTTTTTTTCCCTCTAAAAGGAATATCTAAAAGGGATATAAAGAAAACGAAGGGAAAAGGTAGTAGGACAAGAGAGGATCAGCGACAACAACCTCTGAGCCGCCGAGGCCCCCCTTCGCTTACCTCATTCCGAATGATCTTTGCACTGACTTGAGCATACTAGTGCTTCTTGCTGCGGACTCGAGAAACTCGATGTGCTGTTTGATGAAGTTAATGCTGATTACGGACCGTGCAAGGATGAGGATGATGAGCTGCTGTATAAGGAACTCTTAGAAACATAGATATAGATAGAAACTGGCCCAGTAGGTGGACCCGGCCAGGCCAGAAAGACAGGCCCGCGACTTGGTGCACCTGGTAATACAGGTAAGAGCTTGGATCCAGACGCGATGACGCGTTGTGGATGGTGCGTAATACATGCTTGTATGTAGATTCAGTCCACCGTGAGCTGGAAATTTCAAGTGCACGGGGGAGAGGGGACGCAAAGAAATCATGACTTTTTGATTCTGGGTGACGATCCGACGAGGGAAAGCATATTCGTACGTATAAGGTAGACTAGAATATGAACACAGAATATGGAAACACAGAAGAGCCTGATGACGATGATCATCATATGATACCGGAGGCAGACAAAGTCGAGTTTCCATGATACACACACACACACACACACACCTTTCCTCATATCCCGGCTTCCTGCTCCTCGTCCACACCCGCAACCCCCTCATCATCCTCGTCGTCCTCGTGTGTAACATAAGGAACGAATGTGAATAGTACGAAGTTCACGCCGCTGCCCTCGGTCTCCACCATGAATTGCAGGGACAGCACGCCCTGCCCGTCGCCCCTCATGCTGACCTTGCTGGAGATGCGCATAGCTTCGATGGCCGCCTTGACCATGTCGAACTTGAAGCTCTGCACGTACTTCTCGCGCACAGAAAACGTCTCGAGCAAGTCCCGGCCCTTAGCGAAGTCCACGCTCGACCCGCCCAGGGGACCCGCGCACGAGAGTTGCAGGTAAGGCTCCTGCCTGCACGCCATCAGCGTCAAGCGCGTCGGGTTGGAGTGACCCATCTCGAGCAGCGCGTCCAGGAGCAACCTGCTCTGCATGATTACCTTGAAGCCGATGTCATCTCTGTTGAAAGGGATGTCCTGGGGCGCCTCGGGGAGGTAGGTCGTGAGGTTACATGTGGTGCTGACGCCGGATTCTTCGAGGATGATGCTGAGTGGCCCGCCCTCCTCGGCGTACGAGAGGATGCAGGTGCCCGTCATCCCGAGGGTCTGGTTGCTGAAGGCGTCAGGGCGGTAGTTGCGGAGGTTGCTGCGGTAGGGATCTGCCTCTGCCTTGGCCTGGCGAGCCGCGGCGTCGGACGCGCCGAAGATCTGGAGCGTTTCGAGAAAAGCGGCCAAGGAGACCTGGAAAGTTGGGCACGTGATATCTTCCTCATCATCGTTCTCGTTCCGGGGGACGTCGAGGGTGAAGCTGGTGAAGAGGGCCTTGTTTAAGCTCGCGATGCCTGTTGCGTATCCAATTCAGTTAGCTACGTGTCGTGATGATGCGGATAGGGTATCTGCCAGACTTGCCTTGCATCGCACGGGCCTGGTCGGCTGAGAACTTGATGGTATCCTCGCCGATCTCCACATGGACTTTGTTCGTGAAGGTGATACACTTGAGAAGTTGCTGGATAGGTTTCGTCGAGCTGGCGACCGCCCGGAAGATGGGCCCAGGCTGGGTAGGATTGGGAGCCGCCATGACTGAAGACGGAAGAGTGGAAATCAGATCGAAACAGGATGGTGGGAGGTCATACACAAAATATCAGGACGCAAGTTTCAGAGAAATGTTTTTTTTGCTTTAATGTTGTTGCTATTGTACAGCCTCCGAAGCCGCTCACTCACGACGACCTCGTAGTGGTTCCTGGGTATCTCACGAAGTTGGTGTAGGTTTGCGGATGGGGATCTCAGACATAGACGCCGACCGCGCAGAACATGTAGACGGTTCCGTACCTACAGCAGTTCAACTTGTTAGAAAAGGGTTCATCGTAGGTAGGACACGAGAGTTGGAGGCGGACATACGCGAGAGCCAACGAGGCTGGGATACCAATAACTGGTACGTTGACCAGAGACCGATCTGGAGCATTGGTATTAGCATATAGATAGAGGGCGTCTTGGGGGAGCGTTCCCGTTCAATTGACTTACTCAATGCGAAGATGCCAAAGAGGGAGAGACCTAGAAGTAGGAGGATGGAGGCGATGAGCAACTGAGTGTTCTTGCCAACTGTTGGTAGGAAAGGGTTGCCTGCAGCGGTTGCCCAGACGTCGACCAACTTGGAATCCATGGGCTCAGATCAGAGGATGTCGTTGATGTTGCTTGGTGATTGAAATTGTCGTGGAGGCTATGATGACAGTGATGATACCGCCAAGCTGTTGCTTTGTTGGCGCTGGGGTCTATTGCAGTCCAGCGTTCTTCTGCGAATTTGGTTGTTGATTTGATTGTTTTCCTCAAAACCAAACCATACCTGCAGAAGTGGAAGCTGTCTTCAACGCCCTCCCAACTTCACCACCTGGCAGCTTCGTGGCCCCTTGTCAATCCAACCCATGCAAGTGCACCCCCTACCCCTTTATCGATAAGGGAAAGCGGATACTCAGACCATCCTTCACCCTCACTTTCAACTCTTGCTCCTCAAGCTAGCTCCAGGGCTCTGTTAGGGCCTCCACTTCGCCCCCACCCAGCGGCTATCTTACCGTTTCCGCGCGCTTGGCATCCTCAATGATGGCGGATCCTTTCTACCGCGGCCCTCACACCTCGGGCGGCGCTTCTGGCTACAGCGGCCCTGGACTTCCACCGCTCACCAACTTCACCGGCACCATCGACGACCAGCTTCAACAAGCCAAGGAGTGGCGCGACCAACGCCAGCGAGAACAGCAACCAGCACGAGCACAATCACAAACGCGACCTCCTCGACGACGAGATCAGCGACGCCGCCCAGGATCGTCGCGTCCTAGCCCTTCATTCCCTCCGTCCTTCTCGATCCCATCCTCGTCGCATCCCGCCTCATCGAATGCGCCATCACCGAGCCTGACCCCAGCTCATCTGTTCCTGTCATCACAACCTCAACTCTATAATCCTTACCAGCAGAACGACACTCCTCGTGGTGCTGTGACTCACGCACCTCCTCCACCTCCGTCTTATCCTCCTCCTCCTCCACCACCACCACCACCACCTCCTCCTCCTCCTCCTCCTCCTCCTCCTCCTCCAGCTCTTGCTGGCGCTCATCAGCTCTACCACACTCAGTCGAACGCCTTCCATAATCCCCACCGTGGTTTCGCCTTATTTACCGACACCGCAGACTTCGCACGACCCTCCTCTGCTGCCTATACCCTCCCACCTCACAGTACTGGGTCTAGCTCGAAGACCCCACCACAAGAGGGCCCCGCTACGGTTGAGGATTCCTTGAAAGAGGTCATATCCGACAACGACGAGGACTGGTTGGCCTGGAAGGCTGAAGTACTTGATAGGCGTCCGACCGCTGCATCGGCTGCCGCTCTTGCTCGCAACTACGTGCCAATCCCTCCTCAGCCAAACACATCCTTATTAGCTCCTGGTCTTTCCGTTCAGGCCAATTCGATCGAAACAACTGCTGCAAAGTCTCGAGAGCCATCCGAAGCCCCCCGTGTCGCTTCTACCACGTCATCTGGGGCTGGGCAGGCGACAGAAATATTTGCAGACGACACTCAGTCAGCCAGTGCTGTGTTCACACAAGATTCTGTGGCAGTAAACACAACCACTGCTACTAGAAATTCATCTATCATATCGTCGGCAATCAATTCGCCCTCAGCCACTTCACCTGCCGTGCAAGGTATATCGAGCGCATCTTCGGTAGTCGATCTCCCGCACGAGCCACTATCTCTCGTGTCACTGTCAATCAACGAGGTTTCACCGGGCAAGATGCACATCGACAGTATGTAAAAAGACTTGTGGTAAACCCTTGTGAGGATGAAAACAAAGTATAGCTGACATGAGCCATAGAGGGCAAGCGAAAGGCCAGTGAGGACCCGGAGTCTCCTGTTGCTGCTAAGCGCATTAAGCATGATGACTCAGCCGAGCCCGAGGAGCCCAAGCCGCTCAAAGTGCCTGCTATTCCATTTCCTGAGAAGGTTAGTGAGAGACTTTTTCCATCGTGCCCTCAAGGCGGTATTGCTGACTTATTCATTGCCAGGCTGGTGTTCTCGAGGAGCGTAGTGGCGAGATCGAGTTTCGTGTTGTGAACAACGATAACGAGCGCGAAAGCCTGATCATCCTGACCGGCCTCAAGTGTATCTTCCAGAAACAGCTTCCCAAGATGCCCAAGGACTATATTGCACGCCTCGTCTACGACAGGACGCACTTGTCGATAGCGATCGTCAAGAAGCCTCTCGAAGTCGTGGGTGGCATCACCTTCAGGCCCTTTAGGGACCGCAAGTTTGCCGAGATCGTCTTTTGCGCCATCTCTTCAGACCAGCAAGTCAAGGGATACGGAGCACATCTAATGGCACATCTCAAAGACTATGTCAAAGCTACGAGCCCGGTCATGCACTTCTTGACCTATGCCGACAATTACGCCATTGGCTATTTCAAGAAGCAGGGGTTCACCAAAGAGATCACCCTCGACAAGTCCGTCTGGATGGGATACATCAAGGACTACGAGGGCGGCACCATCATGCAGTGCACCATGCTGCCCCGGGTCCGCTACCTCGAGACGGGACGCATGCTTCTTAAACAAAAGGAAGCTGTTATGGCCAAGATCCGGGCCTTCTCCAAGTCCCACGTCGTCCACCAGCCACCCAAGCAGTGGAAGAACAGCGTCACACCGATCGACCCCATGAAGATTGAGGCCATCAAGAACTCAGGCTGGTCTCCCGAGATGGACGAGCTGGCCCGCCAGCCCCGCCGCGGCGCCAACTACAACCAGCTCCTCCACCTACTGAACGCCATGCAGAACCACCAGAGCGCGTGGCCCTTCCTGGTGCCCGTCAACCGGGACGAGGTGCAGGACTACTATGAAGTGATCAAGGAGCCCATGGACCTGTCCACCATGGAACAAAAGCTCGAGATGGACCAGTACCCCTCCCCTGAGGACTTCCTCAAGGATGCCATGCTCATCTTCAAGAACTGTCGGCAGTACAATAGTGAAGGAACGCCGTATACGAAGATGGCCAATAAGCTCGAGAAGTTCATGTGGTCCAAAATCCGTGAGATTCCTGAATGGAGCCATTATGAGGAGGAGTACGCTTCCAAGAAATGAAAAGCTCAAGTCTGCTTTGTAAAGGGGGAAAAGAAAATCCTGTTTGTCCCTTGCTATTTTTTTCGCGGATGGCCTTGCCTTTTTCTTCTTCTTTTTTTCTTTCTCTTCTCCTTCGTTCCTCTGTGTAGAAGATTTCCGGGGTATGCTTGCTGGTTGTCACACAAGGCTCTGGTTTTACTCTTCTTCTTACAAGGCGGTGGGAGCCGTCGGTCTCTACGGCAAGGAATAGTCATAGCACGGCGCTGGTGGATATATGCCATACCAATTTGATTTGATTTCTTTGTAATAATAAAAAAAAACAAATAACAATACGCGTCCATAATTGAACGTCCCATGGATGGATGGTGCGTGAATGTTCGAGAGATGTGTTTTTTTTTTTAATGTAAATTCCAAGCCAAGAAGATCGAATCAGGCAAACTCGGAGATCGTAACGGGGCCTGTATCCTCGTGGTCTGACCCGCAAGACGACGGCACATATCTTCTTTCCACTATATGCTTGTAAAATGTCACAGACTCCTTTGTGGCGCAGTACCTTGCACTGCCCATTGTGTATTAAGTATCAAGAAGGTCAGATTATCAGATCATTTTACGCCCGCTCGAACGAATCGACGTGTTTGTGTCATTGTGCCTCCTCCTTCGCCTGCCCGCGCATCGTCTCACATAACAGACAAGTCTTTTTCAGGAAAGAGAAAGCAGAAGGATGACACCTATCGTGAACAGTTCACCAGCTTGGGTACAAAATCTGGCTTTTGCTGCAGTAAGCGTCTGCGTTCTATTGATTCCCCATTCTATTGAACCCCTCACCCCCTTCTATGGTATGCATGAATACGTTCATGTCTTTTGATGGCCGACGCCATTTTGCCAATTTCTTTTTGAACGTCCAGGCCGAGTATGACAATGCAGGTAAGAAGAAAGAAGGGAAGTAGAAAAAAATCAAAGTCACCGAGTGGCGTGAATCGCCACCCAGTGCACAGTCCGAGAATAGCATTGCAACTCTTGAAACCCCAGGACCATGTCACGATTCAAGGGTTTTTCTGGTCTCAGAATCCTTTGGTATGTTCCAAGTCCATGGCGTGAGCATCCCTCGTGTCGTTTAAGGAAGAACGGAGCGCGTATTTTCCCCAGATTCGCCATGGGAGAACCTGCTTCTCTCCGAAAGAAGCCCAGTCAAATCTCAAACGAGACCCTCGGCTAGCCAATGTGAGCCTTATGCCATCTACCCCCACTCACCTTGTACATGGTAGCCAGAAGAAGCCAAAACATTTCGTATCTAACGTATCTGGGGGTCGTTGGCGAGATTGTGCATACTACAATAGCTCCTGTCAGCGATTTTTTTGACCCACAGCAGCCCAACTGGATGTATCAGGCAGAAATCACTACATACCTGATGTCTTCCCGATCCGCAGGCGACCTCAGCTGGTCTAGCCCATTTCCATTTGCGTTGGTTCCGTTGGCAGCACCGTTTCTACCCTCTAGCACAGCACCTCCGTTCACCGTCTGTGTGGAGCCGCCGGCAGCAGGTGCACTGCTACGCGCCTTGCCACGGAGCGCATCGAGGTGCTCAAAGTAGCCATTGGGCACGGATGTAATGTACTTGCCGCAAAAGACGCCGACCTCGAAGTCCTGTGCCTTGCGGGGGGACAGCTCCGCGCAGCAGGCCTTGAGGTCGTCCAGCTCTTGGTAGATGACCTCATCAGCGCCAATGTGCTTGGCGATGTCGAAGCGGTCACGTTCGTGGGCGATGAGCTCACTGGGGGAGGCGAGGTCGATGCCACTAGCCAGAGGAGTGAATGGTCAGCACACAGTTCTGGTACGGAGAGGGCGAGGAACTGGAGAGGGTATCTCACTAGATATGAGGGTGCGTGATAGGCGGTGCACAGCTCGCAAAGATGACCTTGCGCGCGCCAGCCTCACGGGCCATCGACACGATCTCTCTGCTTGTTGTCCCGCGCACGATACTGTCGTCGATCAACAGCACACAGCGATCCTTGAACTCGGAGTCCATGGCGCTGAGCTTGCGACGCACGCTCTTCTGTCTCGCCTTTTGGCCGGGCATGATAAATGTCCGGAACACGTAGCGGTTCTTGACGAAGCCCATCGAGTAGGGCTTTTGTAGGCGTTCAGCGGCGGTCGCGGCGGAGGTGTTGGACGTCTCGGGGATCGGGATGACAACGTCGATCTCCTTGACGGCCTCTTCGCCTAGGGTCCGCAGGATCTTGTCGGCCAGTCTGTAGCCCATCTTCTGGCGTGCGCCGTGCACGGGTATGCCGTCTATGATGCTGTCTGGGCGGGCAAAGTAGACATACTCGAAGATGTCGGGGCTGTAGGACTTCTGCTCTTCGACCTGGCGGAAGGCAGGCTCGCAGCCCTTGCGTATGAAGCAGGCCTCACCGGGCAGGATATCACGGATGTTGCTGTAGCCGAGCTGCTTCAGGGCGACGGATTCCGAGGCAAACATGTAGTCCATGGCGCCCTCCTTGTCGGCAGAAGGCCTCGAGCCGAGAGCGAGGGGCCGGATGCCGTAAGGGTCGCGGAAACCCAGGATGCCAAACCCAGCAACCATGGCCACGCAGGCGTATCCTCCGCGGCAACGTCCGTACATTCGTGACAGCGCACTAAAGATATCCTCCTGATTGACACGTGCCTTACCAGTCTCATTCAGCTCATTGGCGAAGATGTTCAGCATCAGCTCGCTGTCCGAGTCCGTGTCTTCAGTGGGAGGAGGAGGAGGAAGCGTGTTAGTCTTAGTGCTTGAAGCGGAAGTAGTCTTGTAGAAAGTGAAAGGGCAGATGGCTTTGGGGAGAGACCCGACAGCAGGTTCCTCAGACTTGCTGTGGGAATCCAATGGGATTCTGTGTGCTGTGAAGGATAAGGCAGGAGTGGTGGCAGTCTCGACGAGAGTTCTGCCACGGAAGCTGGTGGAGGAGGGGGAGGGGTGAAGAGAATCAGGAAGAAAAGTAGGACACTTGCTGATGTGCCTGTGTGCGACCTTATCCAGGTACTCTCTGAGCTCGGGCGCGTTGACGAGGTTGCCGTTGTGTGCAAAGCAGATACCGTAGGGGCTGTTGACGTAGAATGGTTGAGCCTCAGCGCTGGCACCTGTGCAGGAAAGCAACCGTCAGCAGCGATCCTCGTGCCATCATCAGCGGCCAGAGATTTCAGGATGTTGCAAGGACATACTCGTTCCAGCCGTAGGATATCTCAGGTGGCCGACGCCCATGAAGCCTGGCAGGTCAAGGACACGCTCTCCGTTCTTGAAGACGTGACCCGCCATACCGTTGCCCTTGCACTGGTAACTGTACAACCCAAGTTAATCATCAGAAGCACAAGAGAGGGTAGGGAAACAGGGGGAGGGGGGTCTCTTTTGTACATCCGACCACCTGTGCTGCAGGTTGCAATACCGGCCGCATCCTGTCCTCGGTGCTGCAAGTAGTAAAGTGCCTCATGAAGATCTTGTGCGGCCACATTCTGGCCGGACTGGTCCTCCCAATGGCCCTGGATGAGACCTATGATCCCACACATGATGCTTGGGGTGTATCCAGTTCCGATGGTCTCAGGCTGTGTATGACGATTGTTAGCTATGTTCAGCAGCAGATGGCATCACTTGTACAGGCTATTTTCACACTGGGCCCTCCTAAATACATTAAATCAGTGTGGCAGTTGTCTGTGCTGAACATCCTGCCCCATCTGAGACAATTGGTCAAGACGAGACAGAATGTGTGATGATAAAGTCAAAAAGATGGAGATTGCCCAATATTGTAATGCAGCCTGTTTATGGGAACTCACTGAGGAAGTTATGTCGAGACTTTGGTTGTAAGAAAGTGAGAGAATAAAAGAAAGGCAATTCTTGGCAGGTGCGTACAACAACAACCTAGGGTTGTCTCTGTGCCCTCTTGCAAAACCACCCAGAAAAAAAAAGATGCTGTAGGTGGTAGGCCAAAGTATGACCAAGGGTGACAACCAGTTTAGGTTGTTGTGGCTGTCCAATTATACCACTCTGTAGATGGTTAGGCAGATGAGATGTAGGGACGGGGAAAGAGAAAAGAAAAGTGAAGCTTAAACCCCAAAGTTGACCACAGGGGAGGCGATGACTACAATTCGGAAGGTGAACGGCAAACTGATTCGCGATTTTTCTGGCCTCTCTTGGGTGTTCGGCGCCAGTCCCTGCCTGGTTCCCCGACATAGGTCAAAAAAGTTCTTTTTCCAGGCAGCTGATACAGCATTCCCCTAGCAGCTCGGGGGGGCAGGGGTGTCTTATCGCTTATCAACAGGGGCCTGAGCACCCCACTGTCGCCGACAACGTTAGTTGCTTTGAGAGGGCCTAAACTTTGGAGGGGTTTGCCCACCTTCTTTCTCTTGTTGTTGCGAGGTCATGCAGCTTTCATATCAAAGAGATTTGGACTGTTTGTTTCAGTGTGCTGAAAGATGTTTTGGTCTTTCTCTACAGCCTGAGCATCAGAAATTCATCTCCTCCTTCAGTCTGGCTACTATATATCTTCCAGATCTGTCAGCAGGCTAAAGATGCACGTCGTCATGTAGGAGGCCGACCTGCGTCCTGTACCAATGGAGGGAACATGTGCTCAGTCCTTTGGATGCAGAGGGGTAGTCCAGGGGCAATGTCCATGATGGATCTACCCAGATGCTTGGCATGATTTTTTTTATTTAATTATTCTTCTTTTTTCCTCTTCTTCCTTTCTTGCTTGTCCTCAAAAGCGTTCTGCTTACTAAACATGAACCCCAAACGTACATTTATGCAACGTTCAGGAGCACACCATGGTCCGTCTTTATAAAGGCAGTAGCATCAAAGCCTGGCTATAGAGGTAATGAAGAATGAATACGTCAAAACATAGGACTGGTTCTGTAGACAACCGTCAAGGCAGACCGAGCACTTCGGTCCCCTCTGACCAGAGCAGACTAATCAGGAAAATCAAACGCCAGAGATATTTGGTTACAGCCCCACCCCAGGGTTCCGCCAGCCATGATCCAAGCTGGCTGAAGGCCAAACCCCGCGCACCGGCCGATATGGGTATCTCCCTTTACTCGCAGAATCTCTTTTCAAACTCCTGGAACAGCTTCGGGCTGATCTCGTCACTGCTCATCCCTTCCACCTCATACAGCACGCCCTTGCGGGCATAGTGGTCCAACAAGGGCTCGCTGGCCTCCTGGAACTTCTTGAATCGGGTCCGATAGGTCTCCTCGTCGTCATCTGCCCTCCTGACCAACGGTTCGCCCGTGATGTCGTCCCTCCCAGCCACCTTGGGCGGGTTGAACGTGGTATTGTACACCCTCCCCGACGGCTCGTGCACCCAGCGCCCGGAGATGCGCTCGAGGATCACCTCGAAGGGCGTCTTGATCGATACTGCCAGGTTGATAGGCACCAAGCCATCGAGCTGGTCTGCCTGCGCAGACGTGCGAGGGAAGCCGTCTAGGAGGAACGAGGCGGAGGGGTCGTCGGAGGGGGCGCCGAGGGTCCGAGAAGAAGTGGTCATGAAGGCGGCCATCTCGTTGTCGCCGGAGGAGAACGTCTCGCCGTCGGGGCCGATGGCGGAGGACTGCAGGGTCATGACCTGGGGCCGTCCCAGCCAGCCGCGCTTGGACAGCTCGTTATTGATCAGGCGCAGGATGATGCTGTCGGAGACGAGGCCGCCGGCCTTGAGGGTCTGCTCGACCTGGATGCCTGTGGTGCGACGTCATGTTAGCTGGCTAGCGGTGGACATTGCGACAGACTGCGACAATTCAGTAGGCTCTAAAGCACTCACCGAGAGCGGTCTTATTCCGGACGTTCCATCGTAGCAGATCTCCAGAGGAGATAGACTGCAGCTGTGGGAAGCGTTGTAGCAGCCTCTCGGACTGTGTTCCTTTCCCAACTCCAGGTGCCCCAACAAGAATGACGCGTGCTGCGGTCCTGAGCCTCATGTTAAGATAGGAAGACCTTCTGAAAGGAAGTAGAAAGGAAAAGTAATTGGCGGTAGAGGCTGTGTGTGACGCGGGTATAGGTGCGAAGGCTTGCCTTCTGATTTGGAATCTCCGAGTAGAGGTGGTCGTTATGAATACCGTATTTGTACCAGGCGCAAAAACGTTGCCGTGCTTGTCGCGTGGCAATCGACTCAAGAGGAGCTGCAGGCGATGCTGAACACCGCGGTGCGGGGAACAAACTGTGATCCCAAAAAGGGATCAGGCGAGACGACCTGAGAACACGGAGGTCACTCAAGAAGTACCCATAGCGACGAGGTAGGTAATGGTACAAAGATGATGAGAGGATATGTTCGACCCTGGGGAGGAGAAAGAGGAAAAGGAAGAGAAGGAGAAGGGTAGAAGTTGTGGGGGGGGGTTCAATAGTGGGTTGTTGGAAATGAATTGATTGGCTCGGTTGGCTGGATGGCTACGTAGTAGGCAGAAAGCAGAAAGATCAATTATCAATCTGCAGTACGCGCTTTGAGGGGAAAGGCCTAAACATCCGATAAATGACCCGGCGGGGGGCGCTGTGGTTCGGTCTTCGAGTACTCGGGTATCTCACTATCAATGCAAGGCGCAGGTCGTAAGCAAAGTCCGGTAGTCAGTGTCCTCCTGTCCCAGCTCCCTCGGAGTTTCTACACAGTAAATGGTACTTAGGTACATCAACAAAACCCCAGCCGGATTTGTTGAGGAAGAAGCTTGCTCTCACCCACTTAACTCCGCAACCGGCAGAGTAGGAAGGAGCCCTCGGTGACTTTGACGCTTGGCTCGCTCCAATCATCTTCGCGACTCAATCGAGTAAGTAATCAATTACTACTTGCTTACTCTAATCGTTAACCTGCCAACATGTTCTGCTGGACGGGGGACAATGACGACAACAACGAGGACTCTCATGCCTGTAACTTGCGATGAGCGAGGCTCGAGAGAACCAGCACCATTGTTGTCTCTGCCAAATACTTTGTTAATAATGCCTGAAAATCATGGGTAGGCAGATGCTCTACGAGGTGTCATATCATGTAATACGTTGTCATGGTTTGAAAAATCATAATAAACATAAAAACAGGGCTTTTTCTGATCTTGTCCTCATTTCAATGCGTCTTCTTCTCGTCTTCTACCATTCGCTATCAGGGCCTCTCATCCTCTCGCACGCAGCCTGAAGCATCTCTCCGTTCATGACTGACTGCTCGCTGACGATTACTCGACGGGGATTTTGGGGGATGAGTGCTTGAACACGTTCGCAGGGTCATACTTCCTCTTCAGCTCGACAATTGCGGGTAGGTGCTCGCCATAGATCTTCTCCGTGGCAAGGTCTCCTTCGTCCAGTAACGAGATGTATGCGCTGTCCAGGACATTGGCAGGGTCGGCCTCCCGCAGCGCCTTCAGGCAGCCTACGCCCCACGCGTCCACCTCCCTCCGCAGCGTCGGGTCAGGCGACGTCGCGATGATCTCGATCACGAGGTGATCCTCCCGCGCGCCGAACACTGACTGATCGCTCTCTCTAGCTCTGCTCAGCGCGTGTACTGCGATCATTCCGCCCCTCGCCACGCTCCGGCTGAACTCTGCCAGCACCGCCACCGAGGCCGGCGTCCACTTCCGCAGGTTGAGCGTGTATGACCGCCCGTGGACGCCCCACACCACCAGCTTCTCGTTGTCCACAGCATACGCCGTGGGCGTCTTTGCCTCTGTGTGGCTCACCAAGCACTTCCCGCCGGCGGCTGCCACCTTGTCGATCCACTCACGTCCGAGCCTGTGGTCGTCCGAGACCCAGGTCACCACGCAGGCCAATGCGGGGCCCATGCCGGGGAAGTCGGTAGAGAAAGTCTGAAGTTTGAGCTCGGGCGGGTGGTCGGATGAGTCGAGGCCCGTTGTGAGGCGGGCCCAGGTAGCCTCCATGTCGCTGGACTCGAAGATGAAGGTCGCAGACAGCATCTGAAGAGGAACGCAGAGATCAGCACAGGCGGCCTATCTTTTACTGAGAGACGACACAGATCCAGGTGCCGGCTCTCACCAGTGACTAACCTCTTTGAGCGGGTACACTTTGACCGTCAACTCCACAATGGCTCCAAAGATCAGGCCTGCGCCGCGGATGCCCTTGAGCAGAGCCTCATCCGCCTCTACGAGCTCGCCCCTATAGTCCACCAGCTTGGCTCCAAGGATTTGATCGCAACCCAGGCCGTAGAGAGCCGAGAAGGCCCCGTAGCCACCGGGAACACACCACCCGACGTATCCAACCGATCCCATCGTACCGCTAGAGGTTGTGGCAACCATCAGCCAAGGAGCTTCAATCGTCAGAGAGCCCACCGTGAGACGGCCAGTGGTTTCGAGCCCCCCTCCCCCTCACCCTTAGCAGGAGAGGAAGATAGGGACTGGAGAGATAAAAAAAAAAAAAAGGGAAGAGAAAAAGGGGAAAGGAATGAATACGAACATAGGCGTGACCAGGCCTTGCTCCCCCAGCTTGTTCATGACGTTGCCCGCCAGTGCCCCACCAGCGACCTTGGCCGTCTTTTTGTCCCTGCTGACCTCTACATGCGCAAGCTCCCGCATGTCGATCAGGAGCGCTCCATCGACAAGCGTCCGACCTGCCGCGTTGTGCCCGCCGGCGCGGATATTAAAGTCGGCACCATGCTCGGTACATGCCTTGATAACAGCCTGGACGTCCTCAATGGACCGTGGCCGGGCGACGGCGGAAGGCTGGGCAGCGCTCTTGATGTAGGTGTTGCAGAAGTCTGCAAAGGCGGGCGATTCTGCCGTGTGCAGCTGGATGCCTGGGTTTTGCGAGCGGAGAAATGTGATGGTCTCTGTGATCTGGGACGGCATCTCGGCCAAAGTTTTCGTGGGCGTGAAAGTCTGGGGCATCTTTTGGTCTCCTCCAGCTAGCTGCTAGGCTGGGCCTGAGCTGTATTTATCTGTTCTTATAGGATATATGATGGAGGAAACCACGGCGAGAGGGCATGGGCCTGGGCATGGGACTTTAATATATTACTCCGACCTTCGATCTCTACAACACAGGCATGGCAGCTGGATCCTACACTTCTGCATGTCCGCTAGAATCGAACAAACTCCACATCTATGTACCGGAAGAGGTCAGCCAGTCTCGGATGATGACCGCCTAGAATTCTCTTTTGCGATGACGGCGTCGGCCGCACTGAAAGTCCGGGGGTGGGCGGCAAGCGACACTCCGTGGAGCGAGATGCCTGAGAGTATGAACCCCGATAACTCATCAAAGCATTTCAGTCCATTATGTACAATAGGATCTACTCCTAGCTCTGGTATTTTGTATTTCTTGCCGGTAGTGCTTACCCTTGTGGGCCTCGTTGTCGGCGAGGGAGCCTCCCAACAGAACTCACTCTTGCTTGGAAAACCCACAGCCAAACAGACCCATGCCGGCAGGAACCTAAGCCTTGGTCGATGCATGTACGTTTCCGAGGAGGGAAGTACATTAGTGCTGCTAGGCCTGGTCGATGTCCAATCCTATTCAAGAGCAGCTTGTCTCACTAAGCCGTTGGCGATGTCTATCCTTCCGGACATGTTACTGGTTGTGAGATTCCGTGACTCCAGACTGTGAACTTCATGGTAGTGGCCACCAAAGTGTGCATAGACGGTCAACATCACTGAAGTCTTCAGCTTAGTTGTAGGATATAATGGAACAACCTGCTTGGATGGAACAGAAAATTCACAGGTTTGGATCTCTAGATATGAGTTGAGTCAGTTGTCACTTGCGAATCATGTAGGGTATTTGGGGAAGGCATGGCATGTTTGAGTCGTGTAAAGTATGATTTGCATCCACATAGCTGCCCAGCTCTGTTGTCCTTCCAGAACACCTTATAATATCTCTTGTAGTGAAGTTTGGCTCCCCAGTATTGATACAATTGAGTTGCAACAGCCTTCATAACTCCATGCTTGTTATTGCTTGTGTGAGCTCACAGCCTCCAGAGAAAGATGTTTTTATGGATGATGATGTCAAGGTCTTTAGTGCAAGCTGGCTAGAGAAAAGTAGCGGCGAATTTTTGTAGCACTGTAGAGCCTGCTCGTTATCTCTTCCTGCCCTGCTCACAGAAGGACACTCATTGCTGTACTGTATTATATAGAATGCCAAGTTGAAATCAAGTCTACTCCAGTCAACGAATGCTGATGCAGCAAATTAATCCCGAATTCCAAGCAATTTTGAACTGTGATAGATATTTTTTTTCCTCAAGAGGAAATTGGTCAAGATGGTAAAGGAAACAATAAATTCACTTCAAGAATATGTATTGCTACTTAAGTAAGTACTTGAATGGCAAAGTTGCAAGATCAGGAGTCGGTCTCCTTCACTCATTCCCATTTCCTGCAGCCTACTGTCTTCCAGTTGGTAGCTTTGACGAATCACACCCACGGCACACATTGCAAAGTATAAGTTAAAGGGGGTAACCTCCGGCCACACCAACTTCCGGCCACCCCGGCCCGCCTTACCACCCACCCACATATATATTGTTTTATATACATTCTTCATCCTATTCACCCACCACGATGCAGTCCTCCTCATCAGTAGGTAATTCGATACTGTTCTCTTCGTCTAGACTATCTTCGTCTCTATCAGCCGCTTTTTGAGCTCTCTGTATATCCTCAATGTCTGCAAACCTCGAGTTCGGGCTCAAATCAACCTTCCTTCTTTTAGTAGGCCTTTTAGCTTCCATTTGCCTTTCCAGAACTTCGTTCCTCTCCAGAGCCTTTGCAAACTCGAGATCCCTCTCGTCAAACGCTTTTTGTATCTTCCTAAAGAGTATACGTTGCACTGCCTTGGATGAAAGCTGGTGCTGATTCTTCTGTAGCTGATAATATAGATCTTTGGCTTTGCGAGAAGTTGAAAAGATAGCTGGCTGGCTTGAGAAGGCTTTCTGGATACGCTGGGCTGCTGTTGATACTCTTGAACTCGAATTTGACTGATTCTGAATATGCTGAGGAGTGTTTTCGAGGAGAAGAGGGCTTAAGAGCAGCTTGGAAAATCTAACAGGCTATAAATCACTAGCTTTCCATCCAGACTTGATATTCTTGCTAGAAAGACCTTCTGTACAAGCTTTGTAATAGTTCTCAAGGAATAAATGCTTGCTAAAGACTGTTAAATCTTCTTATTAGCTGATATAACTAACTTTTCGTCTATATGCTTTCTCAAGAGCTGAAAAGATCCCTAGATTAAGGGGTTGAAGTATATAAGAGATATAAGAAGGCAAGTAAATCAGCAGGATATTATTTTGATAGTATTGCTATATAAACTCATTAGTTGTATAGCTGCTGTAGCTATTCAGAACTAATAATCTGATCTCTGAGGGGTCTGCTGGCTGGCTGGCTAGAATAAAGATCTTCTTCAGCTATTCGAGTGCTACAGTATTATCAGTTCATCCGTTCCTTGTTGCTGTAAACTGCCAGCTATCGAAATACTCCAAGAAGAGAGGAAACCACTGTTATTATACTGTTTGCTCCTTGAAAATCATCAGAGGGAAGAGATAAGCACCTATAGCAGAGATACACTCGAGAATCGAGATTCAGAACCTCAACCCAGGCTCTTTTCAATAGATTGAATATGAAGAATAGCTACCTAGAACTAATCCGTTCGCTCCTTAGCCTTCAGCTATTCCAGCTTCGTTCATATTCCATCGATTAGCTGGTTTGATAGCTTGAACTTGAGGAAGATCGAAAAGACGAAACCAAGGCTGTATTACCTCTGTTGTAGCTCCATTAGTTTGAGCTGAGGCAATCCTTTGACTCTTGCGAACCTGAATATCTGGATTTCTCTTCAAAAAAGCTTGTGCCCACTTCCTTCCTAGCGTTTGAGAGTCTCCTCTGACCTCGAGGATTCGTTGAGCAAAGTGCCTAAGCTCTAAGTGGCTTGGTGGAAGCCCCAGGGCTTCCTGAATGCGAATCCATTCAGCCAATTTCCTCTCCTGGCTAACAGAAAGCCTTTGCTTATGTTGATAGGCTGTTGAATGCGATTCTCCTCCTGCTAGGCAGTCCTGAAGAGTAGCTCGTGGTACACCCCACTGTTTCGAGGCCTGTCGCTGAGATACACCCTTTCTGACAGCCTCGAGGGCCTGGGCCAGCTGAAATTCGGTATAGGGCTTCATGATATACGTATAAAGGTCCTGTAAAGATATGAAGTTGATTAGAGTAAAATTGGTTGAGAAAAGATATTGAAAAAAAGAGGTGGCTGGAGAGGCCGGGGGGTTGGCCGGGGTGGCGGGAGTGATTGGGCCAAATTGGTATGAGAATAGCAAGACGCTGCTGTAATGCATGTGTCAATACTCTCACAAAGACATTGTCAGCAGCAGCTGCTGTGTGGGCGGCTGGCTCGCTATGCCTGGCGTTTAGGTGTTGAATAGTGGGAGGAGAGTACAAGGGTATCTGGGCTCATTCACCTGCAGGTGCTGAGCAAGGGTGGGCCAAAAAAAAAAAAAAAAAAAAAAAGAAAAGAAAAGGGAACATATTAGAGAAGTGTTATGTGGTTTATGGTTTCTAGAATACATAGTTCATCATTATTCAGAAACAGAGGGCATGCAATGATAGAAAATTTCGAAGATGGTTTGAATCAAGTATGCCAGCTTATGATGCTACCCTTAATGACTAGGTCAGTCGAACTCTGGTAGAGTTCGTCGTACTTTTCGATGGTGGCTGTGCAACATTGCCAACCCTGCCAGTGTTTGAGGCACATCTGTGCTACTGTTATTGCACACACCTGGGCTCAGTCTTCAACCACACAATTGTGCTGGTAAAACAGTAAATTGTCTGATAAATTCTCTACACTAACAGGTATATAATCCAGACAGGACACTGATTTCGAAAACATGCAGCTTAGGCAAATCACCTTTCCAGAACCTCACCTTCTCTTCAGCGTTTGATCTCGGAGAGTTTCCCTCGCCCCCAGGCCCCCAAGAAAGACAAACCATAGGCCAGAACAATCGCAGCTCGACAGCGTGGGACCATCCATCAAGGCTGTTACAGGTGCTGAGAAAATCAGTCGAAAGATATCCTGCAAGCTTGCCCAGGTATGTGCATGTGTACCCCTGCCTGCACGCTGACGATACACCTATTCATGAGTAACACTAACAAAAGTAGGGTGTGAAGGGGACGAGATGGCGACCCTGAGAAGCTGGTGTCAATCTGAAAACACCTGTGATCCAGTCAACCACCAGCTGGCCAAACCGAATGACCCAAAGAATCTCAATGACTCCAAGGTGCAACAGAGGAAGGATGCAGCAGCCAAAAATCTCTCTTCCTTTGAGAGACAGTTTACCTTGACAGATATCGCTTCCTCATCTGGGCATTGCATCAAGTCGGATGCTGGGAAACAGCAGTTGGAGGAATCTGATAGCTTGGTATACGGAGCTGGAGGGAAATTTGAGAATGAAAACTTGAGGCTGTAGCTGTACATAGTTGTTTCTTTCTGTGGAGAGAAGGGCTGCATGTCAACCACAGCTATTTCCTATATTTCCTATCGTCTTTTTTCACGTGTGTCCTGCTGAGTCTCATATGAGTTTTTCGAAAACGGTTCTGTTGGCTTTAGTTCGCAGGCTCTCAGGAATTCAAAAAGAAAAAGAGAATGTTAAGTGATTATCTCGGGCTTGTGAATGATTTGTATGCCTAATAAGTTCGCGAGCTAGGGTATGAGAATATCACTAAGTACAATCCCAGGATTATTTCTGAAAAACTTCCAAAGTACTTATTCAGATCAACTGTGGGATTAATCTGACCGACCAAAACTCCCCAATTATGAATGTCCACCAGAACGCAAAAGATATCACAAATCCCTATAAATTGATCGTGATACTAACCTCTAACCATGACCCTAACCTCCAGCGGCAACGATTTTTTCCCTTGCAAGTTGCGATGCTCTAGAAATTGCTGCCGCCTTTTGTCGCTTCACGACCTGATAAAGTGGAAATTTGCTAGAAATGGCCTTTTCAGGAATGTAATTAGCTAATATTCTTATCCGGTTGGTCAGGTTAAACATACGGTGCTCTTGAGGCCTGGGATGACGGCGTCTGCGCCCTTGAAGGCGATGTTGTAGCAGGCTATCAAGGGTAGCCTGATGCGTGGAAAGTGTCAATATCTCGAGCCATAACTGTTTCTAGACAGTCACCAAGGCGAGTGCCGAGTGCAGCACTCCCTTGAAACTATGCATTAGGGATTTGTAGTTCGCCATGTGTGCGTGGTTCGCCAAGGCGATCAGCTAGCATCCAAGATAGTAAATTAACTACGCGAACCAGGGGGTCAGTTCACTGTGACACCCTGTGAGCCGGATTCATCGAGGAGGTACGCGATATACGTACCTGTGTGTTTTTCTCGGGTAAGAACCACAGTACATTTATGTGCTTGGTGGAATCGTGCTCGATGTTTTGAAGAAGATATAAGAAGGGAAGTGCTCTCGTCTCTTCAATCTGACCGTCTCAATGATCTTCAAGTGCCCTTTCATCAAAAGCTCCACCTAATATGAGTTCTGATTGATTCTCCCCTCTTACAAGCCTCACCACCTGCTGAATCTACGTTGTGAATGTCCATCCTCAGAGACCAATCCACTGTAAAGTGAGGTCCTCCCCTGTACTTCGCCTTATCACAATTTACACAAAGGGAACAAGTGGCTATCCTAAGTCTGCCTCGACTTGAACATGTCTGGTAGCATTTGTGTCCATGATGACGAACAAGCGCCTGGTGCGCGGGGGGCGGAGGGGCCGCCGGAGCGAGCTGACATCGCCCTGCCGTCCTCGATCCGTCTCGATGGTCACTCTCAGGAACCGGCGTGGGTTGAAAACCTCGTCGACCCTGAATTCGTCTCGGGCACAAATGGCTGGCTGCACGAGTCCAACTCTACACTCTTCTTCTACTGCTCCAACCCCATACAATCTATCTGGAATCCGTCAAATTTTGACAGCGACTTGTCCATGACCTTCCCGGAGCCGAACCCTCCGAGCAACATCCAGACCCACCACAGCGTGTCTCCGTCGTCATCTAAAAGATCAGGGTCCGAAGTTCAATTTGAGGACCTTGTTCAGGTTGCCGGCGCGAAGAAGGCCAGGAGGGCCAGCAGCAGCGGCGGCGGCGCCGGCAGCCAGGAACAGCAGAGCCCGCTCGCGTGTCCCTTTCTCAGGCACGATCTCATCAAGCACCGCGGGTGCCTCCACAACAAGTTGCCCCGCATCAAGGATGTCAAGCAACACCTCGAGCGCAAACACGCGCAGCCCAAGAACTATTGTGCGCGATGCTCGGACATCTTCAGGAGTTCGGAGGCGCGGGATGAGCACGTCCGTCAGGGGACGTGTGAAATGAAGCCCAAGGTGACTTTTGATGGCATCTCGGATGAGCAGATGAAGGAGCTGGGCAAGTCGCTCGGGCGAAGCAGGGGCAAGGGCGATGAGGAGAAATGGTTTCAACTGTGGGATTCGATATTCCCAGAGGAGCAGAGACCGGCATCGGCCTTTCAGGGGTCGGACCTGACGGAGCTGTTGCCCGTGTACCGGAAGGCGCTCTGGGAGGTCTGGACAAGCAAGGGACTTGAATTCAAGAAGAGAGTGCTCTCTGAGAATGGACTAGCAGGACAGACCGACTACGAGCCGTCTCTGTTGGATGGCATCGTGAGAGCTTTGTTGGACGAGATGGAGCGGGAGGTGGCATGTCTGCTTGCATGACGTCACTCGCGGTTTTCCTATAAGAATGGCGAGGGCGAAGATGAGGACTGTGACTTACATCTTTTGGAGTTCAAGCGTTGAGGTTCTTTGAAGTCTTTCGATACTTCATCTGACTTGCCATTGGGTACTTGGTAGGAATTGGACTAAGCAACAAGGAACAACATTCATACGGCGACGTCCTGTTGATGCTGCAGTGCCCACAATACTGTGCTTCAAGTCTTCATTTTATTCTGATAGTTTTTTTGCTGCGTAAACTTATGAAGTGCTATTCCGTCGGCCGCTGCACGGGGAAGAAGGAAAGAATGAGGTGAGATACATATAGAAGTTAAGTTGTCGTTGTCGTTGAACATGTTCTGAAGCTGGCTAGGTAGTGTGACGGTGCACATGGTAATGCTACTAGTACAAAAACTCATTCCAGAGCCCGTGGTGCCGGGACCGAAGCGTGCCACGGCCACCTACACGGAACTTGTTGAGCCCGCCAAGGCTTGTTTGTAGGATGGCCTCTGGGCCTGCACGGAGGGTCAGGGAACAGTTCAGGGGGGACTTAGACGGAGTTTAAGGGCGGCCTTTTCAGGGGTAAACATGCGGGCATGCGCTGTCAACCCGAACCCAGAAAAGTGTCGTGGCGACCCCGGTGGATCCGGAAGATGGATGGGGCCTAGACGGTACCTGTGGTGGGCATGTTTCACATGTCACTCAGCCAACCTGAAGTAACACTTGGGATCCAGGCATAAGACGACAACGATGGGGTCAAAACAGCGGGGTGAGCCAAATCAATGATGTACGAGGGGTAGCACAGCACGATCTGCCGTCTCCAAGAACTTAATTCGAGTCGAGGACGAGCCTGCAGCGTTGAAGAGGGCCTGACGACCTTGGCGGGTAGGAACAGACAAGGTACTTCGAGACGGCCCACGTGATATGTACCTCAACAATTCCGCTACCAGAAGAACCCAAGTCCCGCCGTCGCCCCTCTGGTTACATTCTGCAAGCTGAACTGCCCGCCGTTGGTCGCAACGCTCCTTTTCATTCTTCCGCCTTACACACACACCACTTCAACACCACTTCCACCCCTCCCTCTCTTCCTCATCGTCTTCTCTATCTATTGCATTGTATTGTCTTTCTCTCAATGTTGCCTCTCTTTTCACTTTACACCTCAGAATAACACACACTACTCTCCTTTACCCACCCAGCGCCTACATCATGAGCGCATCCGCCAGCGTGGCTCGGAGGGCCGCTGTTGTGAACCCTTTCGCGGGCAGTGGTAAGCCTAAACGAATCGCTCTGGTTTTCCAGAGCGCACTTGTCCTGACTTTTCGTCTTGAACTGTCGACTAATTCTTCCCATCACTGCTATCTAGGACGTGTCATATCCAGGTCGGCTCTGCGAGCGAGTTCCCTCCAACTTGGTCGAAATGCCCGAAACATTCAACTTCAAAATCACGCTCTCGCCATCCTCATCCCCATTCGCACCGTCACTACGGAGCCCAATAGGGGTGGACCTCCGTCTGGCCCACCACCCGGTTTCAACGCGGAGGAGGCCAAGAAACCACTTCCGAAGGAGGCTTCGTCCGCCACAAAGTCGGCCGCGAAGGCCGAGCAGCCAGAGGCGAAGGAAGCAGAGAAGAAGGCTGCCGCCGACTCCGAGAAGTCCCTGGACCAGCTGGCTGAGCAGAGGGAGGCACTGGCCGTCTCCAAGAAGGAGGCCAAGAAGGAGGAGAAGAAGCTCACCTTGGGCCAGAAGATCAAGAAGGAAGTCCAGCACTACTGGGACGGGACGAAACTGCTGGCCACCGAGGTCAAGATCAGCACGAGGCTGGCGCTGCGGATGGCCGCCGGATACGAACTCACACGGAGGGAAAACCGACAGCTCCAGCGGACGGTGCAGGACCTCGCGCGTCTGGTCCCTTTCTCGGCCTTCGTGATCATACCGTTCGCGGAGCTTCTCCTGCCGGTGGCGCTCAAGCTGTTTCCCAACCTCCTCCCCTCCACGTACGAGGACCAGAAGTCCAAGGACAAGAAGGCCCAGACGCTGCGCGCACTGCGGAAGGAAGTCAGCGGCTTCTTGCGGACGTCCATCAAGGAAACCGGCCTGCCCGTGTCGCCTGCCCTCGCCCAGAAGGAGGAGTTTGCCAACTTCTTCCGAAAGGTCCGGGCTACCGGCGAGAAGCCCACCGAGAAGGATGTCATCAAGGTCTGTAAAGCGTTCAGGGACGACCTCACGCTGGACAACCTGTCGCGGCCGCAGCTGGTCTCCATGTGCAGGTACATGAGCCTCAACACTTTCGGAACCGACCAGATGCTCCGGTACCAGATCCGGCACCGCATGCGGCAGATCAAGCGCGACGACCGCGCCATCAGCTACGAAGGCGTCGAGAGCCTGTCCGTCTTGGAGCTTCAGATGGCCTGCGCCAGCCGCGGCATCAAGTCCTACGGCGTGTCGCCCGCCCGGCTGCGCGAGGACCTGCAAACGTGGCTCGACCTGCGCCTCAAGGAGGGCGTTCCGTCCACCTTGCTCGTGCTCAGCAACGCCTACATGTACGCGCAGACCGGCGATAACGCGGTCGCGAACCAGATCGACGCGCTCATTGGCGTTCTCTCCTCCATCCCTGAGGAGCTGTACCACGAAATCGAGCTCGAGGTGCACACCGCCGAGGGCGCCGCCACCAACAAGCAGCGCCTGGAGGTCCTCAAGGAGCAGGAGGACCTGATCGAGGACGAGAGCGAGCAGAACGAGTCCAATCAGGTGAGCGGCCTTGCCACGCCGCGGGATGTGGAGGACATCGACGAGAAGGAGGAGCGCCAGGTCGCCGCCGCCGCCGACGGAGTCGAGAAGAACCAGGTCAACGAGGCCATACAGGCCGAGCTGGATGCCGCCCAGGCGGACCAGATTGCAGCGCAGCACAAGGATGCCAAGGAGGCTAAATAGAAGACGACTACTGTTTCCATCACCAGAGCGGGGTTGTCACTCATTCTTCCCCCGTTCTATTTCTCTTTTCCTTTGTGTGCGTGCATGTGTTTGTGTTTGAAAACGTGCATTTGATAAAGAAGGGGAATGCACTCAATCACTGGTTTACGGCGTCGCAGGATGGAATCTGGAGAGGATGGGGTATATATACCTTGTGTACGCATGTATGTGGGTGGTGAGAGAGAGAACAAAGCAAGGGGAGAAAGATTATCCCACTCACCCCACAACCGGTATGTCCAAGAGAGACAAGCACGATGCAACAGTGCGGGAAAAGTCAGCGGGGACCAAGGCATAGAAGATATAAAATACTCGTCACTGAAATGGAATAGAACCCCCCTTCTACTCTGACACGGACCCTTTTGTACGCTCTTGGGGAAGGGTAGGCAGTCGGCTAGTGTACTCTGGAGAGATTAGGATTGTTGGCCGTTGTACTGAGGCGTCTAATCACTTCAGTTCCTCTCTACCTTTGAAAGTCAAGGAACAGGAGGGCCATATCACTCAGCCATCAGTTCCACATTCTGAGTTAGTGTCTAGTGAGTTGAGGTTTGTCTGAGATGCACATGCCCAGATCTAATATTCAGACCATGGTATTGTGTACAGATACCTCACAGTGGAGCTTTCACCACAATTTAGTATTTGAGTAGATTACACTGACAATTAAGTCTTTCACTATCTGCAGGCCTTGCTTAGCAGGTTCTGAAGAAGTTCTCGGTTTCCAGTGGTGCTGGGGAAGACAGCATTTACTCGCTGTGAATCTACCTTTTATGAATGCAGTGAATCATAGACATGAGCCTTGCTATATTGTATATTCGTCATGTTTACATTTGTTAAGAAGTCAGTCTGGTGAGGCTTTGTACCGCATTGAAGCAGCTCAGGGGCATCTTGGCTTCTTGTTGCTGGTGTTCTAAATGTGGAGCTCAAGAGTCACTTAAGTACTGTAGCACTGAAATGCCAAGGGCGCCGAGGTGCCCAGGTGCCAGGGTCCAGCTCAACCACAGGCCCCACTGCAGCCAACGACGTCAGCCTCCATTTGCCTTCCCCTTCCACCACCAACTTCCTTCATCTTCCCCACCAACAACAAGCTCGACGAACAAGCTCCGCAACCACTGACAAGCCTGATTGCTTCGCAACCTGATCTTCGATGAGAAGCGATACCCAGAATCTGAGCGGTCCTTTGCCAGATTGAATTTCTTCGTACTCAAATCGACACCATCAAGCCGCAGTCAAAGCTCAACTGACGCGCACGACATTTTCCAAACCAACAACCCCTCGTCAATCTTCACACAGCTGCCCACCATGGGAGGAGGCAGATCCATCGACGAGGAAAACTTCCACAACCTATCCTTCCACAGCGACCAGAATGCCCCTGGTGGTAGCTCAAGTGCTGGCCCTCTTGACAGCTCTGATCCCGATAGCCCGGTCAGGAAGCAACAGCATGATAGCAGTGATGCTGTCAGCCGCCAACAGCTTGACCCTACCGCAGGTGGTAGCGAAGTCCTCGAGTGCATTGTCACTGAGCCTCACACCGAGAATGCAGGCACCAAGGATGCCTACGTGTCATATCTGATCACCACAAATGCAAGTCAAGTCATCTTGTCTACATTGCCCTTGGCCCTGCAGGAAAGATAAAAGCTGACAAACCTCTTTTTGACAGTCTACCTTCTCCGCCTTCCAGAAGCCTATTTCCATTGTCCGTCGCCGCTTCACCGACTTTGTCTTCCTCTCCAAGACCCTCAGCAAAGACTACCCAGCATGCGCCGTCCCGCCCCTTCCTGACAAGCAGCGCATGGAGTACGTCCGAGGCGACCGCTTCGGATCGGACTTTACCCTACGCCGCGCTCACTCGCTGCAGCGATTCCTGTCGCGTACCGCGTTGCACCCCATTCTCCGACGCGCCCCGATCCTGCACACCTTCCTCGAGAGTCCCGACTGGAATGCTACCATGCACAGCAGGTCGAGCCGTGCGAACACGGGCTCGTCGAACGAAGGCGGTAGCGGCGGGGTCTTTGATACCTTTGCCGACTCGTTCATCAACGTCTTCACCAAGGTGCACAAGCCGGACCGTCGGTTCATCGAGGTCAAGGAGAAGAGCGACAAGCTGGATGAGGACCTGGGCCAGGTCGAGAAATTGATCGCAAGGGTGGCGCGCCGCGAGACGGATATCGAGGTGGACTACAGGGACCTGGCCGAGCAGTTCCAGAAACTCATCAACCTCGAGCCTGGCGTCGAGGCTGCTGTCCATGCCTTTGCGCAGTCAGTCGAGGATTCGGCAAGCGGACTGAAGAAGCTCAAGGATCACACCGATCAGGACTACCTCGGCAGCCTGCGAGATATGATTGCGTACAGCGGCCAGCTCAAAAACCTGCTCAAGGCCCGCGAGCAGAAACAGCTCGACTACGAACAGCTCACCGAATATCTCAACAAGTCCTCGGCCGATCGCGACATGCTCGCCTCTGGCTACGGCGGCAGCGGTGGCTCTGGCGCCGCCGGCCTGATCCGCTCGAAACTCGAAGACTTCCGCGGGGTAGACCATGAGCAGGCGCGACGCGAGCGGCTTAGAAAGCTGGAGATCCGCATCGACGAGCTCACGCGTGAGTCCGAGGTGGCCCGCAAGACGTCCGAGATGTTCGACGAGGAGGTTGTCAAGGAGACGGCCGACTTTGAGCGCATCAAGCGTATCGAGTTCAAGAGCCAGCTGGGACGCTTGGCGGACGCCCACGTCGGCTTTTACGGCGACGTGATCGATGTCTGGCAGCGGTACGTGGACGAGTGCGAGCGTGAGGGCGTGGCTCCCCCAGCCTAGGCGGCTGTGCGGGAGGAAATTGCTGCTGCTGCTGCTAAGGCGAACGTGCTGGAGGGCCCGCATTGTGCAATGGACGGGGCTGCTGATGGTAATGGTGAGATGCACGATAGCGGTGTGCTGATCTGCATGGACGAGGAGCAGCAAGACGGCAATGAGCACGGGTGCCCGGCTAGCAAGGCTGCTGCGCAGGAGCAGCAGCTGCCAGGCCTGCCGCGGTGGTCCCTGAAGGACATCCCAGAGCTGGAGCCAGACCCTGCGATCTCACCTCACAAATTGGATGAGGCCATTCAGGAGGCAAAGCTCCGGGCGGCGGATCGCGCTATGAGCCGGGCTACTATCCTCGGCAGGGCGGGTGAGGTGCCCCCAGAGATTCAGGCGGTGTTGGATGAGGCTCGTCGGAAGCAGACTCTACTGCGAGAGAAGGAGGAGGAGGGACGCCAGGCCTTCCACGACTGGGTTGAAGCCGGAGCCTAGCTCTGGACTTGAGAAACAACGCGAGCTCTTTTAGGAGGCCGTGGAAAACAACGACGCATGGTCTGGATGGTCAAAACGCGGGTCATGTGGGAGGCGATGGCTTGGAAATTGTTTCCAGTACTTTCGAAGATGATGCCTCAGAGAGCCAAGAGGTTATTTCTTTCTCTTTTCCTTTTTCTCTGCGATTTCCTTTAAATCCGGCGTCAAGGAATGGACTAGGTCCTGGAAAGAAGGGGAACTGATTCGAGGCGTTACTGGAATCAAATGGGAAGGACGCATTGAAGCATCCATCCACTGGGTTTGGTATTCTTATTGGAAAGTGTAATGTACTACTTGTTACTTTTGCTTTTCTCTCTCTCTCTCTTCCCCTCTTAAACAACCATTTCATCATACTCGTACTCTGGTTGTTGTGTGTTTTCCCTCTGCGGTAGACAAGTAAAGCCAGGTTAGTTAATCTCACGATTGACATGTGATATAAGGAGGCATTATTCATCGTCCTGCTGCTGCGAACATAAAAAAAAAAAAAAAAAAAGGACTGAACTATTTTGATCGATATATGTTCCCCGCCATTCTAGACCCCCTAAAAGGAGAACAAGGCTTTGTGTGATGGAGATCTCTCTGAGTTTTGTCAAAACTTGAATACTTTAAGGACAAAGAAGAAAAAAAGTAGCATGCATGCCTATTTACGATGCTTTCCCTCATGAGGGAGATAATGCTAACGCCAGCCCGTCCGTTCATCGCCATACAACAAAAACGCCCCCCGCTCCATACATTATGTGCTAGACTTTGTTTTCTTTCTTTCTTTCTTTCTTTCTTCCCTGTCTTTTTCTCTTGCGCTCATCCTTTTCGTTTGGTCGGCAGAAACGGTTTGGTTGCATTGGAATCCCTCCCTGCCCCTCTCTCTTGCTTCTTGAGGGCTGAGAGTTCAGTCCATGTCACACACCTATGTCTGTTTGTCTCTGTCTGTTCTTATGCTCTATCCATGCAAGTAAGAAACGAAGAAGGAGAGGGGAAAAAGAACACCCTGGATGGTCAAGAGTGCCGTGACGGAGCTGAGCTGAAGAGGAGGGGGCCTTCTCCTTCCATGCTTTACCGCCTCCCAGCGGCCAGCGCCTCCCTCTCATCGCCCTCGTCCTCGCTATCACTGCCCAGCACATGGTGGTCATCATCGTCACCAAGGGCCCTCTTTTCTCTCGCGGCGGCGTCACCCCCAGGGCTCGTGGCACCCTCGACGCCCTCCTCGTGGTCCCGGTAGAAGCGACCCTCCTCGTCCTCGTCATCGCTGCCGCCCGCAAACGCATCGTACAACTCCCCACCGCGCGTGCGCTTCTTCCCGCCTGCGCCGGCGGTCTTCTCGCCGCCCGCTCCAGCCGTGAGGCCCTCGGCCTCAGCGTCGTCGAGGAGCTCAAATTCGTAGTTATCACGGGTGGCGTTGCGGAGACGGCGGCGGCGGGCAGTGAAGATATAGACGCCGAGTCCGGCGCAGAAGATGAGGATCAGGGCGAGGGCGGCGTAGATCCAGGCCTGGGCGCGGGGCCCGACGCCAAAGGTGGGCAGGAAGCCGGGGAGCCAATTGGAGGCGGTCTCGGTGGCCTGGGGAGACTCATCGAGCTCGCCGGTGACATCAGTCGGCTTGGCGTTCACGGGGCGGTCAGGGTGGTCGGTTGGCGTTGCGCTGGGGAGCTCGCCGGGCGTGTGGAAGCCGGCGGGAGGGGTGACGACTGAGGGCGGGATGGTGGTGGTGACAATCGCGTCGTGGTCGGCATCGTCGTCTTCTTCAGGCATGGGAAGGAGTTTGACCTGGCTGGCGTCGATGGACTCACCCCAGAGCTTGAGGTGCCAGTCGACCCAGGTGCCGTTGTGCTCGTTCACCTTGGTGTCCTTGACAATCACAGTCCAGGTACCGATACCAGACTCGCCCCTGCGTGGAAAACTTTGTCAGCTATATCGTGGAGGCGAGACAGAAACCACCAAGAGGGTGGGTGGGTAGTACATACCAGTGGACGACGCTCATAAAGGTCCAGTCGATGTACCCAGAGGCCTCATTGTCCAGACGGCGAGGGACCGAGAGATGGCTGATGACCTTGTTGGGGCTGACCAGGTCGACGGACAGATCACCTCGGCGGGTGTGGTCGACGTTCATGGTGACGGTCACATGCTCGACCCGCTTCAGGTTGGCCTCCTTGAGCATGTCTGGGGTCACGTCGAAGCTGACGGCAATGCCCTCATCGCCCTGGGGAATGGCCTCCTTGACGTGGATCCAGGGGGTGAAGAACCAGGACTGGGGGTTGACAACCTCCCAGGTCTTGGCCAGCTCGACGAGGCCGTAGCTGTCAATCTTGCCATAGCCAAACGTGTGGCTGAACTTCTTGCCGATGAAGGTGGTCTGCCAGCTCCCGTCGTCCTCGTTGATGGGAACGGCAGAGTTGAGGGCGAGGTACTGCATGTCCCTCCAGGTAATGTCGGGTCTGATCTCAAGAACCAGGGCGAAGATGCCGGCGGCCAGAGGAGCCGCGGCAGAGGTACCTCCGTGCGCAGAGGTGCAGGTGTTCTGCCCAACATCTGTAGTGTGGATACTGTCGCCACCACCGCTGGAGTAGGTCACCACCAGGTTGGCCGAGCAGGCCTCGGAATAGTAAGGATGCTCGCCCTTCCTGTCCACAGCGGCGACTGTGATGCTGTAGATACTATTGGTGTAGCCGTCAAAGTTGCAGTTGTCATCGCTGGCAGCACCGTTGCCACTGGCAAAGACGTAGATGTTACCCAGCCCGTTGCGGCCCTTCTGGACGGCGTTCAGCATTGCCCTGCGGATCAGGACGCCGGGCGCTTCCATGGACCGGCCATCATCAGGAGGGCCCCAGGAGCACGAGTAGATATCGTTGTGAAGCATGTCGTAGTTCATTGCGAGAGCCTCGTCGGCATCCGTGATCATCTTGCTAAGAATACGCAGGCCGGCGATGTTGGAGTCGTAAGCGACGCCCACGCCACAGACGTCGTTCTTGACGGCCGACACCTCTCCACCGCAGCGCGTGCCGTGCCTGTCGTCCGAGAGCCGCGGCTCGGGCAGGTCGGTCTTGTCGTTGAAGTCGTACGAGCCCTGGGCGTAAAAGTTGTCCTTGAGATCATCGCTGTGCATGTCCAGGCCGTCGTCGACGATGGCCACGGTGGCGTTCTTGCCTGTGATGCCCTGCAGCCAGACGCCCGACACGTTGACGTCGTGGCCCTCCTGGACCACGTTCAGGAGGTGCCACTGCTCGTTAAAGATGGGGTCGCTAATGCCGAGGGTCGACATGAGAGACTGCTGGTTTGCTACTAGCACTGGGTTGGAGCTGGGGTCGGCGCGCTCCTCGACGAGGCGCGGCCCAGCGAAGTCAGGTATTATGCGCTTCTCCCAGGGATTGCGGAGCTCCTGTCTCTGCGCGAAGCGGACGCCGTCGAGCACATCACGGCTGCTGCCCCCACCCTGCTCCCTCTTGCGCCGCCTCCTGGCCTTGATCTCTGTGTTGACCACATCATGTTCCGATTTGGCTCCCCTGAGGACAAAGTGGTCCTCGAGCTGGCCAAACTGGCCCTCGTTGCGTAGGCCGAGCCTGGACGCGACCTCGTCGGCATCGGTGCGAGCGTCGAGGTGGACAATGTAGAAGTCGTCACGCTCGTGGTGGAAATCGCTGGCTCCGGCGACGGCTGCGAGGCCGAGGCCAAGGAGGGCCGTGATCTTCATGGTCCCGGGGTTTGGCGGCTAAGCGGTGTCGCACATGGGATGCCTGCTCTTGATTTTCCAGAAAGAAGAGAGGTTGGGAACTTTCTATGATAATGTAGGCGGGCGTGAGTTTTTCGAAATACGGAATTGGATCTGTCGAGAGATTGGGAAGGACGTCCTCGCTCAAACGTGTTGAGGAGGGGCGCTGTCTTTCGAAGAAGCTTGCGTGGCGAGTATCGATTAAAGGGGTCGAGGCGTTGCAAAAGGGACAAAGAGAGAAGAGACGGCGGGACGAATTAGACGCCGCGCTGGTTTGGTCGCAAACACCACAAAAGATCGCAGACACACACACCTCTCGCTGACTTGCTGTAATGGAGAACAAGAAAAAAGAAGAGAGAAAAGAAACAACCAGACACTGTTGAGGAGGTGAAGAGCTACTTGGCGGCGGACATGTTGTTGTCGTTGTTTGTTGAGTAAGTATCCTTTTTCTTGTGTCTGTGTCTGGGCAGTGGTTTGAAGGTTCGTTGCTCTGTTTCAAGGGCCCCGTGGGATGGGTTTCGTAGCGTCACAGTAAGACAGGCTAAGTCCATTACAGTGGTCCTCCAGTAGCCCCCTCCCTCTCCCCAGTGGTCTCCGCGGGAGGGCCACGCCTAGAGGGCCGAGGGCCTGGAAGTCCACGGTGTCCTCGTCCCCCCTTCGCGGGGCTAAGCACAGACAGGCGACCCACCCTGGTCCTGTCTCGGGCGGCTTACGCTAGCGGCCTCTTCCTGTGCCCACGCCATCGCGCCTTACTTCAGATCTCAAAATAGTAGTCGAGTATATTTTGAGGGGATCTGCATGCATATGTACGATTTTACACTTTAAGATAGCATTCAACATACATATTACTATGATAAATACTGCGAGGACGGAGAGAGACCCTCAACTCGGTTGCAACGACTGATGTAGTGTCAGGTCCACGCTTGGACCCTGAATGGTGAGGGACTGGCGACGACAGCCAACCCCTGCCCGTGACATTCGGAAGTACCTGCGTACCTAAGCCACTGCCGGGGAACTTGACCAGCAGCTGCTTTCAACAATCTTTGTTCTGTACGATTATATTATGTACATGCAAACACGCAACGAACATGAATGACCAATCCCATAGTGAGTGTTTACTCAAGAAGTATGTCAGCTCGCAGGATGAGCGCCTGAGGCCAGACTGGGTCATCAGGCTGAGCCACCTTCCTACCTGCCCTCTTAAGAAAATATTCCTGCAACGATCATTCATGGAGCATGCTAGGATTCCTACGACGTGATCGATGCGGGGGATTTGCAACATCCAAGAGAGGAAACAATTACCCGAGCCAGCTCAGGATCACCGGCTTGTCACTGGCCGCCGCGTAAGGTGAAGGAAGAAGGCCTACCGACATTGCAACCGAATCAGGGCCTCAAGCCGAGGAAGAACTATCATAGTAGTGATTACTATGTATGTACGGAGGAGCACCAGTGCTTGTCTTTATGCAGGTCCCTCCCAATCACGACTCGGGTCTTCGGTTCCTTTCGGTCTCACTAAGCAGGCCTCGGGCCTGAAGGTCGAGCAGCGAGCACTTATTGCTTAAATTTACTGCCGTGAGGCCACGGCCTACAGACCACAATCCGTTCCTTCTTTTTTGGAAGTCATTACTTATTTTTGGGAATAGCGACTAGGAGAACAAAAGGCTGCCATTTTTCGTCTTCTTTGAGAGCAAGCTCTAAGGGCCCAGAGTGAGCCCTGCCCTGCTATCCTCTATGAAGTGCTTTTTATGTATGGCCAAACGGACCGGTTCCGTCTCCACAGGGCAGTCCATCTATGGTGCGGCAGCTTCCGAAAGAGAGAGAGGGAGAAGGAGAGCCCTACCATGCAGGTACCAGCCACCCACCACCTGCGCCTCGTCAGCTCTGTCTGTTCCCAGACTCTGTTTGCTGCTCGGAAATCGGACATATACAGTGCTGCCTGATTTATGTGAACAAATGTGGTCCCCCTCGTACTATGATTTCTTGTTCAGCGCCGAATATTTCCTCGCGAGAGCCTCTAGCCAGCCTCGCCCTGGGCACTGGATACTCAGGGCATTTTAGAGTTATAAAAGACTGATGGTGGTCCCGCGAAACAGACCATGCGCCCGCCGCAAAGCTCCAGTCCATCATACAAAGATGACTCTTCTAGCCCTTGCATGTCCAATCCAGCCCTGCAATTAATGAGCTGAGCCCTTATTAGCTGGCTTCACTCTCTCTTGTTAGAGAGTTGGTCCACGACGGGCAACTGCAGGCGCATGTTCCGCGAGGCCATTGACAAGTGCGACACGTCGAGCACGTAGTACAAGCAGGGCAGCACTATGACTTTGAATTGCGTTCTGCGTGGGATATCGACCCGAATACCTTTACAGATACTACATCGTACATGATGTGGGCGCGTTGCTCTACGTAGTGCTTGGCGAAGCTCGTTGTGGTGGAGAAGAGGAAAAAAGGTCGGAGGCTGGGCGAATTCGCTTGTTGAGTGAACAGGGATTCTAATTTATGTGCTGCTATTGCGATGAGGTTCTCATTGGTGCAAAACGGGCCAAGCTGATGACGACACAGCTTTGTTGGTTCTCCTTTCCCCCTCCTCCTCCGTTCTTTCCAATCTCGTTCACGCTCTGTCTGCACTTGAGCTTGGGCCCATCTTCAGGTACCGGTCAACTGGCACTCCGTTTTGAGGTCGTACATCGGGCAATCCTCTTGTCTACCGAGAGTGAAGAATGCATGCCGTTTGAGCCTTATTCTTGTGTAAGTTCACAGCTGTTGTGCGTGCAAACGTGTCAAAGAAACGTTGCCTCGGGAAAAGAAGAAGAAGAAAACGGGATGTGAGGGGAAAATAAGAGTCAAAATACGAGATGGAAGGAGACACACACTACGAAGTAATTAATCAGTTACTTTTCACTCGTTCCTTAACCTTACACAGACCACACACATGCATATATGTAGCATCGTACATGACCTGACCTTGGTTGTGACCCCTGTAAGCCTCTGCAAGCCCCCCCCCCCCCAGTGAGGTAGCTAGGCTTGCTTCTCTTTCTCCATCCCCGATTCAGCCAGCATCTCGGTCCGCCATCTTATCTCGAATCCCTTCGTCGTCGTCAACCACCCCAATTTTCGTTTTTCGCCGGTTCACCCTCGCGCCTTGCGACAAATGTCCCTTTCCTCATCTCGTACCTTTGGTCTGTTTGGCTATACCTCGAGCTCGCAGACACCTCGTAGTGGACAATTTTTTCTTTCTATTGAACCTACCAAGCTTGTTGTCGTCGTCTCGCCTCACCTTTACATGACACCTCGTGAATCGGATACTTAGCACATCCCACTTCACACTTCAGCCGCTCGTCGTCAACAGCTGATGGGACCCACCCCTGCCTTTCCTACGACAAACTGAAGGTATCGTCAATAATTACGCCGTGCACATCCACACACGGCCGACTTACTCGTTCGTGCTGTGCATCTCATCATTACCACACTCATAACACTGTTGCGATTCGCCTTCAGCAGCCGCTGGGGGCGCTTTTCTCCAACGCACATCCACTGCGGCGCTAACCTCCTGTTCTGTCCCAGCCTGCATTGTCTGCTATGGAAACCCGCATGACCAGTCCTAGGCTCGGCGGGACATAAGGTTGTGTATTGGGTTGCCAACGCCTGTTCATACTGCTCATATGCTTTTGCGATCATTTTTCTCTGCATTTTTTTTTTTTTTTTTTTTTTTTTTGCGCTGAGGACTGGCCTTAGAACCGCCCGAACCTCAGCCAGTTTTGACCATCTACGTCACGCCCACGATGTCGGCACCGTACTGGGGTAACCTCCCCGGCCCCAACGTCTCGAATCGCCCTCACCACCAGCAGCGCGGCTCTTCTGGCGAGTACGCCTCGAGGGCACCTGCTCGTCAATCTCTAGACCCTGCGCCGCCCGTTACGGCCCAAGCCAGGCACAATCGGGCATCAACCCAGACCAACAACTCCGAAGCCCATTCCGAGGCTACTATCAGCCCTTATGCGACGCCCAGAAATTCCTATCAGGGTTCTGGACTGGGTCCTAGACCTGTCTCCCAGGGCATCTACACCCCTGACATCTTAGAAAAGCGGCGCCGACGTGCCAGCAAGAACAGGGAGGAGGAGGGTGCCTACGTGGTCTCGGGTGCATTGCCTGCGGCCCCTGATGCGCCCGAGGCCTCCCCGGTCAACTACAAACACCCATATGGCAATGGCGGCATGCCTTACACGCTGCCCAAGGCCGATCAGGATCCCCAGGCCGACCTCCCGAGCCCAGGCGTCTTGAACCCTGACTTCTACAAACCCCTCAACGCCGTCGACCGAACGAAACGCGCTAGTCAGACGTCCAACCGCCGGGCGAGCAGTGGCAGCACCGCCGCGGCAAGAAATGGCAGTACAAGGGAGGCTGTGAATGGTCATCGGAAATCTTCCCTGGGGAGTGAGGTGGATCGTCGTTTGTTCGCAGATATGCGCTCTCCTCTGCAGAGACTTGAGCTGACGCTCGACAGCATCACGAAGGAGGAGAGGCGCGCGCGGGTCGAGGCCGCTGAGCGCAATGCACGAGACCGGGCCCAGTCGCGGGGCAGCATTGATAAAGACGGCAGCCAGACGCCGACCGTACGGTTCAAGGACCAGGACACAGAGTCCGAGTCGGAATCCCCTCGAGTCCAAACCCACCCTGAGCCCGTGTCTGCTCGGTCTGCCACGGCGCCGCAGGTTGTGGCCAGAGTGGAGGAGCCGCAGCGCAAGACACATGGTCAAGTGCCTCACGAGAAGAAGAGCCCCAACCCCAAAGCATTTGACGACATTGACGCACAGGAAAACGACCCCGTGCAGCGGAACCTGAGCTTTCGCGAGCGGGCGGCAAGGAATGACATCAGATTGCCAAACAGTGAACCTGAAATCGAGTCTCTGGCGACACTACCTCCGACTACCCCAACGGGCGGTGGCTTCTCACTGACCCGACAAGGAAGCAACAAGCTGAAGAAAGGCCCGCCTGGAGAGCCTTCGTACCAGCGGAGGAACGAGGGTGACAGGAATCATAGCCAGGCCGTGTCGGGTCAGTCCCGGGGAGCACCTCGATCTTTTTCGCTGGCCCAGAGCCCCGGATCCGCGGCTGTTCCCGCACCGGTGGGTCCGCCGAACAAACCCGCCGGCGGGTCCACGCGAAACAAGGCCCCGCCGCCTCTCAACACGGCTGTCGCTGTGAGGAGGCCGCCTCCACAGCAGGTTATGCCAGACCTTGAAGACGACGATGATGATGATGACGTTGATGATGATGACGACGACGAAGATGACTTGGACTCGCCTATCGCGACTGGGAATTCTGTCCATACTGCTAGACAGGGGCAGGTCTTGACCTCTGCGCGAGGTCCTCCTGCCAGCTCAGTCCCCTTCATGTCTGACCTCCCACAACAGAGCTCTGCGCCGAGAGTCAAGTTCGACACGGACAGAGAAGCCGGAGAAGGTCAGCCTGGCCAACGCAATGATGGCTCGCACCATGAGCACCACATGTCGGAATTCTTCCATCGTCATGATTACAAGCCTGGCCAGGGGCTGTATAACCCGCCCAAGTACCTGAACGAGTGGAAGAAGGGTACTGTGGGAACGCTTTCCGGGACGCTGCTTGAGCTCTCGGATGAAGTGACACCTACTTTGGATAAGGGACAAACTTGGTGGGAGACGCCGCCATCACAGCGGCGAGGCAGCATCTCTTCACGGCCACGCAAGGCGGAGGCCTTTGACGGGGAGTATGACGAAAATAACGGTACGTAATCTTCAAATGATTTTAGCTGACGCCGCCATGGCCTGTCCATGGCAGTGATAACGACATAGTCCCACAGGCGTATAACGTGCTAGCTCATCAAGCGACGGCTGGCAAACGCAATGCGAGGTGCCAGGCCCGTCTGTGATCCATCGGACGGCCGTTGGCGCCTCAAGGCGAAGATGAAGCAGGGATTTGCCCTTCAATGTTTTCCTTATGTTTTCCTTATGTCTTCCATCTCGAGCTGCTTCATGTCCGAGACAACTCTCTGAATCTACCCTGCTGACCCGAACGGCGCGGATGGCAATCCGCATTCCTGATCATATAGCTCCTACAAGGTTTAAGCCACAATTGTATCTGAAGTGCGGTCCTCTGCTCAGATATTGCGGCATGCGAACTGAGCGCATCACCGGTCGGTCAGCCCGGCATGGGCCAGCTATCGAGCGGGAGTTCTGGAGGGGTACCGTGATGATCGTGACAACTGATCAGGAGTCGTCTTACGATATTGCTCCAACCTTGAGGCTTTTCGCACAGCCAATCGAGAACCTGCCGCCTCCCCCAGCAGAAGTTCACGGAGAGGTCCCGCCAGAGTATGTGGACCCCGTCGCAGGGCTTCCTAAGCTGGGTCGCAGAGGCGAAACGCTGTACGTCCGGCCAGTCGACCACCTTGATGAGGGCAGAGATCTCTCGCGAGACCTCAGTGATAAGGGCCTGTTTGAGAGGACACGCAGCCCTCCTGATATCGACCTCCCAGAAGGATCGACCGATGCGCCAGGGTCTTTCTCAGATCGCAAGAAGAAAGCACCTCTCGACGGAGAGAGGACGGGTAAGTACAAGGACATCCGAGGATACCGCCTGCATGCCGAGCGAGGCTACACGTTCTGGCGTTTCAGCATCGAGGTCGAACTGCGCGACAAGGAGCAGCGCATCGCCTACCGCATCAACCGCGGGCCTGCAACTGGCTTCTGGGTCCCCGCCAAAGGCCAATCAATGAACATCATGCTCCATAGCTGCAATGGCTTCAGCTTGTCCGTGAACCCCGACGAGATGAGCGGCCCGGACCCTCTATGGCGCGATGTCCTGAACAACCACCAGAGCCGGCCTTTCCATGTCATGTTGGGTAACGGCGATCAGCTCTATTGTGATGCCGTGATGCGAGAGACGAGACACTTCCAGGACTGGCTCATGATGCGGAATCCGTTACACAAGCAACACGCGCCGTTCTCGCCCGAGATGCAGGACGAGCTGGAGCATTTCTACCTGGAGCGCTACTGCATGTGGTTCTCACAAGGTCTCTTTGGTCTCGCCAACTCGCAGATTCCCATGGTGAATATCTACGACGATCACGACATCATAGATGGCTTTGGCAGCTATCCGCACCATTTCATGTCGTCGCCTGTCTTCTCGGGCCTTGGCAACGTCGCCTTCAAGTACTACATGCTGTTCCAGCACCAAAGCATCGCGGATGAGACCGAAGAGACGGAGCCAAGCTGGGCTCTGGGGTTGGAGCCCGGCCCGTACATCCACGAGCAGAGCCGCAGCTTGTTCATGTTCCTCGGCTCCAAGATTGCGCTGTTGGCTGTCGACGCGCGGACGGAGAGGACACGTGACCAGGTTATCAAGGAAGACACGTGGGACAAGCTGATTGACCGCTGCTACAACGAGATCGTCAAGGGCAAGACAGAGCACCTTCTCGTCATGTTGGGGGTTCCGATTGCATACCCTCGGCTGGTGTGGTTAGAAAACATGTAAGTCAGCCTCTTTATTCTGGCAAGATTGGTATTGTATAGCTGACGTTGTTTCACAGCTTGACGTCTCGACTGCTTGATCCCGTCAAGGCTCTTGGCAAGGCTGGGATGTTCGGCAATGTGTTCAACAAGTTTGACGGCGGTGTCGAGGTCTTGGACGACCTCGACGACCACTGGACCGCGAAGAACCACAAGAACGAGCGCAAAATCGTTCTCGAGGATTTACAGGATCTTGCGGCAGACAGGTCGGTTCGTGTCACTATTCTCAGCGGCGACGTCCACCTGGCCGCGATTGGCCAATTCTACTCGAACCCGAAACTCGACCTGCCCAAGCATAAAGACTTCCGCTACATGCCCAACGTCATCTCATCTGCAATTGTCAACATACCCCCGCCAGATCTCATGGCCGATGTGCTGAATAAGCGCAACAAGGTGCATCATCTTGACAAGGACACTGACGAGGACATGATTCCCATATTTGGGCATGGAGTCGAGGGCAAGCCGAGAAACAACAAGCACCTCCTACCTCATCGGAACTGGTGCTCCATCCGCGAGTACACACCAGGGCAGACACCTCCTTCGACGCCGCCTGATTCTCTTTATGAGGAACAGGCTGCTGCCGCCACCTCTCCTGGGGCGCAGGATGGAGGCGGCGGAGGAGGAGGCTTTATTCACAGAGGGATCTCACGTCGCCTGTCTAAACGAAACCGCGGCCCGGCCCACCGTGCTGATGTGCTCGACTCGCGACCTCCCAACTCCTCTAAAGCCCCCGGTGGCCTGTTCCGGACACTCTCGTCCCGTGGGAGACGCTCGGACAGCGACGTGCCTGCAGGAGAGAAGCGGCCCGGTACAGGCAGACGTACGCTATCCCTCACGCGCGGCGACTTTAGCCTGTTCCGCCGCGGAAATAAGTCTCGCGAAAAGTCCAAGCCCGATGACGGCGGCATCAACGGATCGTGGGGAGAGGATAGCGACCCCGAGGATGGTCGCTATGAGCACTCGTCGGATCGAAGTGGCGGCGGCGGCGGTTTCTTGGGCGCCATTGGACTTAGAGGTGGCGGCGGTTCCTACGAGGAGTTCTCCGAAGGTGATGACTCGTACTTCACCGCGCACGCGCCGGCCAACAACAAGGCGTCTGCTTCTAGGCCGGGCCCCAGTGCTACCAAGGCGGCTCGGCTCTTGGGCGAGGAGGTGTCTGCTGCCTCATACGGTCGCGGGCTGGACGGGCAGCCAAGGGGCTATGGCGTGACGACTACGGTGACCGGGCCAGCGCAGCAGCAGCAGCAGCAGCAGCAGCAGCAACAACAACAACAGCAGCAGCAGCAGCAGCAGCAGGCTGGGGAGGCCAGCTTCCGCCCCAAGCCCGTTCTCCGCACACCGACTTCCGCAAGCATGAAGCAGGGACGCGGTCTGAGGAGGGTGAACACACATGAGGTGAACATCCAAGGCGGCCTGGACATCTGCTTGAATGTCGAGGTCAGCGCCAAGGATCCTGCCGGCATCACGGTCCCGTATCGGCTCCTCGTGCCCAAGCTGTGGTATGATGCTGCGGAAGGGCAGGATGTGGAGATGCCGGCGCGGAATGTAAGTGGTGTCAAGAGATTATTGAGTCTGAACCGGGGCAAGAGTCAGTATGATGGTGGTGCGAAGGCAAAGGGCAATGGAAGGGCGGCCGAGAGGCAGCAGGGTTACTACGAGCAGGGCCAGGCTCTCGGCCAGAGGCCGCCTGTGATGGCGCCGGGGGCGAATGAGCCGGGTGTAGCAAGGGAAATTGACCCTGCACCCGGAACGGCCTTCTAAAAAGTGGCGTGGGATGTAGGGGAGAAGTGGGCTAATGAGGTGCTTGGAATCTTTTCCCTTCCCTCTATGGACGTTCATTCGTAAGCGGGCGATGCACATATCTGATGACGGGAGATGGCAAGCAAGTAGCATCATGGCAACGTGGTAATGACTTTCATGCTTTTTTTATCTTTGTTTTTTTGACGCCCCTAGGGCAGACGAGAAATACGAACAAAAAGGAGGGGACAGAATCATGTTTACGACGACGGTATGATTATGATGCATTAATAGCCACGGATAACCACGACGACAACAAATATTGGGGGAGGGGCTTGCATAATATACTTTTCTCGCCATTTCTACCCATTTCACTTGGCTGCAAATTTAGTTCCTCCGACTGGGTGTTCTTCCTTTTTCCTTTCCCCTCCCCCCTCCCCTCTCCTATGTGCAGGTTTTCGAAAACGTTGAAGAACAATGGATCATGAAACATGTTCGACGGGGTTTATAGTAATCGCACTCGTGTGAATATAAGGTATCCTCTCATTTAATCATGTCTGTTTATATCACAGTTGTTTTTGACGACACAAATCTCGCCCACCTGACCTGGCCACAGCATCATGTCTTTCGAGACTGACGTGGTAACGACAAGAGACAGTCATCAGCGTGTGCGAGTCTAGTATCACTACTGTCAGCTTCATGAATACTAAGACAGGCGAGGCTAGGTAGTGATGAAGGTAAAAAGAGGACGACGTACCGTAAATGTCGGTGAGGTGCATGCCGACGTGTCTCGTCCCTCTTTTTCTTTTCGCTTTTTCTTTTTGTACACTCTCGGAAGTTGGACAACACGTCGGCTTCGTTTCAATTGATTGGTCTCCCACACCTCCCTCCTGGTAGCTTCATAACTTCCTCCAGGAGACCGGCGCCATGACAGCCAGGAATCGGAAGGACCGGAAGGAAGGGGGGGGGGGGGGGTTTAAACGTCTAGGAACGCCCGCAGGCCCATGTTAGACACGCGCATGCAGTATTGTCCCTTGACAAATCACGCCCCTTATGAGCCCTACTCCGACCCAGATTCTTCCGCCTCTCCAATTGGCCAAGCCGCACAGCCCAACGAGGGTCACAGGGCCTTCGCCCTCACACACTCTGTCGCTATTCCCTCTTTTCCATCTGGCTCCTTCAGCCTTAGTCGTCCCTCTCACGGTCACGCCTGTCGCCGCCGGGACTTCTGCTCCGGCTGCGCTGCCGCCTTCCGCCGCCGCGCGCGCCACCACCACCACCACCACCACCGCCACCGCCACCGCCAGACCTTCCGGCGCCGCCCTTGTTGGGGGGTGGGCGCACGAAGGCGAAGTCGACGTGGATGGTCTGGTCGAGAAGCTTGGTGTCGTGGGCGCCGTCGATGGCGGCGCGGGCCTCCTGGAGGGTGGGGTATTCGATCAACGCGTAGCCCTGTGAAACACCATCACCATATTTCAACAATCAAGACCACATAGAAGAGGAAAAGAAGGGTTGTGGTGAGGGGAGAAGGGGAGGGAAACAAAAAGGGCAGGGTAGGTTAGGGAAAGTTTCCTTACCTTGACGTAACCGCTCCGCCTGTCCAGGTTCAGGTGCAGGTTCTTGATCTCGCCGTACTCGCCAAACATGTCGTGGATGGTCTCCTCGTCGGCCTCCTCGTGCACGTTGGTCACGATAATGATCCAGCCCTCGATAGAGCGCACGGCTGTGGCCCTGCCGTGGGTCTGCATGTCGTCGACCATTGCCTGGGCGGGGACCGGCGAGACGGGCTCGTCGACGTCCATCTCTACGTCGGCCATGGTTTCTTTGTTGCTGTGGTTGTGGATTGTTGGTCTGTGGGCGTTGAGGAGTGACGTGGTGGATGGTTTGGTGGTCTCTTGTGTTTTTTTTTTTCAAGGTTGTGATAGTGGATTGATTAATTTGTTTGTCGATGATGGCAGCAGCAGCAGCGGGCGGCATGGAAGGTTGAGGTTGGGTGGGGCCGGGCGGGAGCTTGGGTGTTCCTCCTGCAGTGCTTGGGTTGGAGCTTTTTACCTTTTACACTGCACTAGCAATTCCATCTCCGTGCCTGGCGTCAACAAGAATATACAAGTATCACCACTAGCGTTCGTCTCAACCTAATATTCTACACCATCCACCCTTCGTCTGTTTCCATTCTTTTCTTTTCACTGTCTCTTTCAATCACCCTTGTGTGATTGAGGCTTCTTACCTTTGCAACTTCGGCCGTCTCCCTCATTTGTTCCAGCTTACCGTGTGTGATGACCCCTCGTTCTGCAAACCTGTGCAACATGCCGAGACGATGGGATGGTGACACAGGTAAGATGCTGTTGTTGCAAAGAGAAGAAGACCGACCATTTTCACCAGTGGCCGAGCCTTGGGCCCGAAAAATGCTCGGATGCGGGCCACATCATCTAAGATCTCAAAAATCTTGTCGACTTTGCTACAGCCTTCTCAGCCGTGTCGAGGTCCTCAGCTGCCGACGGTGAACAAGCACTCGGACCGTGGCAAGGCACTCAGAATGATTTGGGATCCGACTGGGTTGCCGATCTCAGCGATACAGACCTATGATGGGGTGGTAATGACAACTTCGGTCTCGTCTCTCCGTGAGAGAGATCGACCAAGGCTGGAGATTCCTCTACAGTCTGAATTCAGCGAAGGTTGTGGACGGTGTTTTCGGGTCGTCCCGACACCATCAGCTCGCTCCAAGTGGAAGGATTGCGCTCACCTCGGAACCAACCTCGGACAAAGAACGGGGTTTTCAATTGTATAAGACGGGCGAATCTTGTTGTAAGTCGAGGTCGGCGAGTATATATCTCTTATTGTACATGCTTAAGCAGCCATGTCTGTCTATCGACACTTTCTTTCAAATCATTGCTACAATTTCTATAGTAACTCTTGTTGGCTGGTTCTTTTTCTCTCTCGTTCTTCCCTCTCTATCATCACACTTTTACCTTCTTGTCAACCCATTTGTTAGTCTCCTATCAACACAACAAAAGAAAGAAGAACAGACTCTCACACAACATGAGTGGTCTCAATGTCCTCATCATAGGCGCCGGCGTGTGCGGGCCAGCTCTGGCCTGCCTGCTCAGGCGCTCAAGCCCTCGTCACAAAATCACAGTCGTCGAGCGCTGGCCCACACTCCGCGCGGCTGGACAGCAGATCGACCTGAATGAGAACGGGCTCCGCATCCTGAAGAGGATGGGACTACTGGAAGTGATCAAGTCCAAATGTGTTGAGGAGGCGGGCGTTGAGGTCTTCGACTCCAAGGGGAAGTCGGCAGGTCGTTTCGGCGTGACGCCTGCGGGAGAAACCAAGCGCGGGCTGACGTGCGAGTATGAGATCATGCGGGGCGATGTCGTGCAGGTTTTATATGATGCGAGCTTGGAGCAGGATGCCAAGGCCAGGGAAGAAGCAGCCGGGGGAGAGGGCGGTCTGACCTATGCGTTCGACAAGACGGTCACGAACTTGGTTCAGGATGACCATGGGGCCAATGTCACGTTCTCAGACGGGCAAGCGGAACGCTTCGACCTTGTCGTAGCTGCAGACGGGTTAGGATCACGGACCAGGAAGGCCGTCTTCGGGCGAGAAGCCAGTGACGCAGCCTTCAGCTCGATCGGTGTCCACGCCGCCTATTTCAGCATACCGCGCGTTGAGGGCGAAGACAACCTCGCCAAAGCCTACAGTGCACCGGGGCGCAGGATCGTCATGACGAGGACGAGCGGCCGGCCCATAACCCAGGTGATCCTGTTCACCATGAGCGACGACACGGGCAGCCTGAAGGCATGCTACAAGCAGCCCATTGAGAAGCAGAAGCAGGCATTTGCGGAGAAGTTCAAAGGCGCAGGCTGGGAGACAGAGCGCCTCTTGGCGGGGATGGCCACCTGCGAGGACTTTTGGTCCTCCGAGGTTGCGCAGATCAAGATGGATAGGCTGCACACGGGCCGGGTTGTGCTGCTCGGCGACGCGGGGTACTGTCCTTCCCCATTTACAGGCATGGGCACTGAATGCTGCCTGATCGGGGCGTACGTACTCGCGGGCGAGCTGGCAGAGCGGGCTGGCCGCAGCAACAGCAGCAACAGCGACGTCGTTGCAGGGGCGCTGCAGGCGTACGAGGAGAAGATGCGAGCACCCGTCCGAGACCTGCAGAAGCTGCCGGGGATGAGCACCGGCCTCTTCTTTCCGTCGTCTAGAATTGGTGTCTGGCTCTTGCGGAATCTGATCTGGGCTGTCTCCAAAATTGACCAGCTGCGGTATCACGAACCACCTGCTGGGAAGAAGACGGAGCTGGGCAACACGCTTGGGTGGGATCTGCCTCGCTATCCTGAGCTGAGATTGGACTCGTGATGCAGCAAGGACTTTGAAGGGAAAAAAGAAGAGAGAGGAATATTGACCTGGTTTGAACGAGGATTTGTGCCTCGCTGGTTCGAGATGAAGTTCTGCGTCTGAATGTCTCTTTATTCACGTAAACGCCCCTCACTTGTTAACTTATTTGACATGAGAATATAATCAAACATCCACTCTGCCCGATGAGCCATGAAACCATCAATTCAATTTTACTATAGCTCAGAAGTTGATCTGGTTGATATTTTGAAAATGGTTATGGGTACAAGTACTTTAGATGGAGAGGCGAGGTTGTGTGGTCTGAACACAGACTGGTAGATGTTCTTGTTTCAGACCCAATTCACTAGGTGCAGCCTCCCCCATCAGGCTGCGCGGGTTCACATAGACCATCATCATGTGAGTGCAGTGCGGCTGGTAGACTTGAGGACCTGGCATAATTATGGGAAAACTTGAGGTTGGTTGCTAAGACCTCATATATTTGCCTGTGTATTCCCATCTGATAATTATTGATGATAAAAATCTGTGTAGACCCCTTTGCCTGCTGAGTGCACCTAAGTAGATGGGGTCGGTCTGAAACAGGAAGGTCTGCTGCTCTGTGTTCAGACCACACAACCTCGCCTCTCCAGACTGTACAATGGTACTGGCTTCAGCGCGTTAAACCTGCTGTGGCTAGACAACCACCCCCCCCCTCCCCTCTTCCTTCCCCCATCCGATGGTGGGTGAATCATCTCACTCACACACGGCTATCGCTTCACTCCTTTTGCCCCTCTCTTTTCTTTCCCAAAACACGCACACACGAACTATGTGAACGAGGCGAGCATACCGGGGCTAGAGAACCGTCTCATTCTTGTCGCATACTTACGGCGCCGTCCTTTATCTCTGGTGGCATTTCCTCTCCTTATTTTGTCATTATTTCTTGTTGAAAGCACCCTGTCGACTTTATGGTTTCGCGGTGCGCTCCCTACGACCTCTTGATCTGAAGTCCTCTGCGGTCCCTGTTTCATCATCGTCTTCCTTGGATCCAACCGGATTCCCACGTCACTTGACGCGTCCTCAGCCACCTCTGACTTCTTCTCCTTTCTTCCTTCTCGTAACCTCTTACGATGAATTTGTGTGCGCTTTGAAGATTCAATTAGAATCTGGTCGCTTCGGTCCTTATCGCTGATGGCATGAGCATTGGTTGTCTATGCTCGCTCGGCGCACCCCCTGCAGCATCGCGTCCTTTGGAAAACCGGATGGGGTGTGAGAGAAAGTTGCGCTGTACGAGAACTGTTTTATCCTTTTGGTAACACCTAATTGTATATTCATATTTGTTGGAGCACGACAGAGACTATCAAGGGTGAGAACAGGATGTTGCTCTCCCGAGTCGCGGTCGAGGCGGCTCTGTTTGGCGCAGTGGCTGCTGAAGGATCCCACTTGAGCCCAGATGCGCAGCAACCGCAGCAGCAGCAGCAGCAGCAGCAGGTCCTGGCCCAGTATGGTGGTGAGCCCGTCGGTCCGTCCTCGACCGCCATTTCGAGCACGTATCTCCTGGATAAGATTATAGAGGTTCTCGACACGATGCAAGACGACTATTTTCAGCCCTGGCTGGGAACATGGCCCACAGCAATCGACTGGACGGCCGCCGTCATGGGAACGCATGTCTCTGGTGGCCTCAGCACCATCTCACGAGCCCTCGATCTCCTCCCAGGCACGGACAGGTGGGCTAGCATGGGCAAGGAGAACACTGTCACCCTCTTCTTCTCACAGGTCCTCGGCTTCTATTTCGGCCAGGACAGCTTCGCCATCCGGAATGAGGCTTACGACGATATCCTCTGGGTGGTCTTGGGCTGGCTCGAGACCATCCAGTTCATCAACCTCCACACCAGCGTCACCTCCCGCCAGGCCCTGGACGCTATGGACGGGTACATGGGCCAGCACGGCTTTGAGAAGTGGCACGGGAATATATGGATCCCCGCCTTCGCCCACCGCAGCAGGATCTTCTGGAACCTTGCCAAGGCAGGTTGGGACTCGGATCTCTGTGGTGGCGGGATGGTCTGGAACCCGAGGCTCGAGCCGTATAAGAATGCCATCACAAACCAGCTCTTCATCTCGGCATCAGCATCCATGCACTTGTACTTCCCCGGCGACGGCAACCGCTCGCCCTTCTTTAGTGACACGGATACCACCAGCCCCGAATTCCTTGTGCGACCGAGCGCGCAGGATGTTTTTGAGCCTCAGGACCCTGCCTTTCTCCGCTTCGCGAGGGAGGGCTACAGCTGGCTCCAGTCCTCGGGCATGATGAACAGCAAGGGCCTCTACATAGATGGGTTCCATATCTCAGGATGGGCTGATCCCAGGAGCACCAACAAGAGATGTGACGTCCGCAATGAGCAGGTGTACACCTACAACCAGGGGGTCATCCTGACGGGGCAGCTCAACCTTTGGAAGATCACAGGGAATTACTCGTACGTGGAGGACGGGCACCGGCTCATCCGATCCGTCATCCAGGCTACGGGATGGCACCTGGGTGAGCAGCGGCCCGCCGATCGGGGCGTTCCCCGCGCCCACGGCCCGCCGCACCGCTGGAAGGGAAGGAGGCTGCCGCGCTGGCACGGCATCGGCCGCGCAGGTGTCATGGAGGAGATGTGCGACAGCCGTGGCGACTGCTCGCAGGACTCCCAGACCTTCAAGGGCATCTTCTTCCACCACCTTACGACCTTCTGCGGCGCGTCCCTCTCCTGGTCCGAGTTCGTGGCGCCGCAGAGCGAGACCCCGCGCCATATCCGCACGCACACGCACGCGTGCAAGTCGTATCTCCCCTGGCTCGAGCACAACAGGCACGCTATGATGGAGACGCGCGACGGCGCCGGCAGGGTTGGCATGTGGTGGACCGCTGGCTTGCTGGGCCTGAACGACGAGATGCCGCCCGACGAGGACTTTGCCGACATGGTGAATCCCGACGCGGTGGACTATAGAAATGGCGGCGTGCCGGACGACCCCATGTGGAGGAGGCCCACGCCACCCATCAAGCCCCCGAGCGTGCCTAAGGTGCCCCTGCCCGGTGTGGAAAAAGATGATCGTCTTCTAGCCTTGCGAGAATCTCTCTCGAATAATAATGAGGGCGGCAACCACAAGCGGGATCTCAATGACCGTGGCCGTGGGCGGACAGTCGAGACGCAGGGCGGGGGGCTGGCGCTGCTGAGGGCATACTGGGAGATTTCTGATGGACCGGGCACGGCGAGGGCCCAAGCGACGACTACAGGCGATGGATGAACTTTGCATGTCTGCAAGCTCAGACAGATAGATAGGCCCATCTCACATTGGCCTGTGTGGTTGGCTCTGCGCGCTCACATACATACATACATTCCTAAGTACTTAACGAGACATCATGAACTAAGTAGCATTTTACCATGAAATATATCTACCTGTGAATCGGCTTTCTGATCGGAAACCCCCCCCCCCTCCCTTAAAAACGAAATACCCAGAAATTTACCTAACATAGGGAGAATTCCTCCAAAATGAAAGCGGTAGTACAACTTGGGATATCAGGATTGGTTCGCAATAGATCCTAAAGCGCATACTTACAATATCACCCAAAGAATGAAAACCCGTCACACCCGCTGTTGCTGCTATTCACACACGCTCGAATGCCTGGGCTCTTTGTTGGCCATGACTTGCCGATCATAATCCGGGAGATGTTGTCCCGTCCGCTGGTCTTTCTTCTATTCCCCCCCCCCCCCCCCTCGGTATCTCTCTTCCTGCGAAAGCAGACGCACCAGTCCACCTGTGCCTCTTTCATAACGCGATGCAACCAACGATCCACCTGGGTTTCATCTGGGCGACAAATATCTCTTCTCCTCTTTCATCTGCCCGACCAGTGCCCTTTTCTGTATGGGCTTCTTCTTAATCCCTCCACTCATCACCGCCCTTGACGCCACTCGGCACAGCAGCAGCGCTGCTCGAGCTTCCGCCCGTCTCGTCCTCGTCATCATCTAGCGCCATGGCCAGTTCGTCGGGATCCCGCATCTTGGCGTCTGGCGCGTCGACATCTGTAATACCGTGCTCTTCCTCGTCCTCGTCATCTTCCATGAACGGCCTGCCCTCGCCGCCCAGCACGCCGTCGTCCGCGCTGACCGAGATTCCCCTCTTGCCCCACGCGCCGCGGCCGGCGTTGCCATTCCGCCCGCCACGGCCACCACCGCCCAGCGCAGGACCACCCTCCTCATCATCCTCGGCCCGGCCGCCCGCGGCGTCGCGATCGACGTGGTTGCCGAAGATGCGGCGCAGCAGCCAGCTCTTGCGCATGTCGTCTGCGTCGACGACACCGCCGGAGCGGAGCTTGACGCGCTGGCGCGTATAGTAGACCCAGGCGAAGTCGACGTAGAGGGCGGTCTGGAGGAGACCGAAGATGACCTTGACGGGCTTCGGGTCTGAGTCGCTCATGTCCAGCTCGCGGATGAACCAGTTGAGGATGTAGAAGGCGCGGTACAGGCCCAGGGCGAGGAGATAGTAGCTGTCGATGACGGTCGGGACGGTGGTCTGGCGGAGAAGGAGGAGCTGCGGGAGGACGCAGACGGACTCGAGGATGTAGGAGAGGTTCCAGAGCCACTGTGCAGAAGGAAATCAGTGTTAGCAAAAGGCATCTCGCTCTTTTCTTCGGTTTTGTATCTGCGCGATGTGCTACAGCAGCAACAACAACAACAGCAGCACCAGCCAAGACTTACCCAGAAGAAGCTCCACTCGCCCTTGTTCTGGAAGATCAGCATGGTGAAGGGCGACAGGAGCAGCGAGCCGAAGAAGCACGCCGCGCCCAGCTTCCATGCCAGCTCCCGCTCCCTCGTCCGCGGGAACATCCACTGCATGGCCGCGATGATGTAAAAGGACGAGAGGATGTAGAAGATCTTAAAGATGCGGTTGTACAGGTACTGGGCCGCGCCGAACAAGTCCGTGTAGCGCGCCAGGAAGACGACGCAGTAGAGGACCTGCGTGATGAAGGAGACGCCTGCCAGAGGTTATTCGCCGACCCGGGGCGCGTATGTCAGCGACTCTGCCACGAGAGATTCAAGGGGGAAGTAAGCAAGGAACAGAGAGGGTTTTGAATACCTTCTGCACTTCGGTTGCGATGTATGGAGAGCAAGAGAATGATCTTGGAGGCCAGATGGCAGAAGTCGCCCGCCAGGCGGAAGAACTGTTCCGTTCAAAGTCGGTCCATCAGCCTCATTTCACCTTGGTCATGGCCATCTCTGGGGAGTAAATGCTCACATTCCACGCGCCCATCTTGACTTGATTTCTCGGGCCTCGGTGGGCCAAACCACAGAGGAGAGGTCTTCGAGTGGTATGCTCTCTGTCCTCCCGAAGGCAGGTTCGTTTGAGAGTTGTCTGACCCTCGGGTTTGGAAGATGGGCGAGGAAGGAAGAAGGATCGCTGGTCGGTTCGATTATTTTGGTTGGTGAATACACAAGGTCCGCGGTGCTTCTAGATCCAGCTGAAGGGCCGTTGTCGTCGTCGTCGTCGTCGAAGCCTTGGGAGCTTGCGAAGCTAGCTAGGCTGCCATAGAGATACAGACAGATGATGGTGATGCATGAGGGTCTTCGGGCGACGTACTATGACTGTAGGTTACGTGGAGGTGGTGGGTCGGGGGCGTATCAGCTGCGGGACTTGAGGACGTCACGCAGGGACAGGGGGGCTGAGTTAGGGGCCACCTGGGAGGTCTAGCTCGACATGGAGCGAGGGACCCGTGATGGCTTGGCGATATATACTTAGTACAGTACCTTTGTACACAGTATCACAACATTAATTAGTACATATGTAAGGTGGCTCAACTTTTTCCACTGGGTCAAAACAGGAGCCAATAGAAGAGGCCAGAGGAATGAATTCCTTCTGAAAGTCCATTCTTTCATCGTTGCTACTTCCTCGGTATCAGAGTCTTACACAAAGAAAGAAAAATGCTGACCAGAAACTCCCGAAGGCCAAACGCTTGCCAGATGCCCAACCAACTCCGAATCGTCCCGTTGTGAATATCAATATGGAGGGGCTGTCGCTTTCGTCAACCCTCCAAAGAAGCCCAATTTCCTTTGAAAATGCAGATCATGCCAAAGCTTTTTCCCTGTCCTCTGCCCAAGACCAATCTTTGCGCCTGAATGAGCCTGCTTCACTGACGGAGCCGAGGGTGGTGGTACGTTCTACCTCGCACCCAAAAATAATCACCAAAGTTGCTGGAAAGTCTCTTAGGTCCGGTGTCTCCTTTCGACGCCCGACCCGAAGGAAAGAATAAATGCCACGCTATAAGGTCTTCGCTTGTCACCGAAGCTCAGCGCTTTCATCACTGTCCGGGACATGTTCAGGCATCCACTCCATCCGTATGTTGTCAAAGTAATGGCTGCGTTTAGGTCAGCAAGCGACACTTCTCTCTCAACTCCGTAGTAGTCAATACGTACTCGGCGAAACGGGTATTAGATAGTGCATCGGCCCCATATTCAGACTCGAGCATGACTTTGTACTTATATGGGATCTTGACTGGAGATCCCTCAAACTTTGTGCTATAGAGCGGGTAGAGGTAAGTGTCCCTGAACTCGTGGCCGTCCTTGCACGAGAGGATCCCCTCGCCCGCTGGGTGCGTCAGGTTGTACCTCACGGTGGTGATGTCGATGAACATGCCGCTGTCTGTGTCGATCCACCTCGCGTCGATGACGTTGGACGTGTCGGTCTGCTCCCGGTTGATGTAGTTCGGGTTGACCTCGAGCATATAGTACTTTCCATATGGCATACGGGACGTCTTGTAGTGGAACGTCGACATATTGTAGTACGATGCCAGGTAGTGCATGCTCTCTTCCGTCACCTGGCTTTGAGGATGGTCAGAGTCATCGGCCATGATGGCTGTTTGTAAAAAAAGGGTACAATGGGTCTGTCTACTTACACATCGATATCCGTGTCCCAGGGCAGGACCTAACCATCACTATCAGTCAGCTTCAACACATAAGAGGAAATGAGGGCGCATCTGAAGGCATCAGACCTTCTGTCCCCACCACCAGCCTAGCAGGGAACCGTGCATGAGCCATGTCTCGATCCCTAATTCCGCGAATGTGGCCAAGTACGTCTGTACTAAGTTCTTCAGAGCGTCCTTTTGTTCGCTGTAAGGCAAGACATCCTTTGCAAATCTGCCGTGAACGTCAGTATGCGTGTACCGGCAGCAATGACCCTGTCAAGGATACTGACCGCCCGTCGTAGTGAGGATGGAAGCTTTTCACATGATCGTAGTCAGTATTGTACGGCCCGTGCTGGACGAGGGCAAACCAGACTCACAAGGCCTCATCTGTGGAAGTTGGTTCGTTAGTAAAGATAACTTCTTCGAACCCTATTTCAAGATGACAATATTGACCAGGGTGTAAATCCATAGGGAGGCTGGTAGAACCTACGAAAGTATTTGTCTGGTTCATCGATATGTTTGCTGTTGCGATTGTAAGGATTTTTCCTCCGTACTTGCAAGAAATCTGCGTCTGCAACCGCCGTTGGGGTCCATATGGATCCCCATGCGAGCGTGGACAGAAGAAGCCTGGTGGGCCGCATGATGGATGAGGATGTTCAAGGAGAGTAGTCCCTTGCTGAACGACGGGGGGGGAGAAAAGCAGAGAGACACAAGGAAAGATGGTCGCGTGCTCAAAATCTGCGTGCGACGAGGTCGGTCTTTCTATCGGAGCAAGAGTGCCGATCTGATCCTGTCGTGGTCATCTGTGCATAAATGCGGCAGCCCAGATGGTGTGGGTCGTATGTGCGCAAGTAATTACACAAATGATGAGAAGAGACTCAGCAGGCAGACAAATTTTAGATAGACGACGAGATAGACCGGCAAAATATCCCCAGGGCTGTCGAGGTTCGTGCTAGAAGACGGGTCGGGTTATAAGCAGGTTGTTGCTTCTGCTGGCGGTCGACACAATATCAAGACATTGAATGGCAGGTACAGGTCGAGTCGCGAGATGCTGTGGATATACGGCCCAAGTTTGCTGGAGGCTCGAGTGCACATCAAGACAAGCATGGGGGAAAAAGGAGACGAAAATAAAGAGTGTAAAGAAAGGAGAGGAAAGAACTTTGTCAAATATGGGACGAGGTTATTTTCATCAACGAGCTTAGACTGCGGCTGTCAAGGTTTAGAAGGAAACCCTATCCTGGTTTTCTCCAGGTCCCCAGTAGTAGGCCCGCTGCTGCGTGGCCCTCGACTTCCCTCGGTAGGTTGACGGTTGTATAGGCCACCAACATAGCACTGTAACATGTGCCAACCGGGCGATGACGCAGGCTTGCATCCATGCAACAACGGGCACTCCCACTTCCCGGCCGATCTGCTCACCAGGAAAAAATGAACAAAGGAAAAGGGAAAGAACAGATTCACCAGACAGTTTCCCCTATCCTTCCCCCCTTGCGTTCTCATGCAGGGGTTGTCCAACCAAGAAAGCATCGAAAGAAGATCTAGAGGGCAGGCGTGAGTGGGCTGCAGCACTAGTACGTGAGGGACATGGCAGGCTGTGCCACAGTGGTGAGTCGGGGGGCCGCGTCATCCCCAGTCCAACCAACCCACTGCAGGCGCTGCGTTTGAAATATGCACGCAAGCGGCAAACCGGCAAGCCCAACAGGGTCTCAAAACACAAGGCCTGAAAGAAAATGAGGGTTGCCCTTGTGGAACTATCGCCCTACCGTTGAGCTGGTTAGAATCTTGTCTCCCTCAACGATCTCCCTGTGTATCATTGTACTTGAGCAGCCATTTGCAACCACCCACAAATTGGGCCCAGCCTGAGTCGGAGGGGGGAGGGGGGTCTGCGGCACATGAGCGCCTGCCCGAGCTGGCAGGTCCCCACCACCGGGAACAAAGGGTCGCTCAGGGTCTTGTTCTCTTTTTCACATTGCCAGATTATGCTGGTTTTCCGTATGTACCATGGTAAGTGGCGGTCGTGCCGGCCTGTCGTCGAGTCTTCTTCGCCATTTTATGGCATTCGCAACCATCAGATCCATTTTTGGGTCTGGAATTGATGCTCTCTCCATAATGCGCTTATTTTTTTTTGCATGTACTTCACAGCCGCCCTGCTGGAAATGCATAGCACGACAGTGAGTAGCGTGTCTTGGTAGGCCCTCGGGCCGTTGAGGTGGAGCCCGGGCCTGACATGCTGGTGTTCGCTGGTGGAGAAGCTTCACGCACGGATCGACGCTTGACCCTGAGGCCATAAAACTATAGTCAATGTGAATCGTCTCAATTGTAGTCATTATGCTCAACGACAACTCGGCCCCAATTGTACGTTCATGCTGACGCTATTCTAGCATGAACATCTATACAAGTGCGCAGCCTCGAGGTCCAGGCTGTGTGGACAGCGTGGCTAAGTACTTACTTAAGTAAGTAGGCAGCATACCTTGTCATCTTAGTGCCTTCTCAGCCACAATATCCGCCAGTTATAAGCAACCCTTTGCAGGGACCTGTGGACAGCCATTAGTTAAGCCTATACACTATAGATACTACAGTACACTATATTATTGATTCGTATGATATCATGATCATTAACTCTATGAAGACCAACACGCCAGGCCAAGCGAACAACGTTATAAAGGTGTGTGTGACTGTACTCCAGCACGAGGTATGCGCATGGAAGGGCAGAGTAGGCGTCATTGGTGAGTTTCGTAGTCAAGATAGGGGATGCCGTCAGGCCCGCCGCCCATTCTTTTGCCTGGGCTTGGTCCAGGCCAGTGAATAAGAATTTCTCGGCTTCAACAATAGTCCCGAGCCCCGAAAGACCGTGTTTCTGTCACGTAGGGGCAATGTGTTGGTTCAAGAAGTGTGAACAATTCCTAGGGGGGAGGGGAGCCTGGGTATGATGGGGTCTTATTAACACTGACGTGAAAAGTCATGTATGGTGGTGTCACAGGGGTCTGGCTGTCTTTTGGCTGGAAGAATGAATTGACAGACTCCCCCACAGGGATGAAAAAGGCACCCATGTAGAGGATACCAATAATGCCACCAGCCAGTCCGTTCAATGCTCGGGACTTGGCCTGGAGCTCCAGACGCGCCACTTGGGTGGCCGTCCAGCCTCCAGAAGAGTGGGCGATGAGCAAGACACGTTTGCCCTGGTCGACGAGAGGCTCCAGCACGTTAAGCACGGCTTCGGCGTCCTCTTTGCCCTGAGGGTAGCCTCCAGCGGGGGGCTCTCGGTCGAAGTCGGGGTTGTGGATGTCGCCGACGTTCAACTTTGCGAGGTCGCAGGTCGGGAGCTGAGGACAGTAGGCTTGAATGCTTTCCTCCTGAAGTGCGTTGAGCAATGGCCCGTAAGGAGCCGGAGTCAGGTAAGAACCATGGCATAGAACAACTGCAAGGTCAGATCTCTGCTGTGTCATGATGTGCGAGATTTACAATGAGAAAGAAGCGAAGGCTGAAGGCCTGCTATACATGTCTCTTTGCCGAGGGGTACACTAAGGTTGTTGGATATGCACGTTGGTGGCACAGATGAGACTATAGTATCATGGAGGCCGTATCAAGGTAGGAGGTAAACTCGGTGATGGTGAAAAGTGGACACATGTAGACGTCACAAACGTAGCGACTGTTATCTGACCAAATCATTCAAGGAGAGCTCAAAGACATATCCATGCGTTCACTTTATTAGACACTCAAATGCTTGGCTAATTAATGTCTGGCTGGGGAGGTGGGAGTAGGCTCGGGAATATGGTCGTACATGTCTAAAGGGTTGTCTGAATTCTCAATCTGCGTAGGGTCTACACAGTGCTAACTGCTCTTCTGAATAGTGCTTGAGAAGAGTAGGAATTATCTTGGGAAACAGGCGGAGGTAAGTTGCGTAGTTCAGTAATTGATATATAGTGCTAAAGACGTCAAAAGTGGTTTGGCAACCATATGGCAGGGTTTCGGCTAACCCTAACCTTAACCCTGAAGACGTCACTGGCCTACACTGACAGCAACGGAAGCCCCGCTTCACTCGGCAAACGCGTCGTCGCGTCTCCCAAATCGACAGGTCAATGCCAAAGTCAATGCGACTTTCAAGACCGTATGGCACACAGATGGTGCGAGTATTCTTCTTTTTGACCTTGGTCTCATGACCTGACGAGCTTGCGACACCATGGATCAAAGTAAGCCAACCCCTTTCGTTCTCCACGACCGGACACGTCTTCTGACTTCCATGTGCAGCTCGCGAGGATCGTATGCGGTCGCGCATGCGCGGTGCGGCGTAGGTTATCCCTAAGTTGTCCCTCGTTCAGCTTTGCTGTGCTAATTGGATGTGCCTGAAGACGCCATCAGGTCCAGGATGCAGACTTCGGTGATCTCTTCGCGATTCCAGCCCTCGCGCCAGAGCCCGAGCCCGAGCCTGAACCAGAGCAGGAATCTCCAGATCCGCCAGCCGCAGCATCCCCAGAGATAACGCCGGCGGCTGCATCAGTCAAGCGCACTGGGCCAAACACATCAGCTAAGAGGCGACGACTGGGCACAGCAAGCGCGACTGTAAGCCCGCCACCAGCCCAATCTCAACCACCGTCCTCCCAGTCGACATCTGCAAATCGCTCGTCGAAACGTGTTTCGCCTGCTCGGCCAAACCGGGGCGACCCTTACGATTTTGACAATGCGCCGGCCACTGCCGACGAGGCGGAGGAGGCTGTCACGACCTCTGTGCCTCGAAGTCGCCCCTCATCTCAGCGCACGGGCATGGCAGCAAGGGCAGCCGTGCCTGGGCCAACCGTTCAGCACCAGGTTCCGCCACAGTCCTCACCTCTCATTGCACTCCGTGCCGAAGAGGTGAGCGAAAGCCCCACAGACGCGCCAGGGAGTGGCCATAGACGAAGGCTGCAGGCCAGCGGGGCCAGGGACTCGAGCGCGCTGCTTCAGTCTGCTTTGCAGTCGGCGGACAACGGCACGAGCATCGGGTTCCTGCAATCCTCGTCACCACTGTCGCGAAAATCTAGGAAAAGCGCAGCCGGGACTCTGGCTTCGGCGAGGTCCACTCGGACAGGGTTGCGTCGGAGTTCTCGGCTTTCTGGCAGTCCTGATGACAAGATTAATGAGCTCTCATCAGACTTGCCGGTAGGTGCTGAAGAGGCTTTCGGAGAAAACGTTGCCGCAGAGGACCCATCTCTGGAGGAGAGTGTGCCTGAGATACCAGAGACTGTTGTAGTCGAGCCCTCGATTGCAGGCGAGGACGAGGTAGCCCAGGAAGTTGATGACAGGGAGGCTGCACGACGCCTTGGTCGAAAGCGACCGCAAAGACACTTACGGGTAGCCTCGCCAGAATTATCACCTGATGAACCCTCGGAAGAACCAGTCGCCAAACGGCCGCGACCTGCAGCGCCGGCCAAGAAAACGAGCCCTGCGAAGCAACGCCAGCCGAAGGCACCAAGGGCCAAACCGAAGAAGCCAGCGACGGCACGGAAGAAAAGGGATGACGAGAGCCGTCCGCCAGTACCGGTCAAAATTCAACGGTTCACACGCCTCAGACCTCGTGGTGCTGACGATTCAGACGACGAGGACATACTTAACTTGAACATACCGTACGCCAACCGGAGTGGTGTCAATGCTGTCGATGTTCTCTCCTCGATGTGCGAGGAAATCATCGGCAGCAGTGTCAACAAGATAAAGGACAGTATCAGCAATTCACAAGACGCTGCTACAAAGAAGGAAAATCGTATAAAGCTGAGGGCTTTGGAGGCATTTCAGGGGCAGCTACGCACACGGCTTTTGGAGCATGTGAGGAATGACGTTTCTTGTTTGAGAGGGGTTGACTTTACTGACATGCATAACAGACGATTGCTCTTGATCAATTATTTGCACTCAGAAAACGCGTGCGGGATGCACAGAGAGAAAAGTTGAAGTTGCGAGAGAGAATCATACAGATCCGGGCTGAGAGGGAGCAAGTCGCACTACGCATGGATGCTCTGAGAGCCAAACATGACGAAGACAGCAAGCAGGCTTTGGTATGTCTTTTCATAAGCCACCCCCCCCCCCCCTTTCTTTTTTTTTTCCGGCTCACTTTCTTGTTTTATTCTGAAAAATCCGGGTCGATGACTAACTCCATGGGCAGCACAATATCAGTCTTTCCGCGGCAATGCACGATATCGACCTAGCGATCGAGCAGGGTCGGGCCGCCCCTGAGCTCTCAGTAAAAGACCAAAAGACAGCTGATCTTGCCAACCTGGAGCTGCTCATTAGCAGGGTTACAGAGCAGGCCTGTGATAGTGGGCCTGGTGGTGGTGGTGTACTGAAGCAAATCAAAGGTTTCAATGCGTTCTTGGAGCGCACGGTGGCTGTGCTCTGAGTGGCAGAACATACCTACCTGCCCACAGAATCTTGTTTTCGATCGATACCCTCTGACTCGGCGAGGCCGGTACATTTCATGCTAGTCAATTGTTGATACCTTTACAGGACTTACCGTGTTATCACATCGAGTGATTACTTTCCCGGGCTGACGAGTCTTCTCGACGGGCGCAAGCCAGCCTTCAGAGCGAATCACAATACGGCGTTATTAGTTGCGAGATGTCTGATCGCATGTAGCATCATAGTTGTCTTCAGTCCTGACTTTCGGTCACTATCACACATTTCTCGTGACTGCGTGCTCATAAATTCTTTCTGTCATAACGCCACGATGTTCACACCCGAGGCAGCTCTCGACATATAAACGGCCCGTGTGTGGGCACTGATATCAGTCCCGTCAACTCCTGGCCCGCCCTCCCCCAACAAGAAAACACAGGGACGACGAATCAATATCACTGGCATTCCTTTGAGTATTCGAAAGCAACAGAACTTACAGAGAACACACTGCTTCCATACGCACATCGCTACATCCGCCAACGACCTTTCCGCTGGTAGAGATTTTGACCGGCACGAACAAAAACAAAGCCCTCATTTATTTCAGATTTGCGCCCCTACAATGACAGAGTTACCAATGGCCGCTGGCTCGTCTGATGCCAGGCGCAGACGAGGCCACGACGACGTCGAATCCGGCTATGGCACCGTATCGCCATCCCCTCAACCTCGTACAGAGGAACAGGACCTCCCCAAGCACGAACGTCGAGGTAGCTCAGCGCGTCTCTGGTGCCAACAGGCTTGCGATAGGGCCTCTGAGCTCTGTTCAGGTGGCCGAAGACTCATGACAGGACCACCGGAGATTCGCGACTTTAGCGTTTCTAACGAGGACGTGGGCGGCGAAGCGGAGGACGACTTCTACCGGCTGGTGGACGTGTCTGAGGTGGAGACGGCCATGCAAGAGGTCAACAAGTCCGTCAAGGAGATTTACGACTTGATGAAGCTGAACGGGTGGGATCAACACTGTCTGAACGCTACGCGAGGCCGTAAGTGCACATTCAACGTCCGGATGAAAACCCTTCAGCACCTTTCGGACTGTCTGTATACAGGGCCTGACTGGAAGTCCCAATTGACGGGAGCCAACTCCATTGCTGTATCATCTGGTGGTAGGAGGCATGTGATCCCCTCGGAGGCCTACACGCTCGTTCAGGACCTACTCAGGGAACTTGAATCCGTCAGGAGAAAGCCAGAGAACTTCGCTTCTGAGGATGACCAAGTACGGGAGGCTACATGGGAAAGCATCCGGAAGCCACTTGCCGGCTTCACGAATGGGATCCTGGATGTAATCGAAGAGGTGGAAAAGGTCAGCAAGGTCTCTCAGAAGGCATTTTGGAAGCGTGTCATTTACATCATGGGGAGTGTTGGCTCGTTGGCCATGGTCCTCGGCGTTGTTCGTGGCTCGGTATGGACCCGGCCTAGCTGGGCATCAGACAGCCAAAGTAGGAGTTGCGCAGAGATTTGGGGTACGCACGATGGCCCTCTCCATGACACCCTTTCAGATTCTGGCATCTACCATGGTTCTTTGGACCCTTGAGGCGCTGGAGATCTGCAGGGCGGTGCTGTACTGGATTATGATCATATCGTTAGTGTTTCTGAAAGACAATACCTGTCAGCTTCACCTCTGAGCTCAGACTGGATAGCACGAGATGACTCGCGGGATCAACGACAGCCCACGCAGCGTCTGGCGCTTATTGAATACGTATGGCTCCTATGAGACTGCCTCATCATAAGCAATGATGAGCGCTCTCATTTCTCAATCGCAAGCAGACTGGTATGTCACTCTAGTGTCGCCTACTGCACCTTTAAGCGCGACCATCCCCCGGTTCAGTTTTCCAACCTCTCTCCGGTAGTGCCAAGGGTCATAAAGGTTAAATGTAGTAAGCAGATCAAGGACATTTGTGTTGGTTGTGTTTTAGAATGAGATTTAAATGAATTTTTTTACCGTCGGAGTCTTTACCCAGCGCTGCGTAGCTGAGCACGATAATGTAACCCTCATTCAATGTGTGAAAAAGTAAGGTGTCGACGCATTCATGCGGTTTCCTCATAATTAATTCAGGATGCTCATACCTACGATTTATAATAGTTGTGTTGCTCAAATCGTCATGTCCTCACAAGTTATATAGGTGGCTTGTCATTTGTCTGCCGAATTAATGACAAGTAGTTTATCAACAACATTGAAACAACACAATTCTCACAAGGTAGATATCTTCAAAGCACCAGTTATTATTCTTTTCATTTATGTTCTGAGAATTTGACTTATGAAATGCAAAGTGGGAGCATTTTGTGTATATTATTTGTGAGGTTCGAGAGGCTTTCAGCAGCAAGTGGACAAGAAGGGCCTTGGAATGATGATGTATGATATCATCATCCCGTCTTCCCCCAATATTGCCAACGAAAAGTAAGTAAAGAATTCCTATTTGAGGGCCCGAACAACGACCTCCCCTATCCCACTCCCTTCCTTCATGTTCACCAGGCTGCATGCCTCACCCACCAGTTCATACACGTGTATTTACTGTCACACGTCTCTCAGTCAAACCAAGGCACCTGATAGTGACCCAACCTCGTCTCCCGCCGCCACCAGAGCATCGCACCCTTCACACCACGCCCACCTCGCCCGGCCGACGTACCAAGATGTCATGGATGGACAGCTGGTCCCGGCCTTCCAAGCACCAGGCCACGCCCGCCCCCTTCTACTTGATCTCCGGCGGTGAGGACACGCCCTACTGCCACTCGTGTGGGCGGGTCATCAGCTCGCGCCGGACGCCATCTGCGGCCGCGGACAGCAAGACGCCCGTCAAATACTGCTCAAGCCGATGCCGCAGCCACAAACCTGGGAAGCTGGAACGCGAAATTGAGGCTGTCTTTGTCAGCTTTTTGAATGGGGAGAGGATGGAGCAACTGGGCGAAGGGCCGGCAGGCCAAAGCCATGGCGTTGCAAAGAAAGGCTCGAAAAGGGGAGCTGGTAAGAAGATGAAGGGTGATGCTAGGATATTGGTACCCTGCGATCAAGTGGAAAGACATATGTTTGACCGGGACGACGCTGGTACCGAAGGTGGGCATACAGACAGCAGCCTGACAGATCCCGAGCACACCTCACACGACACCCAGCCGCCTGATCAGCATCCCTCCTCCTCTGGAACCTTGGAGGACCCAACATCCTCCTCCTCCTCGCCTCCCATTGACTATGATGTCTTGGCGCGCCTGTCCATCCGTAGTGGCACGCGTATCCGGCCGCCACAGGACGTCTCGGAGGTCAACGGCAGCGTGGGCGGGGAAAAGGGCAGGGCGGAGCGGGTTGAGGAGACAGATGAAATGCTGGAAAAGCGGCGGGAAGGGCTCAGGAGGGCGAGACAGAGGGAGATGGTGAGGTGTGCGGCCAGAAGGGGTGTTGTGTTTGGGTTCGAAGTAGACACAGGGCAGACGAGGAAATGTGAGGCTGTCATGTTGGGCAAGGTTGTTGAACCGAGTTTCGCCAAGGGGGACTGGAGTGTTAGGTGGAGAGAATGATCTATCGTCGAGGTTTTCTGGGATCTTCAGGAATATAATATGTGCACTTGGAAGACAGATTGTACTTGGTTCCTAAGCCACGAGGGCCGGTCTTGACTTGCTTCTTGTTATGGTACCTCCCATCTATGTCAACTGGGTCATTTTGGCTTTCCTCGTCTGGCCGGATGGAGCCGGACAGTCTTCTGGCTGCGTGCGCATCTCAGCAACGGCGTAGATCAGCAGTCGCACCGCTGTGGTCCTCGCTCCGTTAAAGTGAGAAGAGAAGGTTTCAGGGCTTCTTGTTACCCCTTCGAGAATTATATATCCCCTTACAGATGCCCATGACGCCAATGAATCTCATGCCAATGATGCCACAATACAGTTGACGTACATCCCCCACGGAACAAGGACGACATCGTCCACTTTTCTCTTTCCTGTGCAGGTCTTAGGTCTTCTTCCCACCAGAAGAGGCAAATATTGTCGCAGCCTTGTCCCAAAGTGTCTCCTCGCCCTTCTCGATTCTGGCTTTCCTCTCCGCCTCCTGCTCCTTCCACAGGTTCTTTATCCTGTCGACCATCTCGGCCTTGGCCCTCGTCTCGGCATCTATGGCAGCCTGTTCTGCGTCGCGCTCCAGCTCGCTCACCTTCTCCAGCTGGTCTTGCACTCGCTTTTTTGCACTCTCGCTCAGCTTCGCGGCATTGTCCTCTGCAGCTGCGTCCGCGATCTGTTTGGGTATCACAGGCTCAAATTGCGGTATGGGTTTGCCTTCCTTCTGTGCCTCTTCTATCGCAGCCTCCTGCGTGAGCATCTGGTGGTAGAGCTTGTCGGCGTGCAGCTGGATCCTCTCGTCTGTATCCTGCGAGCCATCGACGCTATTGAGGTAGCCGAGTGCTTTGAGTAATCTCTGTTGTACGCCACGACGAAAAGAAATCAGCTCACATCCCGTAGACAAGAGCCCAACCATGGCGAGCACATCTGGGGAGAAACTCTCGATCAAACACTCACCGACTGCATATTATAGCACCTCTCAAACTTGCGCACCTCGTCCCTGCACATGGTCATGCGCGCGTACAGCGACCCGCCCCGCATGCAGTTGCTCCAGTCCAGCTGCTCGTCGGCGCAGTTCTCCAGGGCCGCCGCCCCGATGGCGGCCTTGCGGCTCTTGTACGCCTCGAGCACATCGCGTAGCTTCTCCTCATCGGACTTGGTCTCGTTCTCGATCTCAGAAAGCGGGCGGTACGTCTTCCAGAGGTGCGCGTACCGGCCGTCCTGGTACAGGCTCTGCTCTGGAACTCCCTTCTCTGACCGTGCGGCAGCGGCATCTTGCCTTGCGGCCTCTGCCTGGGCCTGGGCGGCAGCTACTTCTGCTTGGGCGGCGGCATCTTGGTCGGGCGCTTTCTTGTTGTCGAGCTTGACGGGGGACTCCTTCTCGAGGAACTCACGGACCTTGGGGTCGAGTCTTGCCAGGGGCTCGTCGCTCCTCTTGCCAAACCAGGCGTCAAACACGCCCATTGCGATGGCTAGTCGTTCCAGAGGGGGTTGGGTCTCATGGCCTGGGAGGTCTCGTCCTGGGTTTTTGCTCTTTGTTGGCAAGCCTGTCGGAGGCGAGCTCGGCAAGGAAAAGTCGAGGACTTGCGTTTGAATTTGCTGACGTAATCCACAGCACATGCAAGCAAGTAAACTCCTCGAAGAAGCACAAACTGGATAATTATTCTACTACATTTCGAAGCAACTTGATACACGTTGAGGGGACAGTTGGCTGAACATAAGCTAGAATGTATTACAATATAAGGGGATCTGATAGGAGTTTCTTAGTGACATGGCAGTGTCGGTCATAATTCATAAGGGGCGCTCCCCCAAGCAACACGGTTGAAGCGCTTGACCTCTGTTGAACTTGCTCCCCGTAATTGTCGTCGTAAGTGAGAGCTATGGTGGTCTTGTCGACCGTTGGCTAAGTTCGTCCCTGGCTGTCCTTGGTATTGGACTGCCTGGATCAACCCACTGTTCGACCACCGTCAGCGCACCTCACAGGGCGGTCCAAGTTGAACCGTATACTACACTAATCATGAACCGAGAGGTGAGGTGAAAAATCGTCCATCATTATCTAACAGTCACAGAGCAAGCCACATGTGGGTTGAGATTGTTTCTTTGATTGACGGAAACCTCGAATCCGCTTTCCTCGGCAATATCACACATGACCTTCGCATATTCGTTCGTCGTCAAGAGGCCACGGGTATGCCGAACTTCTTTTCATTCCAAACTGCTCTAGGGCAACCTGATGTCCTTTTTTTGTTTTTGCAGTTCGCCCTTGATCCGCCGCCCATTTCTTGTTTAAAAACCATCAAGCAATCGACGCCAGAAATGCCAGAGGAAACTCCACCCGTTCCGTGTCCCACCTTAGAACTTGGCGAACGACTTGACGGCCTTGCCGGTGCGAGGCAGCACACGGAGGACGTTGAATCGGACCTTAAGCAGAACATGTCAGCATCAAAAACTCTCGTGCAGCCCCCACGTATAAATATCCCACGATCTGCGGTAACCTACAGTCTTGCTCAGAGGTCGGCACTGTCCGACGGTGACCTGGTCACCCTCCTCAACACGGAAAGCTGGGGAGACGTGGGCGGCCAGGTTCTTGTGTCGCTTCTCATAACGGGAGTACTTGGGGATGAAGTGGAGATACTCGCGGCGGATGATGATGGTACGGTGCATCTTGGTGGAGACGACGGTGCCGGTCAGGATACGGCCACGGATCGAGACGAGACCAGTGAAGGGGCACTTCTTGTCTGTGGAGGAAATCATAGATCAGTAATTGTTCAAACCCCCAGGAACGTGTCTCTCCTCCTGCGCATGCCCAGAAGACCACCCTTGAGCGCGTGCTTCCTCTTGAGCCCCACTATGATCTGGTCACAGGCGTGCGAGCGCTCTCGACACATCTTGAAACGCATTCCGGAGAGAGCACCAAAAATCATGTCCTCACGTACCGATATACTGGCCCTCAATGGCAGCCTTGGGGGTACGGAAACCCAGGCCAACATCCTTGTACCACCGGCGCTGTTCCAATCCGTCAGCTATTTGAACCTTTTTTCTTCCTCTCCACGACACTTCGCGACGTCGAAATCGTAGATCGTATATATCAGGGGCCACTCACGCCACCCTTGCCAGGACGCTTGGTCTTGCTCTTGGTAACCAGAGAGACGTGAGGCTGCTTCTGGAAAGCCCTCTCGGACTGGACGGTCAACTCGGTAGCCATGTTTGCGGTTGGTCTTGTCGGTCGCAAAGGTAGTGGCGATGGATAAGGCTTCGCGATTCTATCGGTAAAAGATCGATGGTTAACTTCGCTTTATTCGACTCGATGTATGTTCGGTATTAAGATTCGAGACGAATGGGTTGGCGGCACTCACAAGTTGACCGAATGGCTGCTGGGCGATTGAGGTTCAGAAGTTCGAAAAGCAGAATCCACCCTGCAAAAGGCAAAGGGCAGAAAATCGGAGATCCCACAACAATTTCTGACTTGGTCCGAGCGTCACATCGCCACAGCTTGCTATCCCACTTTTCATCAATCTCAGCCACACTGGTGTGGCGCTGTCCATTTGATACATCGACCCCACTCCGACCGTCAGGATGATACCCCACTTTCCCTGTCTTGTCTAGCTCATCCAGTCGCCGTCTCTGGGCAGACGCGCTTGACGCTCCAAATGTTTACTCTCTTATGACCCGGCAACCCGAACCCACCCCAACTTTCTTGCAGATGCCAACAACCATTTCACTTTACAACGCGGTCATGCTCGAGCAGCTTGTTATTCTTGCTCGGCGTGTCATTATCACCTACCTATAACTAAGTCACCCGAACCATGGCTGGCGACACTACTCTACCGACAACGCGCCGCACGCGCAAGTCACTCAGCGCAGTGGACAAGGACAATGCGACTGCTGATCTGGGCGCGGGCCCAACCCTGGCGGAGAACAGAAAGAAGGCCAAGTCGCGTAGCAAGAGCATGGGTCCAGGAGGATTGGATGCTCTGAAGGCAGGTTCAGGGAACCGACGAGTGGTACTGTCACCATATACATGCTTCAAATGTTAACTGTACCTGACCCGACAATAGTCACTTGCGGGGCCTGCTCGACCACTACCTCGATCTATCCTCAAGCCGACCATGCCTCTACCGGAGATACCGTCATACAAATCGAAAGGAACCAAAGCCACCAGCGCTCCAAGTTCCGACAGCGCAATAAACCAAGGAAAGAGTGATGACGGTGGCGCATCCGGCACCAAGATTGCGTTGCGGACTGAGGAGGAACAACAGGCTGCGGCGCGAGATCGGGAGGAGCGTGAGAAGGCCGCATTGGAGAAGGAAATCCAAGACCGGAGGGAGGCTCGTCGGAAGTCTCTTGCAAATCGTCGAGTATCATTTGCGGCCGAGGCTACCCTTCATACATTCCATGAAATCGAATATATGCAGGACTCGACCACGTCGACAGACTCTACGCGTAGAGCATCATCTGTGGCTGCACAGTCGCCAGCTCCACGGTCTACGGAAAATGACGGTGGAGATGCGACCGACCCGCCCTCCACGCCGCCCGAGCAGGTTGAAGAGACCGTTGCCGATTCGCCAGAGGACCAGCGTCGCCTGCATCAGAAGAATCGCAGGAGGAGTTCAGGCGTGGCTTCTGAGAGCGATCTTAGTGGTCATGGCGATGATACCATGGCCTCGACTGTCTACGACTCGGACTCGGATGAAGGCGATGATGTTGCGGAAGTACAGACGGATGTCTCCAATTCTGATAGCGACTTCGACAGCGATGGGACTATGGTAACTGTGGAGGCGGAGGAGATGACATCTGTATCCCTGTCTTCAACCAGGTACGGGGCCGACGACGGAGAGACCACGTCAAGCTTGGACGGAGCATTAAGAGAGGCTGCCCGGCGAGCTGTCAACCAGGCGCGAGAGCCAGACGAGGGTGAGGAGGTCATCCCGGGTTTCGTGGGCTGGGGAAAGAACGCAAGACAACGACAACAGCAGCAACAAGCAGCAGTCTCACAAGAGGAGCCCCCATCGGATAACAGCTTCCCGTCATCAAGTCCTCTCAAGTCAAGTCCCTTGAAGGAAGATATCGACGAGACTGAAATGGGCATGGACATGGACATGACAAGTGCTGTTGGCGGTATCATCGATCCCAACGTGCTGTCTTCACCCGTTGGCGACATGTCAATGGATGTAACCAATGCTTACGGTGGCATCTTACCAAATGATGACGAACCTGCGGAAGAAGAGCAAACGATGGAGTTTACCACAGCAGTCGGCACCATTCAACGAGAACCAGCGTCGGACGCAGACTCGGGTCACCAGAGCGACGAGGAGATGTCAATGGAACTGACTACTGTGATGGGACGTGTGCTGGCTGCTAAGAACAAGCAATTGCAAGGCTCTTTCCAACAGAGCTCCTCGCCAGTCAAGGATCCAGCTGATGGCGACGCGCCCATGGATGTGACCTTAGACATGGGTGGTATGGGCCGGATTCTACCTGGCAGCAACGCGAATGCCGAGGAAGATGTTGACGGCGACGACACTGTTGGGATGGACATCACGACAGCTGTCGGCGGCATTCTCCAATCTCAACCGACGCCTGAGAGCAGGGCGGCAGCGAAACAGCTTATGGAGCAGGAAGTTGACCAGCCTGAGACGACAGACGCGCCAGAACTAGCTTCGATGAAAGCCTCGCCAAAACAGCCCCTGTCTAGTACCAACCAAGGCTCACAGCGATCTCCGGCCATATCGGCGTTTCATGGAAAGGGTCTTCGGCGAAGCAGTGGGCTCCTGTTCCCGCCGGCACCCAAGTCCCCTCCAAAGAGTACCAACACGACGCCATTATCCCAACGCAAGACACGCTCCCAAGGTCCCGCGTCTCCGTCTCATAGCCCGACGCGAAGGATGAGTCGCACTTCCTCACCCCAGACCAAGATCCTGCCTGCTCGAGGACCGTCGCCGCAAGCAAAGGCAACCCCGAATTCGTCGTTCAAGTCGTCCATAAAATTATCAAACAGTCTGTTTCAGCAAGACTCAACGCTTCCACTCGTGGTGCTCACGCCACAGAGACCCAAGCTTTCAGGTGTTGGTATTGATCGGAGCGGAATTGGCTCCCCTCGGATCACGGAAATATTTGACCGCCGCGGTTCAATTGGTGAGAGTGCTGCCGCTTTCAGTCCGATAACGCTTCCCGGGCAGAGGAAAATAGTTGCTTTCGAAGATCCAAAGGTGCTGGAGGAGGAAATTGACCGAGAGCGCCGCGATGATCAAGATCGTGAGAGCGGCCGACGCAGTATGGAGAAGGAGGCCGATGGCGGGTCAGATGACCGCGAGGCTACGCTGAACCTGAAAGAGCTGATCTCGGGGCTGTCTCCAAAGAAGAACCCTTTCAAAGGCCGCAAGAGTCTGCACGTCGGCAGTGCTCGGGGTCTTCTCGGAAAGCGTCCGTCGGAGCTGGATAATGATAGCGATACTGAAGAGCAGGATGGCATAAAGAGGCTTAAGGGGCTTCAGGGCAGTCCAGTCAAGAACATACGACTGCAGCAGCCACCGTCAAAGGCTGAGACGACGGGATCTCGAGCCACAGTCAGCCGAATGGACGACGTCGACGACCATGCCACCCCTACAACAAGACGATCTCCTCAAAAGAGCGCCAATGTCACGACACCGAAGGACCAGGGGCGCTTCAGGAACTTTGTTGACGATCAGCCTTCGACCACCATCAACTTCAACGCAACACCATCTGCAAACCTCCCTGAGTTGCAACCGAGCGATGGCGAAGACAGGCTTCATTTACAAGACTTCCTCAACATGACCAGCATTCGCTTCATGGAACTCACAACCACCAAGCGCCGGAATACGGTAATGCCCTCGGCCCGGAAAGACAGCATGTCGGCTGACGGCAAGGAAGACATTTCTCTGGAGAAATGCGTTGTTGCAGGAGCTTGTACAGTGCCGATGCTCGAGCTGTACCAACACTCTTGTCGCGAACTGAAGAAGTACATCTCCGAGGGTCGCCGTATTGTTCGTGAGATCGAGACGGAGACATTTGAAGAGAACCCACCCCTCTTCAAAGAGTACATTTCAGCCTCGCCCGAGTTCAAAACGTTGATGGACAACCAATTCAAGAATGTCAAGACTCACGCTCGACTCCTGAGCAAGGCCATGTGGTATGAATGGCGTATGAAGCTACAGGACGGTCTCAAGGAGGGACTGATCAAGACGGCCGAAGGCATGACGACGGATGAGAAGTTTTTTGATAAGCAGCAGAAGTTACTCTCCTCTATTCTGCCGGCTTTGGTGAAGCAGTCTGAGGCAATGAGCCGGGAGTGTGAAAACCTCGAGGCTGTCGCCAGCGAGCTGGAAGACTGCGACCCTCAAGAACTTGAAGCTGCTCGTTCCGATCTCGTCGCAGCTGAAGAGCACATCGAGGCAAAGACACGGGAGGTTGCACAGCTCCAGCAACAGCTCCAGGAAACCGAGCACAGCATTGGTCAACTTGCTGAGCGGAAACGAAGCTGCCACTCGGACATCAAGGAAGCCGAGAAGATCCGCCAGGATTGTCGCGGTTGGAGCTCTGGCGAGATTGGTACTCTAAAGGCTAGAGTGAAGGCTATTGAAAAGCAACACGGTTGGGCTATTACGGGCGTCCAAGGCACCACTATGTCGATGACCTACCGGCGGGAGATCGAGCTTGTGCTCGACGTTGCCTCGTTCCATCCCGGACAGCAGAACTCCCGGATCGACCTCTGGTATGTTGCAACGACTCGAGAGCAAGAATCCCGACCACCAACACCAGAGATCGAGTTTTGTCTGCAGTGCATCCGCGATCACATTCGAGGATTACCACAGTCTCACACAAGGCTGAGCCGCATGCTCAAAGTGGTTAGCGCAGCTTGGGATTGCGCCACCACGCTAGCCAATCAGGTGTATCAGCTCAACCTCACATGTCCTACTCTGGTCACTCGCGTGTCAGATGCGTCGGTCGCTATCAAAACTTCCTTGCTTTTGGCCGCTCTGCAGACAAAGGTCGAAATTGTCCTCGGAATACATAGCTCGACAGGGCCCGACGGTCTTGAGTTTAGAGTGTCAGCTCAGGCGGGAGTGATTTACGGCGAGCAGTTCAACGCGACCAAACTGGCTGAATTCCTCACAAATAAGGTGGGCGATCGCATTTATGCTCGCAACGAGAAGCAGACGGACTTGTGGTGTGATGTGGTATCGGACTTACGTGGCAAGTTGCTGGCACGGAGCAAGAAGTATTAGAGGGAACCTGAGGACAACCTCATTTATTATTATTTTTTCGTTATGATTGATGGATCAAGGGCTAGTGTATGAAACACTAGCATCGGCGCGTACTCAAAATGAATGAATTCTTCAACTCTTCCTCACCTCTTGTCTCTTTCGTGTGCGTTGACACCATGGCGTCTACTTTTCATCATCAAGAGGGGGATCGACATAAAGTCTCATGGGCACTGGCATCAGTGCCAACCAACGTAAGGAGACAGTCGGAACGTAGAGATGAATGATATTTAATTTGCGGATCCTTTTCTCCTTTCCTTTTTCTAGGAGTATACTCTCTTCAATTTGATTTGAAACGATGATAGCATGAACTGGATCAGTGAAGAATTTTGGTGTTGGTGGACAGACTCAAAGTGCTGAAATGGAGAAGTGAATGAGAACCAGTTCGTATAATCATGCCTTCGACGTTGTCTTTGAGCGGTATGGCCATTCACCCTCGTTTCACGTATCAATTCCCACATTTAAATCAGTGAACTGCTGGATGTTGTTTTCTCTGTTGACGTGCCTGTGAACTACGCGCAGCTGTCGTGTGCTAGCTTAGTTCCATGCATTCACAAATTGTTCTGTGATGTTCAAGTTTATAACGTCGCTGCTACCAAAGGTGCATCCAAACTCCCCACTCCCCCTTTTCTCTCTTCTTCAGACAGCAACCGATTTGAACCATCACAGAACCAAGAAGTCATACCCATATCATCTGGGTGCATATTCCTGATTCTATCAACATAATTCCGATTCTGTCTGGTCGTTTACCATTTCTCCCTGCCTATACGCAACGCGTCTCACGCACCCTCCTCAGTAATCTCACTACCAGAGTCTTCCACCACGAACCGCAAAAATGGCGACCATTCCCGACTGGCTGGTCTCCGACCCCGTCATCACCGCGGCTCTTTTCCTTGGCTGGTTTTTCCTCGTCTCCTCCGCCAGTTTTGGCCCCGTCTTTCGCTCCCTCGGTCTCATGTTGGCGATCATCCTCACCATCTTCTCCTACATCGTCAATATCATCTTCTTCTCAGTCCGTCTCATCCTCCTCCTCATCTCTCGCTTGGCCTGCTGCAAAATTCTCCAGACGGTCACTGGACAGATCGCTTTCCAGCACTTCCTCTCCCTGCACCTCGAGAAGAACATCTTGGCACGTCTCAAGTCTCTCAAGGAAGAGCAGAGCGAGGTAGCCCGGAGGATTAAGAAGATGGGCGTGCAGATCGCCGAGTGGGACGATGCCAACAACGATCTCATCAAGAAGATCCGCATGGCAGAGCAGGGCATCGGAAAAAAGGGCCGCGTCTGGGAGCCCGCCGAGGCTAGACAACCTTATACAGCCACGGGGTGGGTGGACACCTGGCAGCACCCCATCTCCTCTAGACCATCACAGTGGCAATTCGCTCGATGGGTGAAGGGCCAGATGGACCCGCGCATTTACGAGGCCATGGGTGCTGTCCACCATATGAAGGCCTGCGAGAGCGCCAAATTTGGAGCCTGGAAACACTACCAGCAGGAGAACATCGATCTCCATGAGATTCTCAGACGTACTGAGTACAAGAGATTCATCGTCAACAACACCCCAGACCTGCGCAAGTATCCAAAGACATTCACAGGGGAGCTCTTGGTGCCAAAGTCGTCGACATCCTATACCTCGCCAGCCCGCCAGCATTCTGCCCAGCCTACGACCTATATCGATTTTAGCTGTCCGCTCGTTGAACGCCAGAGAAGGACCAATGAGTTCTTCAGTGAGGACGGCCGGATGATGCACGGTAAGGACTCACGCTGGTCTCGCTTCACGGTGACGATCACACACTAAACAGACACAATCACAGTGTGCAGTCTCTGCAAAGAGCAGCACCCCTGGCTGAAGTCATATGCGACCCTTGAGGAGGCCCTTGCGACACCTCGATTCTATCCATGCCCAGAGAGGCGCGCCCGTCCCTCGGACCTATGTCCAATTATCTCCTCCGCGTTCCCCCCTGAGCCTCCTCCTGCAAAGACCCTCGCCGAGCTCGCAGCACGCCGTTCTCAGGCGTGTAAACCTCTGCGGTACCAACAGCCAGCTTCCCATCTCGAGGCTCCGCCTGTCACCATGAATATCCCGTCCTCTGTCGAACTATCTCTGGCTGTGGAATATGAGGCTGCGTTGAGTTCCTCTGCTGATCCAGTTGGTCCCTCTTTGGCTCTCACGGAGCCAATTGTCTCGGTGTCCACCACTCTTCCAGCCGTGACCGACACACCCGCCCTGGCCACTGTTCCTGTCGAGCCCTCTCTGACTTCTATGGGAGTTGTCCCTCTGGTCTCATCGGATCATGCTCTCGAGGCCCTTACGGAAGATATGGAATGGACTTTCGAAGTCCCCGTGGATTTTATGGATATGGATCAGACTCCCTCAGCGCCGATCTCCGGTCCCGCCGTTGCCTCTCTTGCACCTCCTTCACAGGGAGTTGACAAACCTATCGCGCAACCTCTGGCCTTTTCAGGTGTGAGTGCTATGCAGCATCCACGCCATCTTTCCTCAGAATCACTTTTGGATCTTGTCGGCCCTGTCATTCTTCAGGAGGAGATAGACTCACTAGTGTCATCTATGGGTTCTTTGAGCTTGCAAGACCCGCAGGAGACCCTCGCTGCTGCGGCGCCTGCTCCGGCCTCTTTGGGGTTGAACGATCCATACGATACTCCTGCTGCTGCGGTGCCCCGTCTGGGCCCTGTTACAGATATGCCCGTCTCACAGCCAGCTCCTGTTCTCGCCGCGACATCTTTGCCGACTCAAGGCCCAGGTGCACGCCCGATTCTAGGACCTGCTGGCCCAACCCAGGAAATTGTTGTTGTGCGGACGCCAGTCGTCCCAACGCTAGAATCCTTTGATCCCACGATCTTCCAGGATCAAGCCTCTTTACCTGAGTTTCCCGTGTCGTCCCAAACACTTCCGGCACCTATTCCTGCTCCTATTTCTGTGTCAACTCCTGCTCTGCAGACCTCACAGATCGCTGTGGGGCCTCACTTCATGCCTGTTATCTCGGCTGCGTCATCATCCAAGGTAAAGGAACCAGAGGCGGCTAAGCCTAGTGGTTCTGAAACCCTGGAGACACACGCGCCTGCTTCCATGCAGAAAGCTCAAGTCCCGCACACCTTTAGCATTTCCGTGGGCCCTCATTTCATGGCTGCTGGTCTGGCTGAGTCGACGCGGTCCAAAGGCAGTTCACCTGCTGCAGAAGAGTCAGAGACTACTACACCCACCGAGGAAGAGCTGGAACTGGAGTGGTGGAGGCTGGACAAGGCCGAAAGGGACACGGCTGAGAGAAAAGCACAGAGAGATAGGGAGGAAGAAGAGAAGCCGAAACAGCAAGGAGAAGAGGGGAAGAACGAAGAGAAGGACAAAAGAGTTGATAAGGGGGAGTCTTCTCAGGGCCGTCGTAGGCGCCGCCAATGTGGTGGCGGGTCGGAGTGGGAGGCGAGAAGGGAGGCTTTGGCCAGGAAGACGGGATACGTCTCGGATTCGGCCGGCGACCTAAGATAGCAGCAGTCTGATCTCAGACTAAAAAGGGCAGGAGGCGGTGGTGGAGATTTATTCTGCTCTTCCCTTTGTTTTGTTTTGTTTTGTTGGGCGTTGAGTGTTCTTACTGTTTTCAGGGGTGCGGCTGTTGTCGCGGTTTGTTCCTGGTCCAAGGAAAAGTCTCGGCTAGGCCTACGAAGTTCTGAAGCCCGGAAAGGGCTAGACGCCATGATTTTGGTGTGTGATGACACTTTGAGGGAAAGGAGTTTTACTGAGTACCCTATTTCTCACTGGAATGATGATTGCTGGACATCAGCTACATGAAGAGAATAATGAATACAAAGGAGAAGAAGAAAAACATCATTGCAGCCTATCCTGAATAACATATTATGTCTCTACTAACACCAAAAGAGTAGGCAGGCACTTCAGCGCCAGTGATTGCGCCCATCTTCATGTTTCTGATCCGGCCAATATCCACTTCTATCAACACTGACCCCTACACTTTGGTCTCTGTATGTCCATTGATCATCAGGCCGTCCATACTCGTCCACCCTTTGTCTACCATCGTATCGGCCGTCATGTTTGTACTCGCGATGCATTCGAGGCTCACGATGTCCCCGCCCGTCTCTCTTCTTGTGTTTGCCCGAATAACACACTCCTGCTCCGAAGCCAATGCCAGCCATCAGCAAGAAGGCCCCGTAATGAACAAGATGTCCGCTTTGGCTTTCCTTTCCCATGTGTCCAGGTCTTGAATGCACTGTATTATTTGTCTCGCGGCGAGTGACGCCGACGACGTTTGTCTGGTATTTGTTGGGGTCTTCCTTTAGGTCATGATAGTGTTGCTCGTGCTGTTGCTGTTGACGTTGACGTTGTTGTTGCTGATGATGCTGATGCTGACTCCCAAACCTGTCATTCATTCTCTGCGGATCCTCGAATGGTTTCATGGATCCTATCCCTGTTTTCTTCTTCCCTTTTCAGGCTGAATGATCTTGCCGCGTATAGAGGCTATTGCAAAAGGTTTTATCGTTGACCGTGCGAACGTATGTCGCAAGTTGGGAGGCAGTCTACGAAGACCACGGTGTAATGCGAAGAGATGATTCCGTGGCCTTGGAGTCAGACGGGGAACTGGACGTAGCCAATTTATAAGCCAGCAGCTTCTAGCATTTTAAGCCGCATGTCAGCTGGTGCCAATGCATGTGTGCAGAGTTCGGGCAAAATCCCTGCTTACCGGCCAGCTGCAGAATCGCCCTTGGCAGCGAGGACGACCAATAATGTAGACGTGTTGCTGCGCCCGGCTGTAATGATGACGATAATGATGATGATGATGTTTGGGTCTCATTTGGCGAACAGACTTTGTGGCTTAATGCATTAAGGCCCAAAAGCATAAGTACCCCAATGATCTTCTCGAATGATTAGTGCTAAGTGCAGCTTGTCTTGTCTGGATTACATGCAAATCCGCCCAGTTACAAGCCTCACATACTTTCTTGCAATAAGGCTGAAAGAACCAGTTTGATTTGCATGACGAGTGTTGTGATGACTATGTGGGCTAGAGATGATTGCGTGTTGCACAATTACATGTTGAATGCGGGCTGGTTGTTCCCTACAGCCCATACTTCAGCATGTCATTGCAGTGGAAATATTACATGCTTTGCCCAAATTGTTGATGATCACGTCTGTATTGGGGCTTTACCCTCTTGCATTTCTGGTTTATTGCAGCATGTTCTTTTTCAAAAAAAACTTCATTCCGCCTGAAACCTTCTGCGGATCATTCTTTTCTGCCGCAGCCGTCCCTGTGATAGCGTGGTCGCCTGTTTATCATAATGACATGATACATGTGTCATTCAAGGATATTCACCATGTTGCCTAATGATCCAAATAGAAATTACATTTGCATACTTATGAACTGGCATTTTCATCATCGATCATCTCGGTGCAGAATGAGCACAATAGCGGCCGAGTTGGTCACTTTCCTTCATTTTTCTTTGGGTCCGTTTCTCTCTCTACTCTTTACCCCCCAAACAAAGGCATAACATTTCACTTCGTCCGGAAATAGGATCAACTTGTTGAATAAAAACATTCCTTACATTGTTATCTTCTTCCAGCAACGCTATTAGGTGTGTCAGCCTAAACCGCCCTGTTCTCACCGTCATCGAAAAGGCTAAAATCTTGCTCTCGCGCAGCTGCAGAGCCCATCTACAAACTTATTGGTAAACCAAAGGGTTCTTCCAACTCAGCCCGCTCACCTCATTCCCAGGTTGAGCATATGATAATGGTTTACAGTGTCGTCCATGATTCGAGTCATCGTGCCTGCGACTGCTTGGCTCCTCCAACTTCCATGACCGCGATCATCATGCCGATATGCTCGCTCGCCCTGCTCAGAGGACTTATAAGATTCGGACTTGTCTTGATTTTTTTCTTCTTTTTGCTTTGCAATGTGTTAAGCGTCTACCTGTCATATTGTAAGCTTGTGCACTTCCAGGCGTCGGAGTCGTAGAACGATTCTCGGGGATTGTAGCTATCGCTGATTTCTCTTACTGGGGTAGTGCACACTCTAGAGGAGCTGGAGGACATTCGTAATGTGTAAGGATAGCTACTTGGGAGGGACACGGTGTTCCTCTCTGTGACTTCATACTCTGTACCGGTCACTGCTCGATGATGATGATGACCATGATAAGTCTGGTGACCTCGGGTTAAGTTCGGTGGGCGTGATGACGGTGACCTGACCGGTGATGGTGTCGTGACGATGAATGCTTGCTCATTCCGTCATCTCTGCTCCTCGAACCGTGGGAGCTTATGTAGCGGCCTGCAATCTTTCCGATGGCACTGCCGACGGCTCTTACACCAGACACAAGCAGCCGAGCTAACCGAGCTGCTTGAAGCTCCAATATTGTCTCATCGCCAGGAACAGTCACCCAGCAGGCCTCATCATTTTCCATACATGGGCCCTGGTGATTGCATCTCCAGCATGCTAGTGAACTGTCAGGGGTCTGGGAAGGATACACCGGCTGGCCTGCAATCTCGATTTGAAATGGACATTGACTAGGCATGTGGAGATTAATAGTCATACAACGGTGACAAAGCCAGTTCATATTTGTCCTGATGTTGTCATACTGCTCCTGGGAGCCGAAGACGATGTAGGATGCTCGAATCCATGTCATGGTGTAGATGGCCTCAGGGAATGGGAACTCCCGCAGAGGTGCTGGGCTTCTGGACATCTTGTTGACTGGTGCTCTTTGGTCAGCTGTTAGCTAAGTATCTTGAGTCTGTAAAAGCAGCAGAATTTCTTGATATTGATTGTCGTATTGCTTGTGCTGAGCTGCTCGATGATGGCAAAAAGACAAATGGTCTTATTTGGACAGACTTCTGGAGCTTTATAAGTTTGTCTTAATACCCCTATCACCTTCCATTACTCCTAGTCAGTCTCTTTGATTCACGTAGACTTGCGAGGTGATAGGCCATGACTATCTGACAACAGCTTCAAATGGCATTCTATGAACAACTCTGAACGATTGTGTGTAGGACGCCCTACACCTCTGAGAGAAGGCATGGAATCACACTACCATAATCTGAGGCAGCTTTTAGTAACAGGCGAGCTCTGTAAATTATCCTATTTGTGACTTGTATTTGTGTGCTTATTGTCTAGGATGAGCTTATCAATGCACAATAGGTGGGCTCTTTTTCAATCAATATTGGTGATGCTGGTGATATTTCTGGCATGATTCTTAGTGCTTCACTTTTCTTACCATCCTTGAAAGCATCAAGTATAGTAAAGACTGGATTTTCCAGCATCTCGTCACAAAAAACTCTCATCCCAACTCCTATCTGCACCTCGAATTACTTTCAACTACTTCCTTGAGCACATGAAATACTGCAAGTTGCGGGCTGAAGCAAAGCCCAAGTTTGATCACGACCAATACTCTTCAGAGCGTAACCTGTAATAAGCCAGAGACCACTGTGTTTGTCTACATGCGGCTGGGAATGCTCGATACCTCCTGCCAAGGGAAATTATCATGTAGCGGGTTCCTCGCGGCCATGCCATGGCCAGAACTCGTCAAGACTTGCACGCATCTCCTGGGGGGCCGGGGGGGGGGGGGACCTGTATACCGGGACCCTTCGTTCACCCGAACGAATTCGACGATGACGAGGGAACCAATGTCAATCTTCTACGTGGCGTAAGGGAGCTGGAAGATGAGGGCTTGAGATTCTCCGAAGCGGGTTATTCCGAGAAGCATAGGAGTTCTTTACGACCTCGCTGATGCATAATTATCGTGAACATTATCTCATAGTCCTCATTCAGGCGTCCGAGAAGATAGGGGTGAGTAGGGTTATAGTACATGGAGGCCACGACAATCCATCTAGACTGGAAAACTCAATACTATCGACGTTCCCAATGATTTAATTCCCAAATATCCCATCGATATGAACTTGAGGCCGGAAAATCGCCGTTCCCGTTGAGACATCGGGCTGAACCGGGTCAGACGGCTGGATGCTTCAGCCGCTGCGGTCCGCTGCGGTCCGCTTGAGCAGACTCAGCATTTTAAGCCAAAAGAGGAGAGAATAAACCCACCCTCTTCAGCCAAGAGAGATGACCCGACTGGTGGTTTGGGTTACAGTGTTAACTTTACACGTTATTGTCTGCTCGTCGTTCGGAGCGGGATCTTTCGGGTCTCGAGCCCCACGTACTTCCAGTGTTCTAATGAGCACGGATGAGGGAGAAACCAAGAAAAGATGATGAAAAAACCTCATTCGAGTCATTGCAGTCGAGCGCATATAATGCGAGACCTGCCTATGATTATGGAACCATGATCCCGAGGAAACAGCATTGCCAACCCTGAAGTCCGCTCAACGCCTTCACCTCCACAGCCTCGCCCTTCGTCACTCGTAATTTACGACAATGTCCTTAAAGCCAACCTTCGTCCTCGTTCCCGGCGCCTGGCACGGCCCAAGTACATGGGACAAAGTCACCGCCCTCCTCTCTCGACAGGGCTACGCCTCCCTGGCCGTGACGCTCCCTTCCACGATTGGCGATCCATCTGTCACATACCTGAACGACATCAACGCCGTGCAGGCGGCCATACGTTCCGAGACGAAAGCAGGCCGCAATGTTATCGTTGTGGTGCACTCCTACGGCGGCCACGTTGGCTCGTCCGCCCTGAAGGGCCTGCCCACGAGCGCCCACCCGGGTGAGGACCCTTCAGAGGGAAAAGTGGTGGGGCTGGCGATGATGGCGACTGGGTTCAACCACACGGGCATGAGCTTTATGGACGGCCTGGGCGGGCAGCCGCCGCCAACTTGGCGCGCCGACGAGGAGAGCGGGTTCGCGGTACTGGTCGCCGACCCGACGGAGCTGTTTTACCACGATGTGCTGCCGCGGGAGGAAGCGAAGGCGTGGACCGCGCAGCTGCGGAACCACAGCCTGAAGAGCCTGTTTGAAGGGGCCGAGTATGCGTATGCCGGGTGGAAGGACGTGCCGGTGTGGTTCCTCGTGACGGCTGAGGACCACGCATTGCCGGTGGAGGCGCAGTGGTGGACGGTCAGCGATGCCAAGGAGCAGGGAGCAGATGTTACCGTTCAGGAGGTTGCGAGTGGGCACAGTCCTATGCTGAGCAAGCCAGAGGAGACAGTGGCATTTTTGATTGAGGCTGCGAAGGCTGTCCAAGGATAAGTAGCAGCATCCACCTCATGACATAACGTGTCAACGGCGTCTGCAACAGTATGCACTCTGTTGCCATGGTAGAGAATCCACCCCGCTCCAACAATTCATCTTGAGTGACAACTACCACTTCAGCAAGTCACCCAGACCGTTGTTCGCGTGACCGGTTGGGACACACAGAGAGAGAGAGAGAGAGAGAAAGAGAGAAGAAAATAAATCGAGTAGTTGAAATTCATGCGCTATGCTGCCCGTGGTATATGGTCCCTTTCCTAACGCCGAGCCTGTCGTCTAGTCTCCCGAGTGCCTCTCTTCTAGCCAATATGATAGGCTTGCATCAAGGCGCGGTGCCATTGTTGTCGATGGCAAGCCGCTCAATAGTCAAGTTGCTTGAGCAAGCTAATAGGAACTTGCAGCAAGTCAGTGTCAGCTTGCAGGCCCTCGTCCAGCTGTCGTCTTGCGCCAGGCCAAGCTTGATACTGACGTCCTCGATCTTGTCGCCCTCGATCTTATACGGCAGTGCCAGTGTCGCCGCTCTACTCATCGCGCTCCGCTTTTCGACCAGCACACCAAGCTGTCGGACCAGTTCGAGGAAGGCCACCATGGCGTTATCGAACTTGCGGTGCATGAAAGTCAGGCCGAGGGGCATGTCACCAGACGAATAAAGTTCTAGAACGTGCTTCTTCGGTGCGGGCGGCGGGGCGTTTCTGATTCCCAGACGGCTGGAGGCGGGTGAAACGGGGTCGGAGCGGATGATCTTTGATGTTGAGCCCATGGGGACGGGCTCATAGCCCTCGAATTTGAAGTCGAGTTTGTCGGCAACTGTGACGAGAAGCAAGAGCGCATGTCCCCACGCTGCGTTGATCTCGGGCCAGTCGACAGGCCTGTTTGATAATCGACCGAGCCGCAACGAGTTGATGGTTGCAAAGTACCCATCGAAGCTGATGCAGAAGGTGTCGTTATAGACATTAGACCGCTGGAGCTTCTCCAGCAGTCGGGCATCGTGGTCGAACTTGGAGTTGATGCTGTCGCGGTCATTCTGGAAATCGGTGAGCTTCGTCGCGAAGGCATTCCTCTCCCTCCAGAACTGCTCCTCTTCCGCATCAAGCTGTTTCGACTCGTCCTCCAGCCTCAGGATCTGGTCGTCCAGCTGTGCCTTCTCTTCTTCCAGCTTTTTCAGAAGGTCCAGAGCCTCGGCCTCGCTCTTTCTGGTCTTCTTCAGCGACTCCTCCGACGCCTTGAGCTCATCCTCTGTGGGTGCATCTGCATACAGCTGTTTCACGTAGCGGGCGTATGCCTCTCTTTCTCTGTTTGCCGCTTCCAGTTTCTTCTGTAGGCCATCGACTAGCATCTCGGTGCACTCGACACAAACAGGGTGATCGATGTCGGACCGCGCAGACAGGATCTCATGCAGCTTGGTAATCCTCTCCATTTCTCGTGATTTGGTATCGTTAGAGTCGGGTGTAACATTCTCGACTGCTGGCTGGGGAGGCACATGATTATGCGACCGTGACGGGGGAACAACTTGTGACTCCGTGAGGTATATGAATGACATGCCCGGGTTGTCACGTTGCTGCTGCTGTCCCTCGCCAGGGCGCAGACCGCCCGCCGACTTTCGAAACATGGCTGGGCCGGCATTCTTTGAAACTTGATCGTAGAGGGATTTTCTGGCTTGGTCTTGAGGGTTTAGAGGCCTAGATGACATCGAAGGTTTCGAAGTGGACTGCTGCGACGACGCTGCTGCAAGCAAACAAGCAATAAGTTAGACAACAGGAGGCAAATCGATTATTCCGCGATGAGAGCAACTCACCAACAAGCAAATCATATGCTGCTGGGTTCAGATCCTCAAGGGAACTGTCCAGTTTGAGAGGCGTTCGACACTTCTGACAGTACATGTTGGCTTTGTGGTCTCAAACGGTGGCACATTGTTGTTGATGAGTAAATCTTGGTGCTCAGCGTCGTTTGCTGTAGATTTTGTGATGGATGGACATTGAGGACTGACTGACTGACGTACGTTATCAGCAGGACAGCATGGGAATGTGAATGATTAGAGCCTGAGTGCGCTAACAGGGGCCTGCCTGCCTCTTGTCCCCCCCCCCCCACCCACAGGGGCTCCAGTCAGCCCTATGAACCAGTAACAAGGGTTCTTTCAGAGGATTATACAGCGCGTTCGGCAGCTTCTTTGACGCGTCTTCATTAGGCTTATCCCGAAGCCGCCATTTCATAAAACGCAAGCGACCAGTTTTGTTTGGACAACCGCCTCCAAGATGAAGCCGCCGGTAAAACGAAGGAAGACTTCTGTGGCCCAGACTAATACAGACGAAGACGATGAGTTGTTTATTGAACCAGAGGAGATCAATCGAAGGAGAGATCCCAATGTTCAGCTCCAGCAGGGGAGGGACCGGGCTGCGAATAGGCTCAAGTCCAGATTTGAAAGCATCTTCGCCAAGTACGAGAAGGATTTCGATGGCGTCGGCGATGTGATTGATATCATGACGGGTGAGATTGTGGAAGACAATGGGCACTTACGGTCAATGGAGGTTACCGAAGTCGGTCGTGATGAGACAGGTGAGGACTCTTCAGACGAGGAGCAGGATCATTCCATGATGGGAGACAAGTACCTGGACAGAGAACCGAACCCAGAGGCAATGGCAGTGCCGAGGGACCCATGGAAAGGGCCAGAGAAGGGGCCAGAATCCAGGTGGCCACAGATGGGAATGCGAGGCACTCCACAGCTGTCCTCACTGTTTGGGAATGGGAACGCATACATGATGATGCCGGCTCCGCCATTCCCGCCATTAGACCTCGGACCTCCTTCGAGCGTTGACCCCAACTGGCAGGCCCCTGAGCTCCCGCAATCTGCGTTTCTGAGTGATGGCCACGAGCAGGAGCAGGCTCCACGGAAGGGCGTGAGAAAATCTCTTCTAAGGCCACACAGTCGAGATGCAGATGACGAGGAGGATGTACTGCTGGGCACTTCCGGCAGTCCGCTCCAGACCAAGGAGTCACCCCTGATAAGACAGAAGTTCCCCGCGGTCGACAGCAGTCCTAACAACGACAACAGCCACTACAACTTGATCAAGGACGTCATAGAAAATATGCCGGATACGCCACCCTCGATTCGGAAGACACGGACTGCCAGATCACTAGGGAAACCATCTCCTTTAAGAAAGCACCACGCAAAACCAAGAATAGCGAGGCGTCCACAGAATCGCAAAGGAGGAAGGCGAAGCGAAGGTACAAAAGAGCTATCGCAGGTGGAGAAGGCGGGTCATGTTGAGACTGAGACCGAGTCTGTTCAGCATGTCGATGCGTGCCAACAAAACCCAGTCGATCAGACGTCCTGGCAAGATAGTGATGTCGAATTGTTTTTGGATGTCACAGGGGCTGGTAGCAAGAAGCCAGCTAGACAACGGCTTTTCGTGGATATCAGCATGACGAAGCAGATTTCTCAGGGAACGTCTGGATCAGTCAATCGGAGGGCCATCAAAGAAGTCGCCGACGAGGCTGTTCGAGTCTGCAAAAAATCTACTGTGGAGTTACCAGTTCGAATCAGTGCAGCGCTACACGAGGTCACGGCCAAGGGTCGGCACAGTCAAGCTACCTTGGAGGATCGACAGGGCAAACAAACCGAGGATTCAGGCAAAAAACCACGGGAGAAATTTGCAAGAAACATGATGGACCCGGACTTCATGTTCTCCGACGAAGAGACTCTGTTGCCCAGGAGGAGGGTCAGGCGACAGACAGGACCAACGGGCCGTCCTTTGGCGGCAGTGTTGGTTGATACGCCAGGGTCCTCAGAAGCGCCGCACGCCCAAGAGCAGCCCTCAGAAGCAGAGCAGCAAAGCGAGCTGAAGCCGCTACATACGCAGGTCCGCGCACCTCGGCGTCGCTGCTCCTCTAAGCTCGGTAGTGGCTCGGGCTCAGCTGTGAAAGACACCATAACAGAGCAGCCACGGTCAGAACCCGTCGGCACAGACGCATCTCGGGCGGCACAACAACAGCCTTCGACACCCCAAGCCAAGTCTAAACAGACCATCGGCACCCCCGCCACAACAGCAAGCCTCATCTCGCTCCTGTCCGACGCCGAGGACGACGAAGACGAGATCTCCTTCGACCTGTCCGAGTTCACACCCTCGGGCCACCATCGCATCCTGGTCCACCGACCCTTGTTCCCTCGCCTTTCCACCTCCTTCTCCTCCTCAATCATGTCCAACAAAAACACCAAGAAGAAGACGAAGCGCGCCTCTCTCAACCTAGGCACCCACTCAACAAAGTCACACAAGTTCAGGACCCCGGCCAGGACCACACCGCTTGGTCCGGTCAGGGGCGCAACAACAGGAGATGACACGAGGAAGAAGATGAAGAAGGTGGAGGGAGGAAGGAGAACCAAGAAGCTTGCGCAGAGCGTCGTCCGTGTTTTGGGACAAGGAAGTGAAGTAAATAATGGCGGCACAGGCAGATCAGCAAGTCCGGCAGGGTCGGTGGTGCAGACGCCTGGCGGTACGAGGAGGAGGTGTGGCGAGGATGGGTGGACTTGTGAGAGGGACTTTTGTTTCATCTGCATGTAAAGTACGCCGTGGAGGGACCTGGCTGGGAAAAGGGATTGGTTGTGTTCTTTATGGAAGCCCTGACGAGAATGGCTCATCCAATGACACGCAACCCGCTAGAACGCTTTCACAGCAAGGTTCTATGAGACAGGACAGAATAGATACTCTCCAGAAGCATCATCTTCACATTTGAGACCTTGACCGACAAGTCACAACTACTACGGTGTGGAGCGCCTTCCAGGATGAGTTTTCTTTTTCGCGAACGTCGACAAAGAAAATAAATTGGTCAGTGAACAAGGTCATATTAATCATCATAGAGTCTGAGCCTGAGGAAAACATGTGTTCGCAAACGCGAAACCAAATATGCAAAGTTCCGCTCACTCCCGAGTCCTGCCGAAAGACGCAAAGAAATCACATATTGTACTTCCTGCACCTCGAGAAAAACGCCCAGAGTGTCCACATGCCACACATGCCAGATTGAGCATCATGCTTGCTTGTCCCGCACGCCTGACAGCCATCCAACCATCCTCGAATTGATGCATGGAATCGGAGGCGCCGCTCTGATACCCTCGGGTCGCCTCTTTTCCCTCGCACTCGCCACACCGACCTTCTGAAATCTTATCCCTTCACCCATGTCTGGCCACCGCTGTCGTGCAGAAGCTTGGGAGAGTGTCATGCCATGGATTCCCTATCAGAAGAAGACAGTGTCCTCGAGTATCTTCAAAAGTCGTGGCGGTCATTGGGTATGGCCTAACTAGGCAGATCTTATGGTATTTCATACCATGTAAGTATTGTATGCTTGCAACGACTGCTTAGTTGACAACACCAGGGGCGCCGTTCAGGTATGCCTGGAGGTTGGCCTCATCGCGGATGGGGTTAAAGTAGGGGTGAGCCATGGCTTCCTTGGCCGTCAACCGCTCCTGTCACAACTGTGAGTATCACATGTATATAAGTGGATATGGTGGGTGGACATACCTGGTGGTCGTAGCGCAGCAGCTTGTCGAGGAAGTCGATCGCCTCATTGCTGACGAAGCGCTGGTTGTCGGCATTGACGAAGCTGTGCCATGGTTTCTTCTGGAAGCGGCCGAGGATGTCATCATACTGGGCGTCGAGCTCGATCTCGTACTTGTCGAGATAGTCAAAGAGCTCGTCTGTGCCCAGCACCTTTGCGATCTTAACGAGCTGGTCCGAGTTCGAATTGCCGTGGAAGAAAGGCTCCTTTCTAAAGATCATAGAGGCAAACATGGCGCCAAGGCTCCACATGTCGAGGCTGTAGTCATACTCCTGGAAGTCTACAAGCAGCTCGGGGCCCTTGAAGTACCGAGAAGCAACGCGAACGTTGTATTCGGTTCCCGGGTGATAGAATTCGGCCAGACCCCAGTCAATCAAGCGCAGCTGAAAAGAAAGTCAGCAACCTCTAGGGAAGGAAGATTATCCTGGAAAAGGGAGGTCACCTTTCTGTTCTCATGATCGATCATAACGTTATGAGGCTTCACATCTCTGTGCATGATGCCTTTGCTGTGACAGTAATCCAGCGCCTTGAGGAGCTCGGAGATGTAGAAGCGGACATCGAAGTCGTTGAACTTGGGGTAGAGACTGCGAAAGTCGGTGTTGTTGACGTATTCGAAGATGAGCGACGGCGTCTTACTCTGTAGAATATCGTCATTAGAAATGGAGCTCTAGTCCGAGGTTTGGATGTTGCCCCGGCCCTTCTCCTCCTCGACGTGGTCGTAGGGGGAACCAGGGCGGAACACAAAGCGGAGCCGCCAGAGGAAGTTGTAATCACCTGCGAGTCCCTGACCACGTCCAACAATGCCACAATGTTCGGGCCTCCAGCCAGGTTCTGAAGAATCTTGATCTCACGCTTGATCTTCTTCTTCTTGACAGGCTTCAGCACCTTGATGACACACTTTTGGTAGTTGACGACATTGATGCCCTCGAACACCTCAGAGTATTTTCCGCGGCCTGTGGGGGGTACATAGTCCTAAGTTAGATGTCTGCTGTTGTATATTTTCACTTTCATGCATTCCGAAAGCGCGGGGGTGATGTGGAAGGAGGGGTGGGAGGGAGTAGGATGTGGCACGAACCGATCTTGCGAACCACCTCGTAGTTCTCCAGCAAGCCCCAACCTGTTTTAAAAGAGAGTATGTCAGCTCTATCACGACTTGAAACTGGTCACGAACTGTCGCTATGGTGGCCGGAGTGGATAGGGAGAACGCACTGATGTTGACGCTGTCGTAATCCCAGTATGCCCGAGGCATGTTCTGGTTGACATCTGCGTACACCCGTGCCATCTTTGCTGGCGGACCGTTGGGCGCGGAGGAGGAGGTGAGCAGACGCGCCTCCAGTTCCTCTCGAATGCGATGATGAAAAGAGGTGCGATGGGGGTAAAGAGTGGTCTCCTGTCCGGATGAACCGCTTGGATATGACCTCGAGAGTATGAAGGCTGCGGCGCAGAATCAAGGTGGGATGTCGTTATCTCGACGCGCTAGCGCCGAAAACAGGGATGTACTATGTAAGCAGGCGGGCAGGCACAAGCGACCGGAGGGGGGGGGGGGGCAGCGGCAGGCAAGCAGAAACAAAGCTGGGGTCTTGCGTTTGAGTGTCATGAGGCTTTCACATCTTGAAGAGGCTATGTTTACCCAGTGAAGCCTTCGCTTCATGACCGAGACACACGGGCGAGTGATGTGGGACAATGCAGGTTACGGTCCCGACGACGAGCGTGGAAGAAAGGATGGATTGTTCTAGACTTACCCAGGACTGTCAAGTGTCAACGGAAAGTCCTCGCTCTGCTGCGCTGAGTCAATGCAGTGCAGCTCTCAGATCAATGGCACAACATTTGTGTAACCCGTGTTATGTTTGTGGCAAATTAGCACAAAATGATTCTGGCTTGAGAGAAGAGTTTTGCAACTGTAGGGGTCAGATACGACCAGAGGCTGGAAGATCTCTACAGGGCTGGGCAATGCATGTTTCTCTCGTGAACAATCTATTAAATTATGCTGCTTTGCTATGAGCAACGAACCACCCCCTCGGCAAGTGGCTTGCGATTTCGGCAGGGAATGGCTTCAAATCCCATGTGACGATAGGTATTACCACCCGAGCACATGCGTTTAACCGAGCACGCTGCATGGTCATCAAAGGCTTGTACGTTTTGTCAGGACAGGAGGGGTTGAAGGATCAGCTGCATATGCTCGTTTGGCGAGAACGCGCTTCTCCCCTATTCTCAGTAGAGCAGGCTTTCTATAACGCATAGCGAAGATCGCCCGCAGACTCCACCCGGTATTACCAAGCCTACCGTCTAAAGAAACTTGATGCCTGGTGTCGTTGTGCATTTGTAGTCGTATGACCAGGTTCCCGATCCTGCTGCAAAATAGTAATCATATGTTTGAATATGGACCATTCCCCCGAAACCTGTTAGTTGGCCGATCCTGGCAGAATTTGGGCGGGACTGTAATGGCGGTCAGCCTGCAAGTTGGCAGTAGATGGATAGGGGATGTCGGTAGGGGTGGGGGGTTTCAAAAATTTCAGAGAGAAGATTATTGCTCGACATGATCCTTCGTGGTGTGACTAGGCACAGCGGCCAGGCCGCATGCGCACAGGTCAAGAACCCGTTGGACTTCCGACTAAGGATGACGATACGAAAGGTTTTCATCAGGATGAGGAGGGGAGGTCATGAACGCAATGGAGATACTCACAGCACATGATGGCGCCGGGCAACTTGGCAGTACTCAGCTTTGTATAGTCAGACAGTGGTGTTCTTGCCTCATTAAGACAGAAGCATCAATCATCATCACCATCACCATCATCATCAGCATATGTGACCCTTCGACGTTGAGCCACATGCTCGGATGCTGGACCGGATTGACCTGCATCGTCATAAGCCAGGGCATCCAGTCCCGTCTCCACGACGTCCCATGTCCTCTTGCGACGTTCAGGGTCTGGCTCCCACTGCTTCTTGTTGCTGTTCCCACTGCCGCGCTTCTTCTTCTTGTTCTTTTTCTTCTTCTTGGTGGGGACCACCCGTTGTACGCACTCATCCTCCTGTAGCTCTCCGTCCTCGGCACTCTCAACATCGAGATCCATAGGTATTGGGGACGAGCTGTTGCGCCTGCGCTGGGCTTGACCTTGCTCTTGCTCTTGCGCTTTCTGCAGAGCTTGCAGCTCAGAGTGTCGGAATATGGCAATTTGCTCGTCTGTGAGGGTGCGCTTGACCCCGTCCGGATAGTAACCTAGGCCATCGTCGTCATCTTCTTCATCAACCTGATCATATTTATCGCCGTCGCTGCCGAGAATCACCTCATGCGGCGTAGTGCGAGGGGTGAGAAAGTCCCTAGCGAATGCCGCCAGCGCAGTGTCGCCAAAGTGCGTCTCGTGGAATGAGGACAAATCAGCCTGCAAACATGAGGAAGACGTTAGTATTTGGGTGTGCGGGTCTGAAGGCTGCCGTGTTTCCAGATAGGGAACAAAAATTGCATTACATACCTCCACGATCTGCGGGACACAAACGGTCCCTGCAGAGCGCCCTTCTTGTTGCGGCATCGTGTGCGCGGGTGACGGGCCTTGCGCGGCTCTGATGGCCGCGTCCGCCGGAATTCTTCAATTGTGATATGGTTCAGAAGCATCAAGAAACGAAAGTTGTCTCCCGCTGTGGGCAGCGTTGTGAAGCACACGGTCTACCATGAAGCGTGCAGCTGCGTCGTTTCGCGTCTTGTTTATGAGTGCCTCGCGAACAGATACTGGGAGGTTCGCATTTGTCAAAAGCGGCGCGCGCCGCTAGCATAGAGGCGAATAGTGATGATGGTGGCGCCGTCGCGTCCATGGTGGGAAGAGGTGGGACGAAAGAAGATGGATACAGCAGTTGTTTAGGTCAAGAAGAGACCGCTAAGACGGGCAGGCAGGGATGAGTGTTCGAGCGCTGGGGCCTTGGGCGGGTACGTACTTGATGGCGAATCAAAAGACGGCCAGTGCTGATAGGCCAGTCGACAGTGAGGACCAATGTCATATATAAGTGACTGGTGGGAAAGCAGGTTATGAAAATAGGTCCGTCCTTCGGGAGCCTCGGTAGATAACTAGCAAATGTATACAAATCCTCCCTAGGATACGTACATCCCATGGGATCAGATTCAGAAGTACCGACTACCTATCATGCATCAACTAATGTGCTTAAGCGTCTCTTCATAAAATCTCAAGTGATCCCAACCAGCTTGAGGATGGGACTGAGTTCAAGCAACGCTAATAATACTAATCATTACATCCGGCAACCCGCTGGATGGTGGAATCCTCGGTCTGCATGGTAATGCAGCTTCTTACAGCCCGGTGTAGCATCTAGTACCTGCGCCTCTCCTGATGGTGGCCCTAGTCACGTCAAGTCAACTCTGCGCCTGGTTAAGCAACAGCATCGCATTTTGGAATGCCTGTACGACCTGTTCGTCTGAAGTGTGTGTGTCCGCAATGTCAGCCGTACTCGGCACCAATTTGCATTAAGGGGATCTCGGACTCACAATTCTGCCTCTTCGAGTCCAGATCGGTCTCCTTGAGCTTCACAAAGTAGGATCGGGTTTGCAGCCGTTTGGCTGCACGTTGGTTGTCATGCGCAGACGCGGCGGAAGCCCAGATATTGAAATACTGAGCAGTCTCGTGATTAGCCAGCCTACCGAATCCTGGATGCAGAGGAAAAGGGGTTGTGGTCAAGGTACCTTCATGAGAGCTTCGAAGTCGGCTGCCAGCTCAGCCTCATGTTCGTTGGCGCCTTCCAGGGCTCTGTCAAATCTGACCTCAAGATCATTCCAATCGAACGGGGCCAGGTTTCCTGGGGTGCCTGGAGTAGATGGTCTTTCCCGCGCAAGATGAGGAGCGTGGGCGAGGCTGGCTGGATGGCCTCGTCCATTCAGCTGGTGACTGCTGCGAAAGACGCGGAGCGGCTCAGGCGTCACGCTATGCAGAGGACGTGGTAGTCTGCTCTGACGGTCTGACTCCACCTTGGACCCCTCGGCATCGACCTCCACGGACTTTATTGAGTCCACTGGGTCTTCTCGGCGAGGGCTCGTGGATCTGGGTTGGGAGGAAGGAGAGGATTCTTGCAACAGGATTTCCGGAGAATCTGGAGGCGGTAGGGGTGGCGTTGTAGACCTGTTGTCGTCCATTCTGACCCCCTTGTTGTCAATTGATGAGTGGGCGCGTGTTCTCGGCGTCGGTGTGATATAGCTTGCGCGGCCAGGTTCGCTTCAAGCGGGCGTTATCCTCGGTTTTTCGTCCTCTAGGATGGCGGTACTATGCTCCGCTTCCTGTCGAATAGGTGGAATGCCTCCTGTAGTTGCAATATCTCCTTGCTGTCAATAAAAGCTTTCTAGACCCATATGCCTTTCGCGTGTCGAGGGCCAGGCTTGACGCTTGTTTTTTGCACTGCAAGTTTGGGAGATGAGGAGAGGGCAAGGAGAAACTTCGGCACGAGGTTGTGGGCGACGTCTAGACCGATCGCGTGAAGGGAGATTAGCAAAATTGGACTTCTTTGTCTGATTTGCTTCTTTCTTGGATTTTTTAGGACGTGACAGGAATTCAATGTTCAGGCTTCATCAGGCAGATGAGACCCCAGAGAGCAGGTGCGATAGCGAAAACGATAAGAACGTCGACGGGGTCTGCCCTGGTAGATTCGGCGTGTCGGCGCTTCAGGGCGGTAGGGGTTCTCCAGTAGTGGATCGAGGCGGGCAACGTTGGCACGGGCGCTCCCTGCTTGCCTGCTGACCATGGCGGCATGGTCGCCTGACACACGGTTACTGAAGCGCGAATGTTCTGAGTGACGACTTGTGCCGATGTTCTTCATTACCTAATCCTGCTGCTCGAGCCGATATCGACGCCAATAGCGACAGGGGTGGTGACTGGTGCCTTCGCATCTACATAACACACAGTTTTACAGGATCGACTGCGACGGTAACTCGAATTTACGGATGAGCGACGGACGTTCTTGGTGTACTAGTTGGCCGCTCTGACCTGGCCCGATCTTCCGCTTGGACATCTACCAGGGGAGACGGCGAGAGGGCAAGACCACCAAAGGCCCGTGAGCGCTCAGCCGGGCAAGATGAACTGCGACATCTGTCATCGACCGCACCATGGGCAGAAACTTCCATTCCTCTGCGCTGTCGATGCGAGAAATCGCTTGTACGAAGGGCGTGTTGCCCACGCCAGGGTTTTGATTGAAAATGAGGAAATCGAGGAGAAGATCAACGAATTTCTGTCTCGAGCCACCTATAGTTCATCACATGATGGTGCTGGGATAGCCTTTGAACTCGAGAAGGCGAAGGCCGAAGAAGTGCGAGCTGCAGACAGGACTAGTCAGATCATCGCACAGGCCGACAAGCTGCGCACCGAAGTCGAGGCCGCGAGGAAGGAGATTGATGAGCGCAGGAAGAAGGTAGCCAGCAGGAAGGCAGATCTCGCTGCGGCTTCAGAGGACATCACTGAACGCCGCAACACGCAAGTCGAGGATATTCAGAGGGCCATTCATGCGACTAGGTACAGGTGGCATAAGGTATTTGAAAGTACGACTGCCACCAGGGGTTTCTTGTGTATGGAGGCTGCGCGGGTGTACGGCCTCCGCCGCATCAAGAAGAGCAACACATACGAGCTCGGTGGAATCGAGATTCTGGAGCTTCCTGCAATGATCAGTAAGACACTACGCTCTCTTCCCTTTTGGCGTTCTCTCTTGTTCGTGCTGACTGGATCCAGACGCATCCCCAGAGGCCATCACGACCTCGCTTGCCCACATTGCGCACATATTATCGCTGGCTTCACACTATCTAGCTATCCGCCTGCCAGCAGAGATCGCATTGCCTCATGCCGACTACCCTCGGCCGACGATTCTCTCTTTAGCCTCTTCGTATCGCCATGGGGAGGTACCCTTTCCCGGGACGGTCGCCATACCTCCGACTGGACCGCAGGACCCAAACCCGAAGCATACGCCACGGCCTCGACCACTTTTTCTCGAAAAGCCCCTGTCGATTTTGGCGAGGGAAAACCCGTCGACATATTCGTTGTTCATAGAGGGGGTGGTATTACTAGCCTACAACATTGCGTGGGCTTGTTGCACACAAGGTGTACCCATAGGAGACAGAACATCCTACGAAGATGTCTGTAACATGGGGCGCAACTTGTACAACCTCCTGATCGGGAATCAACTGACCAACAATCCTGCGTTGCGGCTAGCGCAAACGCCTGATGAGACGGAGGCCCCTCCAGAATTACCTACCGACCAGTTCGGAGGCATTTTGAAGCCCATGATGGGCCGCTGGTCTCACGGAACGGCGCATACCTTTTTAGGTAGTGCAATAGGCAATGAGTTTCTCAGGACTTTCAAGCTCCCCAATCCAGTCAAGGTAGCGGATCGCCTCAGGAAGAAAATGCTCAACGACGCGGAAGGGCTGGACTGGGAGATGCTCGAAGACGAGGCCTGGGCCCCAGAAGAACCTATGGAAGATGGTGTGCAAGAAGGACGGAAGCCCCCAGGGGATGGGGAGCCCGATCGACGACTTTATGGTGTTGAGAGCGTCATGTCAGCCTCCACCGCTAAAACTATGGCTGAGTCGGCGGCCGAGGACTTTGCTAGGCTAGACCTGGATGACCCGCCGATCCCAGAGAATGCGAGAGGATCCGGCACGAGCGGCTGGACAAAGCTCAAGTCGAGGTGAGGGTTATACTCTCTGGACAAGTGCGCTCTTGCGCCGTCTGCTCTGAGAGGAAATGGGGGATTTGAGGGAGATACTGCTCAAGACACTGGTGTTTGTGCTTTCTGATCTGAGGTTTAGCACTGCGACACCAAGGTGAACACACAGACAGCATCAATCTTTATTATCCAACACCTGAGTATGGTCATTGCCTTGAAGGCAGGGCTTTGTCTGCTGGCCATTAAAGCTATTACCACGTGTTACTCTCATATGTTGTCCGCAGCTAGTTGTCACAAGGTCCAGCCAGACTTGGACTCCCACAATGTATGAGAATGGGACCACGTTGTCAACCCACAGTAGATGCCCGGACGAGGGAGGATCCTATATTGACAAGGTCCATGTCCTCTAAAAGGCCTGGTATCTCGACCAAGACGTCCATGAGACCATCTCTGGGTTCCTTGGAAAACTGGTGCCACGGGACTGTTCTCCAGGCTGGATGGCTCATGAGATTGCGCTTCCGCGACGTAAGGCCATACTCACCCAGACCAGCCGCAAGTTAAAAATGATCTCATGGCCATACCCATCCACAGCGCTCCAAGGCGTTCTCGCCTCCATGATCGCCGAGCCCTAAGGTTATGCGACCCGTAGGTACCTCCACTACGCCAGCCAATCGTCCTCGTCCCTTCTGAACAGTATCTCGAACGTTGTCAGGGAACTTGCTAGCCAGCAGCGCCGCATCGCTTCTGCCCCTCACCGGCGAGCGCAGCGCCGCAGATTCCAGCTACAAGGCCCGTTCATACGCTCGAACGTTCTCGGCCTGCATCCATGAGAGGCCTGACCCACCACCCCCCCCCCCCCCCGGCGCCGGCGGCGCCGCCACTCTTCCGAGCAAGCTCATCCTCGGAGCCGAGCGTTGCCAGACTTGTGGCCAGCATCGCGGCGTGCAGCGCGGGCCTCCGTCCGGCAGAGCTGCTGTGCCGAGTCTGTCCACTTGCACGACATGGTTGGGAAGCAGTTGCAAATCAGGAACTATGTCCCAGAAGATGGATATGTATTCTTACTCGCGTGCAGTTCTCGTCAGTCCGTCCGGCAGCGTGATGTCGGTGGCCGCGGCGCGGCTTCCTTCATGACGCCGGTGGGCGATGGCTGTCGAGATACCAGCTCCTCTTCGCTCTGCTGCTGCTGCTGCTCTTCCTCTGTTTGCTATCCTAAGGCTTGCTGTCCAGGACACGCTAGATCCCTGGTCAGAAGTATCAGAGTTCGCAAAGATGTGCTCCCGCTCGTATCCTCTGAACTGAAGACCTGACTTGACGCACTGGCCGCATGAAGGCCACTGGGTTTGATCTCACCATTGCATTACTCGAGATTCTGATTACGATGCTCAAAACCTGGAGGCTAGTCCAAAAATTGACCCGGCAAAGGCTCCGTCCTCATAGAATGCATTTCTTCAGCAAAGGCGTATTTCGAATGTAGGTCAGGATTATAGTTCGCTTGTGCAAATTGACAACTAGGTGGCTATGAGTGAATGACGGTTGCATGCATGTCCAATACATAGGCCCGGTCTCGTTGGGTCAACTCGTCCATAAAAGCTGTCCTATGTATCCTGTTGCGGTCAGTGTTAATCCTGGCCATACATATCTATCGCGGCCCTCATCATAACGCCTATCATGATCCAAACCCCGCGTCTGTTGTCGTCTTTTCGACTGTGCCGCATCGTCAAGCATTTCTCACATAACTGTGAACGAGGCTGGAGAAGCTGGTAGGCTCAAGTTTAGCTGCAGTCTCTTTCTCTCTTTCTTGTGTGTCAAGTCTTTGTGGTGTAGGAGCTGAAGGTTTCGAAGCATCCGCAGTAATGGTTGCTGAGATAGAAGTGGAGTTTTGTTTGGCTATGGAATCTGGGAATTCATATTATTCGACCAAAGTAGCGACTTGCTTAGGAAATATATGAATGCATTTGTCTCATCCGTAGACCGAAATCTTGTTGTTCAGAGTGGTGCTTGGGCATAATGACTATGAAGTAGCAAAATATATACTGTAAGCATCTTGTTGAACAGAATCTGCATTACTAGTGTCACAGATGCCCCTCGAGACGACCATGATCAAGCACCCAACTTCGGCTTTGAACGTAATCAAGTCTCACAAGAATTGAAGCAGGCGAGGGTTGATCCTAGTCACTGCGTCTCCCACATCGGGGCCGTTGTAGGACTCGATAAGTAGCAAGTGGCACAGCAGGCGGTGAACAATACGAGCGGCGCCATGCCTCCAATACCGAGAAACTAGACTTGACTAGATCCAGAGAAAACTAGTATGGAAATAAGTAGTAAGAAGTCTGTCCGTCTACAAATCAAACATGATCGATCTGGGCCTCGCGAGTTACAGAAGTCTACATTGGCTAATGTCCTAGTTAGATAGTAATGGCATGTACAGTCAGTAGACAGGCCATTTGCCCGGCCAGGCCCTCTTCATTGACATCCATCAAAAGTACCTAGGGAAGAACCACATGATCAGCATATGTCTCAAATAATACCCATAGTTTTTGAATCAGAAAGTCTCGGAGGAAAGCAACTAAGACCAGAGACGCTATCATCAAGCCGGGTTGGCCGAAAAAGTACGTCCACGGACTTCACCGTCCCAAGCGAAACAGTCAATCCGTCGTCCCACCCCAGGGGGTTGGTGGGGGGTGCCGAGGGAGGTGGGGGCGGCGTACATTCAATCTCGAAGGCACGGCATGCTTTTACAAGACTCATCGGTGGTTTGACATGAATTTGATTTTGTCGGATTGTGTCCGCTCGTCTTGGCTCCTGCGAAGATGATGCTGCGTTGTAATGCGCGAGCAATTCTGCGCATGTTGAGAATGATTTCCTACTGTTTGAAGAGACAATTCACGTGAACATTTTTAATCGCATTTGTACGCAACAATATTTATCTTGACCATACGGTTTGCAATTACATTATAATAATAGCTATACTTTTCGAGCCAGTAGCGGTTCAATTAATGTAGCTACCACGTGCTGCGGTCTTTTCTCCTCGACCCTTAGTATCCCAGAACCAGGCTCTTCAGCTTCTGGAAGTTGGGCGTGCCATAGCCCGTAACAGGATCCCAGCCCTCGGTGGCATTCCACCGGGCGCCCAGGACGATGCCGGACCCGTTGGGCTCGGCGGACCCGGACTGAGTGTTCAGCCCGTTGCAGCCAACCGAGTAGCCCCCGGTAATGTCGGTCAGAACCTCTGGACCGTGGGCATAGATCAGGGGGTTCAGCCAGCCCAGGGTAGACTTGCCGGCGCGGAGGCGGGCATCGTTCAGCAGACCCACGATAGCGGCCCAGACAGGGGCGGCCGCGCTAGTGCCACCGCTGGGGGAGGGTGTACCGTCGTAGATGACCTCGTAATCCGGGGTGACGGAGTGGGCGGAGACGTCAGGGAAACCACGACCAGAGAAGTTGGTGTACGGGCCATAATAAGCGATGGTGGACGCCGAAACCTCGTTGTCGAGGTACTCGGAGACGGCGGCGTCCTGGTACGAGGGGCGGGCAAAGTACTTGCTGAAGCCGCCTGAGCTGCCGTCCCAGGCAACCTCGGGAGTCACATTGACGGTGCCGCCCACAGAGGTCAAGTAGGGGCAGGTCGCGGGGAAGATGGCGTTGAACTCGACTGTCTTGTAGTCAGGGGCAAGACAGCCCGCACCCACGCCAAGATCACCCGACGACTCAAGCACGGTAATGCCCCGCAGACCGAGCTGGCCTATCAGGTTACAGGTGAGAACTGCGTAGTCGTAAGGAACAGACTGTGGGGGAAAAGACGAAGTGTTAGTAGGGAGAGGTTATATTGCCAAGAAAGATAGGCCAAAAAGAGCCAAAAGAGGGTTGCAGTGCCCAAGATTAGGTCTGTGTGAAACTTACATCTTCCTCGTCTCCGTACGAGTTGGAAATGACCTGGGGCAGCGACTCGCTGGGCTGGGACAGCAGGTATCGGTAGTATGGAACGTACGGCTCGTTCTCGTTATCAGCAAGGGTGGGCTGGTCGATGTTCGGAACAAATGGCCTGTACCCATGGATCAGCATGACACAAGAAAGCAGGGGAGGAAGAAAAAAAAAATGGATTCAGCTCAGCCAGGGTCAGCGATGCCAAACCCTCCACTGTGTGCCGCTGGGACTTGTGACTTACGGTGAGCCACCAGTGATGAACTCAACCACGGGCAAGGGGTGGGCAATCCCGACAATGTTTTGAACATCCAGGTTGGCCTCGCCGTACTCGGCAGTCTCGGGGTCCTGGTCGTTGGTTGCATTGGCGATGAGAACGACGGAGAAGTTCTGGGTGGGGATGTCGAAGAACTCCTCAAAGTCGAAGAGGTCAGCGTACAGGGCCGACTCGCCCAGGAAACTGCCGAAGCCGACTTTGCTCCCGGACTTGACAGAGGGGGTGTAATTTCCGACATTGTACAGCTCCTTCAGACAGGCTGGGGTAATGGAGGTCTGGCACGCCGCATCAATGGTGGTGCGGGTCGCCAGGCGCTTGGGCACAGACACCTGGGGCATGGTCCGGGACGGTGACGGGGTGGGGAAGAAGGCTCTCGAGCCTCCAATGTACAGGCCCGGGTCGATGAGCGCAATGTGGTCCTCGACGCTGTCGGGAAGGCTGTAGGAGAGGGTCCGAAGCTTGGTTGTGGCGCCGTTGGTGAACTGCTGGTAGGAGGCGTTCAGGAGCGTGTTAGCGGCGTCGACAGTAGCTACAAAGTCGACAAAGGCGCCGTCGACACTGTAGCCGGTGATGCCATTGCTCTCGAGCCAGGTGGTGACCGAAGAGACGGCATCGTCCGAGGGAGCAAAGTACGAGTTGACCGTGTCCTCGTCCCAGTGCTGACCGTACGAGGCACTGCCCGGCGTGGACACGTCGAGCAGCTGCGACTCGAGCTGGTCAATGTTCTGCATGGTAAGGGCAATGGAGAAGGTCTGCACGCTGTCCTGAGCCAGGCTGTCCACGAGGGACCATCCCTTGGGAGCAGCATTGTAGAGCGAGTAGGTCGCTGCCCGTGCGAGGGGCAGGACACTGACTGCTGCAGCAGCAACAAGAGAAAGACGAAGTCCAAGAGTCTGAGACATGATGAAGGACGTGATCTCTCAGGTTGTTGGTCCCTTGGCCTGGATCCAGCATCATGATCAATCAGTCCGACGAGGAGCGAGCTCGCTCCTCTCTTTATATACCCCATCTGGACCCTCCCTCCTCGTCTTCGTATTCACTTGCCTTCCAACCCCCCCCGGGGGGGTTCATGGCGTCCATGACGATGGTGTAATTTATTGCATGTTATCAACCAGACCAAGCACGTTCTCCTGCTCTTATCGGTTTAACGAACGTGGAGCTAGTCCTTGGCAGAGTATGATCGGAGAGGCACCATGCAACATAAGCCAGGGGTACCGCACGGAACGTTCGACGGTGGCTGTTCCTTTGCTTCTTTCAGATGGGGCGAGCTTCGGGGTTATGCCCATTGCGGCAGGTAGACATGGCGGTCAGGGATTATTTGGGAGATGGGAGGGAAACATTGTGTAGATCCAAGAGCCCTGGGGAAATTGAGCTTCTGGAGTCCGGCCAGGCGATAAACAATTTAAGGTTTAGTGCGATATTGTATTGGGTAGGCATTGGAAGGCGCAACCGCTAGGGTCAACGGCTTTGCACAGAGGACTACTCGTCGTCATCATCATCGTCATCATCGTTAACACCAACAACCACGGTTAATTCAATTCTTTTGTGGTAGACCAGTGATTCATCTTATCGCTATACTACCTTAGTAGAATATAGATAGCAGCTACATCCTGTATAGAAAGTAAACAAAAAAGAAAGAAGAAAAAAGGTGTAGCCCCTGCCACAGTACTACTGTGTACTACTATAGCTCGGGAGCCAGGCACTAGCGTCCAAGCAAGCTTCCAATCACTGACTAATTTCGACCTTATCCGGCTCTGAGAAGCCGAGGCTGGGGTACGGCTTCAGTTTAATAATGATTTTCTTCCTTTGTTCTTCTTCCCCTCTTCAGCACATACGGCCTCGAGGTGGCTCCATGCATGTACTATGTATGATGGCAATACGTAATTGTAATGATATGTATCATTTACAAAAGGTTCTTGATCAGCCTCAGCAGTTCTCTATATGTCACACACCTCCTAACGACTCGTCGGCTCTGTCTTTCTCTTTCTCTCTCTTCCCTCTTAAGGCCGATCGATGATCAATGGGGCTTGCGGCTGAGAGCACTGAAGACCTACCATACATACCGATCTCCAGTCATGCAGTCATGACATGCGTTCCACAATCAGGAAAGCTACTTGAGAAACTAAGATACACCTCTACACACTGATAACAACCCCACCGCAGCCAGCGCAGCAGCGTAAGACCGTGTTGATGCAGTTCCAGAAACCGACTTGTGGATCGTTGCTGCATGCAGTCAGCATCTGTTGAGAGCTGAAATGTATAGGTCCAGTATAAGCCACCTCACGTTGCCAATGACCTGGTTCATTTTAGTCTCTTGGCGTCGGTCACCTAGTCTCTGATTGAATGCCTAGTTTTGGACGTTGCACTTTACCATGCACTGCCAACAGGCAGACGTGGCGGGGTATGAGGGCGATGTACCACTGATCTGACATTCTCCTCATCCTTGGTGCACATGATTATGGTCATGATGAGGCTCGCAAGCTATGGTGAGCCAAAATTTTGTTTCTTTGAATAAATTGTAGGCCAGATGCTGCTTTTCTGTTCCTCTGCTAATTAAGGCATTCATTGATTGTTTAATCGCTTCTTCTTCTGAGTCTTGAATGTGAACCTTGATCCATATATCAACTCCACCACCATGTCTGACACCAACGTCGAAGCACACCAAGATCAGCCATGTGTTGCACCTAGTCACTTCGGAGATAGAAGTAACTCGGTCACGAGCTTCGAAGACGTTGGCCAAGCTGAGGCTACAATCAGAGATATGGTTGTCCTGGACTCTCGCCCCATTGAGAAAAAGCAGGATAAATTCAGTATCCAGGTGCCAGACATTCGATATGTCCTGCAGTACAAAGGTGTCAATGGCAAGATCATCGAGTGTAAGTTCACCTAATCAATCACAATGCCTTTGAACATTGTAGTGATGCAATAAATACTGATGCTTCAGCTCTGAGCTCCTCCAGCTCGGGAGAGTGACAAACCTCTTTATCATGTGGAAGACGCCTCTCAGAATCAGACGGCTGAGAGTACCACTCCGATGCCCATCCTTGAGATCATTACTACGGTTGAGACTATCAAGAAGCGTGGCAACACCGTCGGGACAAAAGGGCGTGCCTCTAGTCTGGACAGCGCAAGCATTGAAAGTGACAGTGACGAGGACAGCTCCGGTGAGGACAGCCTCGACGAGAATGAAAAAGCCTTCAGCTACATCAAGCAAGTTGGCAGAGACCAGTATGTCCCCATTTCAAAATCTCTAATAATTATTATTCATCATCATGAGACACATATAGTATAGTAATGCTAACTCTGTCGCCCCTGACAGCATGGTTGTTAAATCCAAGCACTTGATCGCTGCCTTCAATGCCGTCGTCGGCTCCTACCTAGGCACAAACTTCTTCGGCGACACCGTCACCATCAGGGCACCTTACTGCCCGCTCATCCGCTACCGCTCGGCCTTGTCTCGCTATCGCAGTGCGCAGCCCGCCTGTCATGACGATGAATATGCGGCCACCACAGCCAAACACATCGACGTCCTTCTCGAATACCTGGACAAGGCCTACGGCAACCAGATCCGCGAGGAGGAGGCCCGCCACAAGAGGAGCCCGCCCGTCGCGACCTTTGAATGGCTCTGGTTGGCATTCAAGCCGGGCGAGGTGGTGTATCGCAAGATCCACGACGTCTGGACGGCGTTTGTCATCGGCAACGTCAGCGCCAAACACCGTGCCGACAACGGCAAAGTCAAAGAATACAAGATTGACTGCTGGAACATTCGGTATCGTCAAGAGCGCATGCAGCGCACCTCCAGCACCTTTGAAATCTCTCCTTTCCCCGGCGAGCAGGCCCTGCACACTCTGGCGGGTGTGCCTGCTGCCTTTTTCCCAGAGGATTTGGACCAGCAAGGTGGTCTTACCATGGCCCAGAGACAGATTAAGATGGGTAAGATGTACTGGGAGCTGGTCAAGCGGCCGTCTTATAAGGAATATGACGGGCGACTGGTAGATAGGGACGGTCGACGAGGAGGTCACGTAAGTATTCCTTTTCTTCATTTCATTTTCCTCTAGGGCATATGCCCACTGGTCTGGCAACGACATAAAGTTTTCCACCTCATAACGGCAGCCAAACCCTTTGTCTCAAACTACGCCCTTGCGAGAGAAAGACTGAAATTCTCGCTTCTACACGGGCCGTTCTCTTATCTCTGTGTTATACATCCCTGCTGACAAGTCATTTTACTTCGTTAGCTGGCCGGCCGTGTCATCGTCGACGCCGAGGGCTATGATCGCTTCGCCCACCAAGCGCCTGATCAACGCATGCAACCAGGTCTATTTCCCAACCCAGGTCTGATGATGCCCGCAGGCCAGCCCAAGATTATTCTGCCGCAGTTCGCTCCCCAGTGCACCTGCGACGCATGCACCCGCCAACAGGATCCCAGCCGTGCAAGGACGCCGGGCCCGTTCGCAGACTTTGAAGGGCGCGACCCGCGCAAGCACGAGCCGCCACGAAACGACCTGTACTTTCTCGTCTGCTCGCCCGACATCCCAGCCCTGCTCCTGGCGGACCGCCGCTGGGGCCATGTCCGCGTCGACCGCCTGGCCGAGGTGAAGTGCGACACCGAGGCCTTTGGGAACCTGGTGCTGGACCCAGGCGTCAAGCTCACCGTCAAGGCCCTGATCGGCAAGTTCGCCGCCGCCGACGGCACGGTGTCGCCCTGGCCTCGCGATTTTGTCCGAGGCAAAGGTGAGGGCCGCATCTTCCTCCTCCACGGCAGCCCCGGCGTGGGCAAGACCTGCACGGCCGAGTGCGTCGCTGAGCTTACCCACCGGCCCCTGCTGGCCATCACCAGCGGCGACCTGGCCCACCCGAACGTGGAGCGCAGCCTGGGCTACTTCCTCGCCCTGGGCGAGCGCTACGGCGCGCTGGTGCTGCTGGACGAGGCCGACGTCTACCTCGAGCGCCGCCGTACCCGCGACCTGCGCCGCAACGCCCTCGTCAGCGTCTTCCTGCGCGCCCTCGAGTACTACCGCGGCGTGCTCTTCCTCACCACCAACCGCATCGAGTCCTTCGACCCGGCCTTTACCAGCCGCATCCACGTCGCGCTGCACTACAGGCGCCTGACAAACGAGGACCGGGACCGGATTTGGACCAACAACTTTGATCGCCTCGAGCGGGACAATGCCGGCAAGGTTGTTGTCTCTCGTGGCGCGCGGGACTATGTCTCCAGGCGTGGTGGTGGCGGCGGCGGCGGGGAGGTTAGCGAGCTGAAGTTGAATGGTAGGGAGATCCGCAATGCGCTGCAGACGGCTGTGGCGCTTGCCGAGACCGACGCGGCGGAGGAAGGTGTTGAGGAGATTCACATTGCAGAGAAGCACTTGCGCCAGGTCGTCAAGATGAGCAGGGGTTTCAAGGAGTTTCTGCTGAAGAGGAGGGGTTATGATGATGAGGAGGAGGAAGACGAGGAAGATGAATATGGGGAGGGGGCTGGAGCGGGCAGGGATAGTGACGAGGAGAGGCGTGGACCACCTGACATGGGCTGGGGGTTTGATACCCTGTGAAAGGCGCTGAAGGATGACATCTGTCCCAAACTGGTGGTGATGGTGGTAATGCCCACGATTTATACACAAAAGGCATGCTTGGTAACGCAGGATCATATTTGGATAGCGAACAGGAGTCGGAACAAATGAATTGTCATGAACTCCCAAGGGAAGACTTAAGTTGATGTAAGAATTCGCGTATTTTCGTCTATGGAGTAGGTGACGGTTGCGATTTCTTGCCCAACTGTTCTTATACATTTCGTGGTCCTACCTATGTTTCCAAGTCGGCTCTCCGAGAGCCAATACCAACTCTATTCAGTACCTGGGCGTCTTCGTATCTAAGGTGTCTCTTCATGTCTTCTGAGCGACGACGTGTTTGTTTTGCTGGTTTCTGTATGGTTGAATATGGCCGTCGATGTTCTGTTCTGTCTGTGTCGGAGGAAACACTCTCGTACTGTATGCATCCCACCACTCACTTGTGCCCATCGGGCTGCGGAATTTAACCCTCAGCCTCAACCTCGTATGCATTCGACTTGTGCTTGGGCTCGAACTTGAAGCCGCCCGGCGCGGGACCCAGGAACATCTCGCTGTTATCACAACAAAAGTCAGCCGTTCGTCCTCATTTTTCCTCTTTCGCTCTTGAATCTACAACATTCTCTTTCATCTGATGTGAACTTTCATCTGTTTTGCTTACCTGATCTTGATCCAGTCTTTGTAGTTGTTACTTGCAAGGAGGGTTTCGAGGTCATCTCGCCCCCGGTACGCAGGCGGACGGTCGTTGATTTTGGGCGGGAGGTGCTCGAGCACGCCGATGGGGACATAACGGTGGGTGAAGCTGAGGTACTCGAGCAGGAACTTGCGCGTCGCACCGATGCCCATCTCATCGCTGCCCCAGCACTCGATGCCGTAGCGGGCAAACTTTTCCACATACGACAGGCGCTCGCTGGCCGACTTGTCCAGGTACTGGCCCTTCTCGATCTCCTCAAAGATCCAGGGCTTGATCAGCGCGCCGCGGGCGATCATGACCGTGTCCACACGGGCGTTGTCGACGTGGTCGAAGTAGTCCACGTGCGAATAGCAGTCGCCGTTGCCGATGAAGAACATCTTCTCGCCGTTTGCTAACGTGCTGGCGTCGGGCTCACGGACGGTATCTGTGCGCGCGGCCTTCTCCTCCTTGTACTGCTGGATCATGGCCGCGCAGTTGGCAATGTAGTTCCAGTCCGCAGCAGAGCGGTAGCGCTGCTGGCGGGACCGGCCGTGCAGGGTGATGGCCGCGCAGCCGGGGGCGCCGAGCGCACTGCTGGCGTCAGATTCACCAAATGCGAGCCGCTCGATGGTCTTTTGTGCCGTCGGCTTGCCGTCCTTGACACCCAGTCGCAGCTTGCATGTGATGGGCACCTCGCCCGAGACGGCGTTCATGCCGCGAATCATGCGCTCCAGCTTGGCGGGCGCGTCGAGGAGTGCCGAGCCCGCGCCCTGTTTGAAGACCATGTCGATGGGGCAGCCGCAGTTGAGGTCGACGAGCCGGAGGTGGGGGAGAGACTCGGCGAGGGCCTGCGTGGTCTTGAGGGCAACCCATGGCTGGTTGGCGGCGATCTGTGCGGCAAACTTGAGGTCTCGCGCGTTGTCATAGCCAGGGGGCGCGGCGCTGGGGTTTTCGAACCGTGGGGGTCTGGCTTCAGACTCGTGGGCCTTCAGCAGTGCCCATTCGTGCTTTTGCCCTTGCAGGGTGTGCAGGCCAACCGCCATCTCCGAGTACGTCAGCCCCGCCCCGAGCTCGACACACAGCCGGCGGAAGGGCAGATTGCCCTGGGTGGTGAGTGGTGCGAGTACTGGGGTCTCACGGCCAAAGTAGACCCGTCGCTTTTCCGATGGCTTGAAAGGTGGCTCAATAAACTCGGCACGATATTCTTGGACCTTTTGGTCTTGTGTTTTCCCTCCTCCGTCCTCCTGCTTGGTGTTGAAGACTTTGCGCATGAGGCCGGTATCCTTCTCCAGCCAATCCACATACGCCTGCGATTTTGAGAAGTCGTATCTCTTTCTGGACAGCTCGATTTTTCTCTGGGTCGGCACGTTGTTGACGACACCAGGAAAACCGTCCTCCTCGCCCATGGTCGCCTTCTTGCGCTCAGCATCCTTGATCAATACCAGCTCCTTTGGGCCATCTGGATGTGTTAGCTCTGTCGAGTGGGACCTGACAAACAGACACTTCCACCCCATCGGGCAGTCTCCAGACACCTCAAAAAGTGGGCACTTCCCGTCAAGCACCTCAAGGTCAGGCCGCCGGCCCTCTGCAAGGTACTCGCGCAGGTTGTGATGAAGATTACAGCGGCGGCCATCCTGGTCGAACTTGCACTCGCGGGGAGAGTTCTCGTTGGTGAAGGCACGCGAGTGACATAGGCCCTTGACGTCTTGGGAGCGGCCAAAGTCACGCTTCTCGTTGACTCCACGCTGCTTCTTTTGCTTCTTGCTGCCTCTCTCGTTGCCAGTATCCCGACCACGATCTCGAGGGTCGGTCGTCTTGGCCTCTGCAGCATCATCGTCGACCTCGCCGTCTCCCTCCACCACACGGTTGGCAGCCTTGATCAGATACCTTTAGGCCCGAGTCAGCAAGGTTTTTTGGGTCGCATATCAGCTTCCTGCCCGAATCTGGAAACCAACTCACTCTTGCTTGACGGGGGCTGTGCCCTTGGGCAGGGCATTCGCCGTCGCATCACCATCCTCGCCGTTGAGTTCGGAAGTTACCTTGGGCTCAGTCGCCTGAGGTTTGTCTGTATTGATTGGGCCACTCTGCTCACCATCCTGGGTGTCCGTCTTCACCCTCTTGGATTCAGAATTGCTCTCATCGTCAAGGTGGCGCTTGTGGCTGTGCTGATCACCGTTGGTCTTTTCCATACTGAGCTGAGTGATGTGTGGGTAGCTGAAAGGATTCTGGAAGAAATAGTATCGTAAGGTTAAGCTGGTCTTGCAGCTTCTGCTCTGTCACGAGTGTTCCGTTTGTTTCTTCTTTTCTTTTTCCTCTGCTGTTCTGGTCCGTTGAGCTTTGTCAAAATCTCTCTATTCTGAGCCAGTGTGGAACAGAATTTCGCTGGATGAAGTTTTTGAGATGCCTGCCCCCCTGTACGATTGGAGGTACCTACCTACTGTAGTGCCATAATTTAGTGTGTACAGTACTGTGGTACCGTTCCTTCTCCTGCAGCAGCTGGGGGCGCATCTGCATGTTGACTGCTGCAGAAGACCACCCCGCAGCCGCTGTGGGGCCCAGGGTTGTCCTGCTGTCCCGACTGCTGAAGCCGAGAGAGGGCGCTAGAGGAGAGGGATCAGGGCCTGCAGCTGTGGATCTCCAGATACCATAGTGTCAAACAGTAGTACGCTATTGTAGCACGCTAGGCTTGCGAGCGAGGCTGATGGGGACCATCGGATTGATGATCTGCATGTCAATCCAAGTTGACCAACGATCTTGAGCGACATGGCGTCAGAGAGGGGAGAGGACGGGGCGGAGGGGTTCCCTTCAAGATCTGACAGAGAAGGAGAGAAAGAGGAAGATGTGCGTGATCTGCCTCGCCATGTATATTTCTGGTCATACATGAGCGCTCGGTCCCTTCAACATCTCCTTGGCTGCAAAGTTGGACCACGAGCTAGGAAACTGTAATTCATTCTCCAATCAAATAATTTCCCAGGATTGGGTGTCTGTCTTGTCTCTATTGCCTCTCCTACGGTAAGGTAGCTCTTGGAAGCACCTCTAACAAAGAGTGTCGCAGTGGGAGTTTCCTTGGGGAGAAGATGGCTACTTTTTTTTTCTTCTTTCTTTTTCAGAAGTTGTCTTTGGTGGAATAGGGACGAAAAGAGAGGTCGAGGTAAGGTTCTGACGCTTCCTACTATGGTACTACTACGGTAGCATGCACTTACATAGTATGGATGTTACGTGGGACCTTTGCGTGCTACGGGTATACCATTACTGCCATAGTACTACTGTACTGCTACCCAAAGTATGCCGAGCTACTGTAGATCCAGGGAAAACGCATTGGGCGTTCCTGGGCCCGGCTATCAGGGGTCGGCCCATGCCCAGGGCCCATCCTGCTGACCAGTGTAGAAGGCCTAGTTTGAAGTGAGCGAGTGTGAGGTGCAATCCAACTGCGCGTTCCCTTCTCAACCCTGCCCTGCTTCGACTTCATGCAACTCAACTCTCTCTTTCTCTATCACTCCCGCGCAAGCTGGCACGCCCTGGGGCCCCTTCTCCTCCTGCTCCTCCTCCTCCTCTTTCCGCATCCGCCCTTTCCTCGCCACCTCTACTACCATCAGCGCCAGCACAACCGTCATCCCCTTCTCCTCCTTTCATTCTCTCTGCCGACAGCTCCCTACTCCTGGCGATAGGACCTTCTGCAGCAACCCTTCGCCCCGGTGCTTAATGAAGTCTAGGCCTGTCCTGATCCACCATGGCTGACCAGACAGCCAAGACCAGAGATTTCATCGATAGGGACGCCTCACCACTGACTACCAAGACGATCCGCTCTCAGAAGATCTCCATACCTTCGCCTACAGACCCTACGTCTGCAGCAGCCGTCTCGTTCTCCAGAGACATTGCTACCGAGTCGATACCTCCCGTACCACGAAGTCACACCCCCGGTCGCCTCGCATCCAGGAGCTCGACTTCGAGACGAAAACCCTCCACATCCGACCTGTCCATCAGGCAGAGGGCAGCATCGGCTGTGGCCAACAACAATAATAACCCTCCTCCTCATTCTTCCTCCTCGCAGACGAGTTCCCCCAAGGGCGCTCCGCCCGTGAGCGCCAGGCATGCAAACGTACGAGAGAACGGCGAACTGGGTGCGGACGCTTCTCACAGGCCCGCTTCGTCATCAGGGCAGGATAGGGATGGGCCCGGTGGCCGCCGGCCTCCAGCACTACGATCGACCTCGGCCATAGCGGGCAAACCTGGCACCGTGCCCGGTGGGCCAGCAGTCATCTCGAGTAGCAACAGCGCCAACGGCACGAGCGGCAACAGCAGCAGTAATACCAAGCCCACAAGCACATCCTCCTCCTCTACGACTACCACCACGACCACCAACAACAATACCACTACCGTTGCCGCAGCACACCGTTCCTCTGCCGGCCGATCCACAAAGCGCTCCTCTGCCACCGCCTCCTCCGCCTACACGCCCTTCCCGCCGCTCGCCTCTCCCAATTCCGGACCTGACGTGGCTCCTGCGCCATCATCAGGCATGTACTGGTCGCGGGCGCTCGTGTCGGGCCAGGGTCACCCCTCGCTTCGTGCCCACACCTCCACCATCATCGGCTCTAACGTCTATGTGTTTGGCGGCTGTGACAGCCGGTCCTGCTTCAACGACCTGTATGTCCTCGACGCCGACGCCTTTCACTGGTCACGGCCCTACGTGTCTGGCGAGATCCCCGTGCCCCTGCGCGCCATGACATGCACGGCGGTCGGCAAGAAGCTGGTCATCTTTGGTGGCGGCGACGGGCCTGCCTACTACAATGACGTCTACGTGCTGGACACGGTCAATTTCCGCTGGACCCGGCCGCGTATTGTCGGCGACCGCGTCCCTTCTAAGAGGAGAGCCCACACGGCGTGTCTTTACAAGAACGGCATCTACGTTTTTGGCGGTGGGGATGGGGTGCGGGCGCTGAACGACGTCTGGCGGCTGGATGTGAGCGACCTGACCAAAATGAGCTGGAAGCTCATCTCCAGCCCGACTGAGGGCAACCCAACACCGTCCCCCAGCAGGACCGCTGCTGCGTCTGGCGGTACCACGACGGCCGGCATCGGGAGCGGTAAAGATCTGCGGCCCAAGGCGAGGGGGTACCATACGGCTAACATTGTCGACGGGAAGCTCATCATCTTTGGCGGCTCCGACGGCGGCGAGTGCTTCAACGACGTGTGGGTCTACGACATTGAAACCCACGTCTGGAAGGCGGCGCCCGTGTCCGGGACATTCCGGCGGCTGTCCCATACGGCGACCATTGTTGGGTCTTATCTCTTTGTCATTGGCGGTCACGACGGCAGCGAATACTCCAACGACGTCCTGCTTCTCAACCTGGTCCAGATGACCTGGGACAAGCGCAAGGCCTACGGCATCCCGCCGAGCGGGAGGGGCTATCACGGCACCGTCCTGCACGACAGCCGCCTGCTGACCATAGGCGGCTTTGACGGTGGCGAGGTCTTTGGCGACGTCTGGGTGTTGGAGATGGCAGTGCACGCCTACTACTCGCAGATCAGCCATTTCCAAATCGACGTCTAAGGGGGTGGTTTCTTCGCCTGAAGGCTGGTAGTATGGATGGAGAAAAGAAAGGATGGAAGGAGAGAGGGAGAGAGATATAGAGAAGGAGGACTAACCATAACGACTTGATGGACTGTGACAAGCGATGCTGAGCGCATATTGCTGTTGATACCCGCTCCCTTGCTTTGTACCATGTTAACGTGTTACTACGGTCCGGAGATATCTTGTTTTATATATATGTTGTGTACGACTGTATAGTACGGCGCTAGACGGCGTTGATGTGAAAACTAGGGCAGCGGAGGTCAAGAGAAAGGCGAGAGAAAGGGAAAGGGGGGTTGAATATAAAGGGCACGGGTTTCCTCTGGCTTAGAAGAGAATTTTATTATGAACGTATGATCTATCTAGCACTGTATCATCATAAAATCTCCCTCTTCTTTTTCATATGCTTCTCTAGTCTTTTATTTCGTGATAAAATGATCCAAATCCCTTCATTTTCCTCTCCAGTGCAGCCTATAGATTAAACACCGCCGCCGTCTCCCTAAGAACTGGATATACGCTTGCCACGTGCAAAGACAAAAAGCCGCCAATCCTGACGCCTAACGCAGGAAGAAGAAGAAAGATAAAAAGGCCGCTCCAGACTTTATTTCTCCCCCTCTCTTTTTTATTTTGTTCTGGAACCAAACCCAATGCCACGTTCTATATGCCGTTTGCTGGTGCAGAGAAGAAAACAGGGTGAGAGACCAAGAAATTCAAATGACGCCTCAGTCATGCATGGAATATATATATTGACTCCATCCACTCAGCCATCTAGTTCGAGGTTTCGGCGGCAGTAGCCTCGGCGGGCTTGCTCTCCTTTGGCTGAGTAGCAGTATGCTCTTGCTTTTGCTTCTTGAGGCGGCGCTCTTCAGCGGCGACCATGTCTATAATTTGTGACAAAACAAAGAGGGTTAGCCAATTGTTCACATTTCGTTGATATTCTGGAGGGTTTCTTTTTTTTTTTTTTTTTTTTTTTCTGGGGACAAGTTTGAATTCAAAATCAGTCCTTACCTTTCCAGAGATCCTGTCCCTCGTACTCCTCCTTGTGGACCTTCTTCTCGATCAGGTGCTCGTGCTTGGGATCGTCAGGGTCCACGACAAGCACAGTCTCCCAGCGGCCCTTGCCGCTCCGTGCATCGCTGGTCTCGAAGGCGGCGGTAGCGATGAGCACGGCCAGCGTGAGGCCCTGCGCATAGACACGGGCCTGTACGAGCTTCTGGGCGGTGCTGAGGTAGCGATTCCGCCCGACGATGGTGAGGGCGAGGCCCATGGCGGCGATCCACGAGACGGTGACGATGGTGCAGCGGTTCTCGCGCCCCCACTCCATGAAGCGCTTCGTCTCGCTGGCCTCGCTGTGGCGGGCGGCCTCGAGGGCGCGCTGGGTCTCATCCTTGTAGAAGTTCATGGGGTCCTTGGCCCTCTGGAAGGCGACCGAGTAGCGCTCGGCGGTGGTGATGGCACCAAAGGTCGCGGCCGAGGAGACGAGGAAGGTCCGGAAGGGGACGGTTAGGCTGCGGAAGGCGGCGTAGCGGCGGGAGGCGAGGACGACACCTGCGAGGCCGGCGCCGAGGCCGATGGAGCCGCCTATTGCGCCGCCCTTAAGGACTTGGCTGTAGTGGGCTTGTTCTTCTTCTTTGCTGATGACCTTCATGATGGGCGGTTCTTTTGGTCCTTTGCTCTTTCTTCGGGAGAGGGGATAGAAAGACAGAGAGAGGTGGTTGTTTGATCGGTTCGGGTGTTGTTGAAGACTGTGTCGCCTGTGTGGTTCTTCTAACCTGATCCCGACTTTATGATGTGTGTGCGTAGAGGAGTAGTAGTGGTTGTAGCCGAAGAAGTAGAGCCGTGCTACGTTCTACAAATTTGGTTATGATTAATGATTGCCTTCACCAATTACTGCCAATCGAGCGCATCGATATGATCGTCTGATGGTGTGCAGGAGTGGGATGGACTGACATTCGCAGGATGATCGTCGAGGTTGAGAAGGCGACTGACTCTAAATAAGGGATGAACTTTATTATGGTATCCCGAATCATGCGGTATTGTTTTGTTGAAAAGGAGTTTGCGCGGCGGAGTGAAGATGTCATGCCACTTCTCGCGACCTGCAGAAATCCTCCTGGTACCCCCGACAAGGACCGAACCAAAACCGTGACGTAGACGGAAATAAGCTGCAAAAGAAGTCTGTGCTGCTACACTAAAAGAGACCAGATGCCGCTTGCTAACTCACTGCCACTGAAATTCAAATCCCGAGTTTGGGCCGCCACCCAGTTCTTTTTTCCCCTCCTGCCATTCTACTGACAAACGTCGGCTTTTGAGGGTTTGCTTACAAGATGGTGAGAGGCTCGGCCACTCTGGTGTATTATTACCATCCGTCACCCCTCTGAACAAACCATGAAGCCTTCCGTCCTGTTTTCGTGCTTTGTATCGCCGGAGGCTTTTCGGTGTCTGCGGCGCGCATTTGACGTCTCATATAATCAATCCAACGATAATTCTTCGGATTTTGAACACCCTTCGGTGGTCTCAGCCTCTTGTTTATCTCTTTCCTTCTCGTCTCCTATCTTTCTCTTCTCTGTTTGTAAGCTGCTTCCTTCTATGTCGCGCATCTCGATGTTCAACTACACTCAACGCTGAAGTAATATCTAGGGTGAGGAAGGTGTCCCTGCATCGCATCGAAGGCCATCAACGTCCATCGTCAAGGACCTCAACTACTAGGACCTATGAGCGACGAGAACCTAGTAGACTGCATGCATGCACATCAGTCAAAACACCACTCTTTGACGTCTTGAAGTTACAACACGTTGCCGAATCCAAGTGAGACCTCGTGAAGATCCATGATGTAAAGAGAGGTTCTGCCAGGAAGGCATTGCCAGGCAGCCAGTCGGATAACGCACCCGAAGAAGCACCAAAGTTGAAGGCGGCCAACTTAATGTCATGCTTGCCTACCAACCTCCCAGACAAGACGCAAACCCTCCCACGACCTCCCGTTCGCTGCCTCCGGACATTGCACGGTAGTCGGTCTCAGGGCTGCCCGGATCCGGGAATGCGCAGGGCACACGCCGTTTGCAATCTCAAGTTCCGGACCAGATCCTCCACCTCTGTGTATGTGTGTGTTAGGACCGATGAACTACTTTCTCCACTGCTGCAGTGCAACCACAGGACATTGTCACAGCGGGTTGAAGCGGTCAGATTAGATCTGCCTTTCTGCCCAATCCGAGGGCCGCTCCAGGGGTCCGTTGTGTGTGTGTCGCGTGTGAAAAGCATGCATTGTTACTACTTTTTTTTTTCTTCCTCCGGGGAAATTTGCGCCTACAGCGGCCTGCGCGGGTATACAAAAACAAATATACCAAACCCAAAAAATAAAAAGACGTCTTGACTGATCTGGATTTGCATTGGTATTACTGTTGTCGAAGAAGCCGTGCAACCACACGCTCCTTAGCCCAAGAAATTATTGCTTTTGGAATGCGTACCATCTCCAAAAGGCAGATCAGACCACTAGGTCCTTGCTTATAATGGCTTTGGAGAATGCTCGCGCTCTGTTGATTGAGCGAAGAGGAAAAACGAACGAAAGACGGCGAAAAGAAAGAGAGAGAAGAAGAAGAGAGAAAGAAGAAAAAAGAAAGAAACACTCAACTTGACCTTGTACCTGTCTTAGAGAAGCTTTCTAGAAGCTCTCTTCTGGCGGCCCGCCTTACCGCCTCGCACTCGCATCGTTCTGATATAGTAAGTCCAGCTTGGGGCCCGAAAAAAAAATTGGGAGCAAGCAAGCAGCAATGACATCAGTCCAGTAAAGTTCCCAAGGTTCCTTGATTTACTTTTCTTTTCCTCAAAGGACACGCCAGGTTTGCTGGATGGTCTTGTCATGATCTGGATCTGGCCACTTGACCTATGTAGATCGAGTAGATTTGAAAAGCAAGGAAAAAAAGAAAGAAAGAAAAAGGCAAAATCGAGGAAACCGCTGCTTCTCCGTATGTTTCCCCTCCAAGCATGAAAAACAGATGAAGCCCAGCATGCCTGAAATTACCATGTTTGGATAGGCCGGCCAAACACGACCCGTCTGCTGCGTTTCGCGCGAGTCTTGAAGGGGACACGATGCGCGGCGCCCTTCCCCCCTGGTGCGAGGAAGGAGGACGAAGAGCAGCTTCACCGAGATTCAATTTGGAGCTTGACCGTATGTGCCCCACCAGCCAGACCGACGCCGGCCCACGATCTCTACTATTGCTCGCTCTCTAAACTCTCGCTCTCTCTCTCCCTCTCTTCCCTTCTCCGTTCTCTTGCAGGGACAGCATCTTTGGAGGTCCCAGTCAATCACACAAACACAACCCCTCAAAAAACGAGACTCGGAATCTGGTCTCGATGCAGAGACAGGCATCGAGATGCAAGCAATGCAGGCGCATGGACCATGCTCCGTGCGAAGAGGTGTACTATGGTACTCTATGCACGCCCTGGGAGGAGGGCCCCCGTAAGAAGAGGACCCCCGTAACTATGTAGGTACACTATGCTGCGTCCCACATTCGGTTATCGAAAATTCAGGGTCTTGGGAATTTCTTAAATCCCGCCTAGTCGTCTTTATTACTCAGACTTCTTTTTCTTTCTTTGCTGACAAAACCCGAAGAAGACGGGCATCTCGGCTCGAAAAAAGAAAGAGAGAAAAATGTATCATCCCAGAAGAAGGAAAGGCTGCGGCTCCTCTATTACGTACCGTTTCGGAGCAGACGTCCAGGTACGAGCTGAAGGCCGGAGACCAAACTCCCGGGAACATGCCGAGGTCAGAAGGTCCCCATGGCCACGTTTTTTTTTCTTTCGAGAAAGAAAATAGGGGTCCTTCGTTCTTCTCTTTGTTGAATCGTACTGTGTTATAGTAAGTAGTGGGTAGCATTTCAGGGGCGGCTGCACGTCAGCCCACTGTGTGTCAAAGTCGACCGGGTTGTTGGACCATCCACGATGGAGACAAGCGGCGCCGACGCGGCAATGAACCTGGTCTTGCTCAATGTTTTATAGCATAACAGAAAGCGGTGAATCCACTTCTAATCTTGTCCTGGCTTGTGACAGGTGACCGTCCAGGAAAAACCTCGCACCGTGGAACACACCCTCCGGAGCGTTCACCATACTCAAAATAGGACTGTGACAACTCAATGCAATACGTACTGTCGCACGGCCAATTACAACGTTGCTTTGAGGCTAAAGTAAAGATGCTCATGCGAGTCAAGAACATGCAGGCACAAATTGCTTGAGGTAAATAAACATAGCAAGGTATTTGTCACGTGACCGATTGCGTTCTGCGAGGACGATCATGACAAGGCTTTTTGTTTATGAGGCAGCAATTGAGATCTTGAACAATCAGGCGTGGCAGATGTGACGAGGAATCTTGGAAAACGAAGTAGCCTGCGCAGGCTTAGCGCCCAGAAAGCACCCGTGGCACCGCCGAGGAGGGCCGCACACCCAATAAGATCGTCACAGCAGCGGGCAGGGTTGAGGCTGGAGGTCTTCAAGGGGTGGTTTCCAGGATGAGTCAAGTTCAGCTCTGCCTTTCCAACTGCGGCAGGAGACAGCCTTGTGCTCTTGTGTTCAGGCGGTGGCCCGTGGCAACAAAATTGAGGTGTTGCAATGGTACCCTAAGCCCTGCTAAAAATGCTAAGCTGCTGAGGAGGGTTCATATGTAACGGTGCTAAACCATGTGCTAAGCAGCGGAACCGCAATCCAGCTTCTACTACCATTGTAGCTAGTAGTGACGGTTCATAAATCAATCTTCAGTTCCTGAGAAGTATGCAGCTTGCAGCTCGGTCGTCGGCAATAGCGAGCGACTGCTGCTGCTGTTGGTGGTGTTCGTGTCTCTCGCGCTTCCGATAGGCTTGTTCGTCGGTTATTGCCTCGGCCAGACTAATTCGTAGTGCATGAGCTCGTTGTGTCTGACCGCCACATTACGGCTCCCAAAGAATGCAGCGCATAGCGCCTTGTGTCTTTCCACCCGTCAAGAAGGACAAGAGGATGAAAACCCCAAGCAACGACCAGAAGAAACAATGGAGCTGCGAAGAGGCATGACGGCAGCCCAGGTTGCACACCTTTCTGCCAGCTATCGCTACCGGTCTTTTTGGATTTGTTGCTTGAATGCAGCAGATCTCGCATCCGACGGCTAAAGGTGCATGACTGGGGCCTGAGCTGTGCGCATCGGGTGTACTGCCACTATAATATGTACGAATGCAGATCCAAACGACAACAACAGGGCCACGTGAGGGACACCGGCACGGCCGCGTAGGTTTCTGGATAACCCTTGGTGTCGATCAATCGTGATCCTGCCCTTGTTGCCCATCATCTCCAATTGCCTGCCCAATATTCCTTGCGGGCGAGATTGCCTACGTCTGAAATTGACCTGTCGCGTGTCCAGATGCTGGTTCCCGGAGCTGCCACTAACTGTATCTGCCCCGCGATGGGCATGGAGCAGTGACAGCATCACCGTAGCCAACGGATCTATTGCTGCCGACAAGTGAGCTATAGTTCTGTCGATCTTCTATGTCGTGCTTGATGCAGAGGTAGGGAGAGTGGGAAAGGATTAGGGGGCGCGTAGAAGTGGAACTCATGTGTTGTACATGATACTATACAAGTAGTAGTATGTGGCGGTCTTGACGAAGGCGGCCGGGTGAGGCTGGCAGGCCGGCAGTAGAAGCTGGCAGGGAGGGCCTTGGTAGACAGGTGGTTTCGAACACAAATAGAAGAGGCAGGAAAATGGCGGTCATGTCCGGGCGCGCCAGCCAAGGCGAACGGGGAAAACCAAAAAGCAGAGCGTGGCCGAGGGCGGATTGCGGGGGGGAGGGCAGGCTAGCTGCCCTCCAGGTTGTGCCATGGCCTATCCTTCACTCCTACTTGACTTGTGCACCCCCGAGAGCATGTCCAAGTCAGTTCGTGAATCGCGATCTGGCATAATACTGTGGTTGCGACCAGGCCTAGCAGGTCTGGCAGCTTGGGTGAGAGCAGTCCGTGCTTGCAGCAAGCGTCTCCCACTAGGACAGCCTAGTCTGTTAGTGCACAGTAGAGCCGCACTTGCCGTTTGCGTGTCCAGTTTGCGTGTAAATCGTCATGTCCTCGACGAAGCAGCCTGCAGGTGTGTCTCCTAGGTTGTGTGTTCTCCATCCGCTTAGTGTGCCTAGTGGAAAGGGGCTGCCTCGCACGCAGACAGGGTTAAACCGCCTGTGGCGTAGACGTCACACTCGCAAGTACTGTAGCACCTCACTGTGCGTTCCTCTCTGCCCAGACCGTTGATACTTCTTGGACTTGGCCATTACTCGTGACCAGTCCTTGCCCAAAGTGCTCCATCCCAAAACATCTGGAACTCTGTAATGACTAGTTCTACCCACCTTTACATAGCACCAGAGTATAATCCACATTCCAAGTCCACTTACCTAGCGGACGCGAAGTATGCCGTAACCGCTGTGGAGAGATGGTGAGAGGGAGAGAAAGAGACAGGGGCGAGGAGGAGGAGACGTCGTACTATGGTGGTAATAGCGGGCGGCGACTTTGTTTGTTGGTGGACCATCAGGTACGAGAGAGGCTCCGTCTGCTATGATACTCTATACCCTGTCACCTCCAAGGTGTCCCCGGGTTTCCCATCCCCAGCCTATCGTGACCTACGTAACTCAAATATTATAGCGGCCCTCTGTCTCTCTATCGTGTACCTCCTCGCTGGAGAAAAAAAGGGCCTCGTCCGACTCCTCCTGGCTCATCCCGGAACTGGCAACTCATCCCCCAACAGGCGCTTCCTACAACGTATCTGTTCCGTCCCCTGGAGCGTCAGAGACGGAAGAAAGCAGTGCATTGCATACTTAGGTAACTTTAATAAACAACAAACTGAGAGTACTTAGTCCCCCTCGCCTGCCCCTCTCTGCTCTCACTCAGAATTGTCTCGAGATCTCCTCGCTCTTCCTCTTTCTGAGAGATCCCACCCAAGCTCTGCTATCTTACACATTCCAAGTAATTCTTTTGCCCCCAACCCAATCCCAAAGGTAGCAAGTCAAAAAAGAAAGGACATAGGCCAGAAACTATAACAAACAACTTCGCCATCGGCCTCTCGCCACGTCCAGCGCTGTTGAGACTGCATGTTATTTTATTACCATTGTTTTGTCACCTCGCCATCTCTTGACACACCAATCCTACCCCCTCCCCGCCCTCAGATATACAACTTCTTCCCCAACCGGTATTGGGGTGGGTGGTATCGTCTCGCGTTTGCCTGTGAACAGGTTCGTTCACCTAATCTCCAGTGCACTGCGCCCAGCCGCCGCCAACCGTGGGCCTTGTCCCGTCAAAGATCCGTCACGTCACCCCAAGAACCGAGAGGCCCTAAGTTGACAGGCCAGGTAGAAGGTGCCCGTTCAGGCTAGCGTGTTCTGGTACCTAAGCTGGTCTAGTCTCGCCGCTCGATGACCCATACACTGGCCCTACATCCCGTCTATCTGCCCTGTGCGCCAGACTACCGCCCCGTTGCGACTGCCTTTCTGTGCGCCTCTACCTGCTGCTAGGGACCACCGCATCGCATACCAACTAGACTGGCCAGACACACACACACGTCTTGATCTCCATTCCATTCTGATTCCTCAACCTTACTCAGCTGTCTTGTACCAGCTTTATCTCGTCTCGTCCAAACTGTTTCCTCCTTCCTCTGCTTATCATTTCTTCCCCCATTATCTACAACATCATCCATCCTACGAGTATTCCGACTGCGCGCCTCGTCCACAGTCCGCCCGAAGATGTTCAAGTCATTCTGGGAGGGCAATACGATTTCAAACGCAACCCGTTCACGACCGAGTACCGCCGAGGATCCGCAATCTAGGCAGGGTTCAGGGCAAGGGAATCAGCAGCAGCCCAGCCTGAACGGGGGAACAGCATCGCCTTCATCACCTGGGGCCGGACCCACCGAGCCGTCGTCGCTGTCGCAGTCGCGGCCACAGCCCGCCTCCTCCTCCTCCTCCTCGTCGCCCACTTCGCTCTTCTCCTCGACCTCCCCTCCAACCTCAACCTCCTCTTGTTCGTCCTCACCACCCCTGCAGGTTAGAGGCCCCTCCTCGTCGTCGTCGCGCCCTCCTCGCCCAAACGCCACCAACCCCGCCCGCCCTCCATCATCCCAGCTTACCCAGTCCCAGTCGCCCCCCAAGCCCCAGGCCCAGTCCCTGTCCCTGTCGGGCCTCTCTCAGGCCAGGGCGAATCTCGCTAGTGACAATACCACTGCTGCGGCTACCACTGTGACGGCTGCAGGCCCCAGCGATAACAATTTCTCTGGTTATCGTGCATCGTCGTCCTCTCTCGTCACCTCTCCCACCTGCTGCTCTGCACTACTCCCTCCCGCTGCTGAGGCCTCTCTTGCACCCACTGCCGCTTCATCTTCAGATTCCCAGTCGCCCCAGACCTTCAACCACAACAACAATAGCCGCTCCCTTACTCCTTCCTCTGCTTCTCCAACCCCTCAACCAGTCACCCCTCAGTGGTCATTACTGGGAGACGCCGACGTCGCCAACCCCGCCGCCACCACCACCAAACCCGTCGACTCTCCCGTCGGGTCTCTCGGCGGTTTTCTTGCAAACGCCTCGTCATCCCCACGGCACCGCAGCCACTTTGTTAACAAATTCAACGCCGGCCCACCCCCAGCCGCGCAGGTCGCCGACGCCGACGGTGATATTATTCTCGACGATCTCGAGTGTTTCGAAGATTACGTCGAGGCCCCGGCCGACGATTTTCCAGATCCCACACCATCCTCTCCCAAAGACATATCTGCAGTGCCCGACAGCAACATGACAACCGGTCCCTTCGACTCGGCCATGAGCCGCAGTCGGCAGGACTCATTTGTCGGTACCAAACCCATTTCTATGAACATCACAAATCCAAATCGTGATCATGGCAGCCGTCCCAGGCGCGAATCTCTTGCCGGCAGTATGATGGGCGGCAGCCTCATGGGCGGCATGAGCTGGGGCGGCATTTCTGTTGGAAGCTTCATCCGCGATGAGTACGTGGAATTCTACACTCCCTCCCCCACCCTTCTTCCCCTTCTTCTCCGTCTTGATTCCTCGACTCTCCTTCGGCTTTCCGCCATCAGAGTCATGAACAACATGATCCGTCTTGCGTTTCGGTCTCATAAGACCCAACTTCTTCCGATTTTCAATGCTCGATGATGCCATATCAACGGATTTTGTTGTCACTGAGCCGCGACTAACAGTTACTCACGCGTAATTACAGAGTCTTGGCAGGCACCTCGCCGTTTGTCACTCAAGGCCAATCGCCGTCCATACAGTCCACCTCATATCTCCCCAAACTGGAGCAGACCTTCATGAGGGACTTTCGATGTTGCGATCGCACATGGCCTACCTTGCATGATCTTCTCCAGCACTATGAAGAGCACCACCACGCAAACCCAAATATGCAGATGAGCAGCCCGCAGATCAGCAACCTGAGCAAACAGGGCCTCTTCCCCGTCCAGGGCACTCCCCGATCCAATAGCCGTACCTTGCAGCCCAACGTGACATCCATGGGCATCAACCAGAATGGCATGTCCGGGATGGGAATGCAGATGCAAGCCCAGATGGGCCAGCAGAACCGACAGTTTGGCGGCATGCCCGGCACGAGCATGAACATGGGCGGCATTTCGTCCATGATGCGACAGCAGACGTCAATGCCTGGCACGCCTAATCAGAGCCAGGCTCAGCTGTCCATGAACGATGAGCTCGACGCCGTCGGCGATATGGAGATGGATGAGATGATGGACGTCGACGACAGCCAGCGCACCATCCAGCAGACTCGCCAGATGTTTGGCCAGCAGCAGAGACCGCAGCTGCATCTGAACAGCTCAGGACTGGGCGGATTTAACCAACAGGCTCTGCGTACTTCGACGCCGACCACGCCCGGTGCAGGAGGTTTTGGCTTCCAGAACAACCCCACAGTGTCTTCGGTCAACACGCCGACCCTCGGCACCCAGCCATACCGCGGCCAATTTCAGGGCGACCCTTCAGGCATAGCCACACCAACCGGCGAGATGATGGAGGAGGATATGCCGGCGATGCCGAAGATGAGCCCCATGAGCAGCGCGAACATGAATCTCAGCGGCTTGAACGGGCTCAACATGTCTCAGTTTGGACTCAACAACTTTGCAAATGGAAATGGCAACAACATAAACAACAACTTTGGCACCATCTCTGACCCCGGCAAGCAGTTATTCAGCCCGGGTGGTGGCAACGGCAATGTCCTAACCCCAGAGCAACAGAGCATGCAACAACAGTTTGCGCAGTTCGGCATCGATGCCAGCATGCTACCCCCTGGTACTGACATGCAAGCATTGCTGCAGCAGCTGTCTCCGCTGGCCATTCAGGAAGAACACAAGCCGTTCAAGTGTCCAGTCATCGGATGCGAGAAGGCTTACAAGAACCAGAACGGCCTCAAGTACCACAAGACACACGGTCATTCGACACAGCAGTTGCACGAGAACGGCGACGGTACATTTTCGATTGTAAATCCAGAGACCAGCGCTCCATACCCGGGCACCCTGGGCATGGAGAAGGAAAAGCCATTCAAGTGTGATGTCTGCGGGAAACGTTACAAGAACTTGAACGGCCTCAAATATGTGAGTTATAAAGAATGCCCGCGCCCCAAAGACAAGCTTGATCCGCTAACAGTCACGTAGCACAAAGCACACTCCCCTCCTTGCGATCCCGATGTTGTAGCCCGGCAACAGAATGCCATGGCCACACTGGCAGCCATAAGCGGGAACACCATGGGCCTGAACATGGCAAACTTCGCCGCTCTCAACCCCGGCCTTCCGAATATCGGGGAGGAAGCTCAATAGGATGGGGCGAACCACGAGCCGGAAATTCATATGGAAGAGGGACGAGGCGAGGAGCTAGGAGAGGAGTCTGATGTGCCTGTCAAAGAGTTGCATGACATGTTCATCGAGGAGCCCAACAGTGACTCCGGCGATGACCACTCTATGGAGGAGTTGGAGCAGCTTGTCAAAACCACTTCCAACCCTCCCCGCCGTCTACATGATGCGTCGTCACCGCGGCACAAATGCACTCTGGTGGATCCCAATACTGGCGAGCCTTGTAATGCGGACTTCTCTAGGGCAGGGTAAGACATTCACTCACGCATAGGCCCGCTGTTTTCATATCTTGTGCTAACGTCAGCTCTAGCCACTTGAGGCGCCATCGGGAAACATTTCACCACCTCTCCTCTTCTACATTCCCGTGTGTTGTCTGCAAGAAAGAACGGGCATTCAACCGTCTTGACACCTTGCAGCGACATTACCGACAGTGTCATCCGGGCATCGAGCCACCCTCGGGGCGGACCGGTGTCTGAAGCCTATTATCACAGCTGATGATATTGGCGATCACGACAAGATCACCTGACGCTGGGCCACATTCCTTTACCATGATCTTTCAGGCTCGTGGTTCCCGACCTATTCAGTTTGCATTCGCAATCAGACACCACTTTTCACGCAGAAGCGTGTCATCGACGAGGATACTTCATAGCAGCATCCGGGCTGGTGCTGCTTTCGACCGAGATCTTTTCGAATGAGTTTTTTTCTCGCCACACCAACAGAGCCCCCCCCCCCCCCCTTTATACCCCGAAGACATTAGAATGCAGATTTCCGTCCCTATTCCCTTTGGACTTCCTTTTCTCGGATGGCTCGCAAGACAAACCGGGTTGGCTCCACACTTTGACTCCTGTCACCCATTCGCTCTCACCGACGTCGCTCCTACGATCGGCCACACAACGAGACGCTTCTCATTCGGACACGACAATTTTTGTCTGATCAGTCTCGACCGATACGACGGTGGGGAATACTGAATCGCAATGCACAGGTTGCTTGTCACTTTTCTAATCATGGCCCTTTAATGGCGGCGGCGTAATAGGATCGGACAGTATAGATTACTTTGGGATTTTTGACCTGTTGAATGGTCGCAAAAGGTTGTCAAATGCGTGTTTCTCATATGTTTGTTGTTACTACGAGTTTGATGGACTTGGTTTACAAAAAAAGAAGTTTTTTGAGCGTGTTGAAGGGATGTTTGCACAAGCTGCGGAGCGTTTTATATCCTTAACGCGGGCCCTATGGTATCTACAAAACTTTGGATCCTCCGAGAGACAGAAGGTGAAAAAGGCTGTGTTTTTTGTTTTAAGTATGAAGGAGTTTGGTAAAGAAAAAAAAACAAGAAAAAAAGTCAAGTATGTGTATTAGGGAGGGAAGTAGTGCCCTCGCCCACTCAACAAGAATCGAAATGCTCTGCTCTCTCTTCAGTACCGTACTATGCACTCTCGCCTTGCCTTGTCCGCCACGAGGTAACTGCACCGAGTGAGTGAGTTCCTGACGTAGCCGATCTCCCCCCTCCCCTTTAAACCCCCCTGGATCCGGCAAGGCCAACGAACTGGTGGGGGAGAGGCGCAACCCCAAACTCGGGAATCATCCCATCCTCGCAGACAGGAGCTCCGATCTAGCATCTGTCAGTTCTCGTCAAGATTGTTGATCACTTCTGTAACCTCGATCCCGACGTCACAGACACCCACCCACACACCCAGGATACTGACACCCGCACCAGCCGCCCCACCAGCAATCGACAGATCCTGTCTTCCGACATCCTAACCCAAAGGGCGATCTAGGGAAAGTCGAAAATGCAAAATGGATGTAAAGTCACCCAGCACTATCTCTCCCACATGGCCTCAAGGGGTGGTGAGAAGGGGGCACGGGAACTTTACCTGTCATTCATTCCTTGATGAACAATCAGCATGGGAGAGGAAGTTTATTAACTGGATCCTGTATCCACTTCACCTTTCTACATCTCGCCCTGAACGCCGAGGGCTGCGACTCAGGCGGGAAATAATAGGTGCTATCCAGATTGGAAGAGAAGCTTTTCTTGCTTGTCATACTCATTAGCATCTGCCTACCACTACCACCACTACCATCGCCAACTATACTAATCTACGTTCACCTAGTTGCCGACGGAAAATTCCGGGGCTTTGAGTCAGTTCGAGCTTGCTATCAGCAACCCAAGAGGAAAGCGGAGAACGATTTGCGAGGAAGATTGGCGTTGTGGTGGGCGGAGGAGGGAGGGAGGGATTCTTTTGAAAGACGGTGCATTACGCATGCCAAGATGAAATAAAGTTTATTCAACCTTGGCAAGTCCCGGCTTTTGGGAGCAGGCGCCTTTTTTCTAGCTCTCTCTTCTCCACGTCTCAGTCGGGGCAGAGGACGAGGACCTCGGAAGAGCCGTAACGACCGGGGTGTTTGAGTTGAGGGTAGGCGATCGTGGTGTATGGCATTGCCTCTTTTTCTTTTCTCGCTCGGCAAGCCTACCCCTCCTCTCTCCCTTCATTTGGTTTCTCTCCTTTCGCCGGGCCGGTGCGTGGACGAACAAGGTTTATGAGATCGTTGCTTTCCTGGGGAAACTTGGCGATGGCCTCAAGCCGCTATGGGGAAAGGTAAAGGGGGGGGGGGCCGGGGGCAGGCTACACAAGCAGGGCAGATACCTATCCGTCGGTCCAATCCTCGATGCGAGATTGACAGGTTGCTGGGTAGACAGACAGGTTTTTGATGACGTCTCTCCGCAACCTAATCCAAGCCACTCTGCCTCTTCGTCCTCCTTCACCAAGGATTCCTGAAAATGATCCTGGCAGTTCCTTCATGGCAGACGAAACCGCCTCTTTTATCACGACGGTGGGAAAACGGTCGATAAACGGAGGGCTGTCCCGCCTGCTTGGGTACGCCTATGCAATGGCGGGGTCTAGCCCATGTTACAGTACATGGGAGCACTCTCACATGGACGCGGGATGATGACGGGGCGGGTTTTGAGTTTGTCACTTACACGTGTCAGTAATATAGTGTATCTGCATCTCACAACCGACGTACGCCAGTTAAGTTGACTGGCTGTAGTAGAGCACAAGACCCACTGACGATGTAATCATCGATAGAGAGGGTTTGGTCCCCAGCCTTGTAGGAAAGGTTCAATTGCGTGAAGGCGGGAGAGAGATAAGGCGAGTCGTGTCGTGATGATCGGAATCGTTGCCAATGCTCTGTTCCCCTGTCGTCCCTCTGCTTCCCCCTGTGAGGCACATGACCAATTTGCGATGGTGAGGCCGCTCCACAGCTTCTGAGACTGAAGGGTTTGACGATGAGACGTAGACAATCTTAGTGGTGATAGTTCCACAAGGGCCCGAGTTCCTCTGTGAGGGCTCGAGGAGTGTTTTTGGGTCCAGAGACGAATTGCCAGCTATCACTTTGAAAAAGAATATTCCATGATATGGCATCATATGGAGCTTTGCTCTCCCTGCTGTTGATGCTACACATGCATGGCACCAAAAACACCTCGCTTGCAGGCTTGCCTTCTTGATATCTGTCGACTACTTATACAATTACCATATACTGCGTAATTATTTACCATTATTCCTACTTTAACTGCTAACAGTATGCGGTAGAGCTATAATTTGCATTTATTGTCTCGTTTCTTCGTGCATTAACAATATCTCAAAGAACGTTGCATTCTCAACGGAATTAATCAGGTTGTGGACTGAGGCTGAGAAGACGAGGCTAGAGAAACAAGGCTGAGATTACATCATACGCATAGACTCACCACTTTGTGGTATTCTATACTCACTCCATTGTCAAGTGTAATAATACTACCACCGATAATAACCGTTCTAGTCGCAAAACTAGTGTTGAGGCCCGGGACAGCTCGATCTAATTAGGCTGCAACATGATGTTACCTAGGTAGATCTGACCTTGCGACATCTCTCCGATCTAGTTTTCCTGGGACTATAAAGCCCTGTTGGTTGACCCGGTGTGCTTTCTCTGGCTATGTGTTGAAAAGTTTCCATAATTACCTCGAGTACGGCAGCGGGAATATGGAGCTCCAAGCCCACTTCCTCTCCTCATCTGTGCAGGCGGAGTTGGCAAGCTTATACTACGACATGAAGGCATCAGTCTGCAGAAACCTGTTCGTCTTCAAGTAACTTTCTTATCAATTAAGTCAAATTTAAATTGATCAGTGATAAAATAATCAGATTCTATAGATAAAGCCGAGTATCTGACAACACTCATCACGGCGGCCAGAAGTTCAGACTTGAGTGCAAATGTTAGGCATATAACTCGTGACTCTGCAAAAACTCTGGATCAATCCCGCTTAACACCGATGCCCCCTACCCGACGCAGTCCCACCACGCAGGCCACACACACCGCAGCCATCCAGCCAAACATGGTCCAGAATGCGACCCTGTACCCTTCCATGAGGGCATCAGGTGACGACTTGTCAGCATACGAGGAGTCATCCGTTACAGACGAGGCGATGACCTGCGTCACGCTCAGCCCGATAGCGGTGCCGAGCTGCGCGCAGGTGTTGAACACGGCACCACCGCGGGCCTGCATGTGCTTGGGGAAGACGTCGGAGACGATGAGCAGGCCGACGGTGAAGAGGAGGTCGCAGCTGATGGGCGTGAGGATCTAAAGTAGGGTAAGAGTCAATCATCAGTGAACTGTGGCCGAGATGTGGTAGGTGTGTAGAAGGGGCCATAGGGAGGTATGAATGGAGATCGTGATGGCAGGGACGAGATGAACTTTTTCTTGCTTACCTGAGCGAAGAAGGCATTTTCCCAATACAACTGGTCAGCACGGGTGAGGGCCATCAGAAGCGGTGCAGTGGTGCTCATCACTGAGGATATCAACACGGTCCACAAGACCGACATGCGGTTCACGAAGATGCCGGTCGAGATATTCGTGAGAGCACCAGCAATGAGAGATGGAAGAACCCGCAGTGACGCTCCGAGGGCTGAGGTGCCTTGCACCTGTTGGAAACTTTAGGCGGCCATCAGTCAGCTATGGACTTCTATCTGGAAACGGGGGCGGATGAGAGAGAAGATGACAACTCACAACAAACTGCTATACAGCTCCATGCAGTTGGTAAGGGCGTTGGTGAGCAGAACCATGATGCAGCTGCTGGTGAAGACGTGGCTACGCCACAGCGAGTTGGGGATCAGCGCTGTGCGATTGTTTTTCACCTGATAACTCATCCATCCAACGAACAACAGGACCGAGAGGCCACTGATCACCAGCAAGACAATGCTAGACGCCTTATGAATGCTGTTGATGTCGGCTGACAATGATCTAGAGCTATTCAGCCTTGTTGCGCAACACCAATCCGCAATACACAAAATCAGACCCAGATACTTACGCCAAAACATACGACAACGATGCCAGCCCCGCGCTCGCCAGGAGTACTCCGACCCAATCTATCTCGGAAGCAACTCGCTTCCATATCGACTCACCGGCGCCTGGCCTAGTATCCTGCGGCAGAGCCCATATGCCTATGAGGAACAGGGCGAAACTGGCAGCCGCAGGGAGGTAAAAGGCCGGCCGCCAGCCGACAGTATCGGTAAACACGCCAGCCAGAATCAGTCCTAGAGAAAAGCCGAGTGGCTGGCCGAACCCCATGCATGCAAAGCCCATATTTCGAGGCCGGCCCTCCTCCACGCTGTTGGAGATGATGGAGATGGACGAGGGCGTGATGATGGCGTTCGTGACGCCCTGGAGGGCACGAAAGGCGATGAGCTCGCCTCCGGTCCGAGACAGACCGCAGGCCAGGGCAAAAACGGCGCTGAGAAGGGATCCGATGAGGTTCACCCGCTTGGTGCCGGCAACGTCGGCCACGGACCCGGCCAGCAGGAGACACGATCCTGCCGTGAGGTAAAAGCTGGACGTGGGCCACACGAGGAGGCCTTCCTGCAGGCCCAGCGCGGACTGCATGGCGGGCAGCGCTACCACGACGATGCCGTTGCAGAAGCTGCTGAAGAACGTCAGGCCGCAGACTTGAGTGATGACGATGATAGCTCGACCCTTGGGGAGGAGGGGATCCGTCGTTGTGGTTGTCGCTGCCGCTGCCGCCTCCTCCGAAGTTGTGGAGCCAGCGGGCGGCGCTTCTAGCTCTGCCGGTGTCTCATAGCTTTTACGCTGAGGAGCACCCAATATGGATATGGTGGGCTCGAACGTTTGCAGTTCGATCGCTGTCTGTGTTGCCATTGTTGGGGAGGCAGATGGAATATAAGGGCTGTTGGTCAAGACGGTCTGTCAATGTCAATGTTAACAACTAGACCGAATCATCAATTTGGACATACAAACCTTTTGTAGTCTCCATGCAGTTCATGAGTCTACAGTTGTGGGTGCCAGACCGCGTCTGTAGGATCACACAGGTCAAGATGAGTCACTCCTTTGTCCTTGGACCTGGGATTAATTGCCCGGATGTTACAGAACATAGATTGAGGTAATAAAATACTCTAACAGTGGATAGATAATCAGAAAATAAGTCGGTGAGATGCTAAGCGCTATTCCTAACGCAGATTGGCTATCAAACAGATCTAAAGGGAAAAACACAACTGGAGCAGAATGGTGGATGAAACACCTTGATTGAACATTAATGAATCGATCAATTATCGAAGCTTTGCCGTTTTGCTCTATGAGACTTGATATAATGAACGCCAAAACAACAACAGAGAAAGAAAGAAAGAAAAAAAAAAAAAAAACCCAACCAAAAAACCACATCCCAAGCTGTCGCCCCCTGCTCTTGAGAGCCCTCCGAACAGTTACGCAGACCCGGCACTTGCGGTTCGGCCTTCTGGCTGTCACATATGTATGACGCCTAGAACATGCGCAGCTGGTCTGCCGGTGAAGTCTTGGGATTTATAAGCAAATTAATGAAAGGATATTAGAGGATAGTCGTCATATTCAAACAGAGGTTGAACGCCTTCCCGTTGTATTGCACCATGGCCATAGCTTGCAATAATGTCGGGGGCGTGGTGGACCAGTCTACCATAGTAATTGATTAAGTTCTAGTAATTATTTTGACATCAAGATCGAGGACGGCTAACAGACTACGAGGACTACGAAGGCAGTGAAGCAAGTGGTCCTCTCCGCTGGGGCCTCTGCGGTACCTCTCATTCTGGAGAGATATGATGTGGTCAGCCTTGGAGTTCCGCGCAAGCTGCTGTTCTGCTCGTATTACTAGTCCCTGGCATATGGAGAACGATGTGGCAAACAATAGTTCAATCCCCGACCTAAACCCTGTTTCTTCTCCGTGGACAGTCAATGACTGATTCTGTTGCATAGTATGACCACAAATTAATGATGCACCCTTGCAGAAGTATTCTTGGGCCAGAGGGAACAATGGATGGGCTTCGGACACCTCGTCGGAGAAAATGCTGGTGGCCAACCAAAGTCCCCAGCGGTTGCAAGATGGCTGTGGTTTTCTCGAAGGTCTACAGACGCCCGGGATATCGTGTACACGTGTGAGGACGATGAAGCCATCGAGATTTTTATTTTTGTCGTAAGGAGAATATGCCTATCCTTACTAGGTGACACTCGATGGGCATCTGGCCGTATGGTGCCTCTCTCAGAAAAAGCTTTGTTGGCCCCGATATGAACGTATACTGAGTTTACGACTTGAAGATTGCCAATCTCGGGATTTCTCCTAGTAACGTGAGATACAATACTTGTCCTCTTGCAGTTACCAATTTTGAAGGCGGCAGGTAATCTCATCAAGGGGCTTCATCTCGCAGGTTGAGAAGCTATGGATGCCGCACGTCACTTGTTTGCAAAGCAGGTCTTTGCTCGATCAAACTCACTTACACTTCTGAAGATGAGTCGAAATGCGTTTCACTACCGTCTAATGGTGGGATAGGCGATATTAATACACTGGTTGGGTTGCCAAATGCCTTCACGCCCGCGCTGAACCCACTTTGAGTAGTGAAGTGCACAGCGTATCAAACTTTCATTTAAAAGAAAGCCAAGAAGGGAATGACGGAGACGACCAGAACATTGCAACAGAGTAAACGGACGAATGCAATATGTGATTCACATGTAGCAATTAGGACTACACATTTTCATCGGATGATGGCTTTCTATAATCTAATATCTGATAGAAGATTGTGTCATCTAGGGTTAGGGTCCTTCCGTAGTATAGCATTTAACAAACAAGCTTGTCGTTGTAGTGGAGAGTCTCGTAGTGTAAGTAGCTGGTAATTATCCATTATTATACTACGGCAGATTATGATGACAAGATACCATACTGACCACTATACTACGGAAGATCTTCCGTAGTCATTTGATGAGAAAGGTTCTGAACAATGTACTCATCAAGTCACAGATATTAGGAGCACAAGTACCTGCTACTTGGACTCAACTGGTTCTAATTTCGAAAGTGACAGTAATGAGCGGTGTAACTGATGATTCTCGTTCTCGGACTGACCTGGCTGCTCTCGCATCCATCTTCAAATAGTTACCAGGCCAGGCAGGCATACCTTAAGTAATTTCTTGCTATGGCACCACCACCTACATTGACTACCTTCTAAAACTACCATTTTTATCTATTCTTGGTGTTGAGCACTCTTCTCGCCTATGTTGAAAAACTCCATTGCACATCTGGAGTAGCACTCTGGAACATTGTGGGATGACTCTCAGTAGCCAAGCAACAGGAAGGAACTCACCGACCTGGGCCTGAGCGGAGCCTTTGAGACGCCTCTGCGTACGCATGATCGTGTCCCCGGGTAGTCCAGCACCATTCACTTCGCATCTATATGCCAGGTTTGCGAACCTGTACGATATAGAAGAGAATCTCAAAGAGCTGCCGGACGTATTCATGCATATACATTTCATTGTGCTTCAATTTGGACGGATACTCATTACTTCTTCCTTCTCCCTTCTTTGTTTCTATATTCATTCTCTGCAACCATCTTTTTACAAATCCCGAGTCGCGGCTGCTCTGCTCTTATGCTGAAAGCCGGGGTGGGCGGGTTCTTGCGCATCGACGCGAGAGTTTTCCTAATTTTCTCTGGAATACGCCCTCCTCTCTTTACTCCCAATAATTTGTTTTGTTCTCCCTTTTACTGATTATCACTTGTTTCAAACAGTTGCAGTCATAGCTGGTTAGATATCTGCAAAGTCTGCTGCTCACAATCCACCAAGCTCTCTCACGGGGATGCCTGCAGCTCTTGAGTGGGTTCTGGATTGCAGCACTAGGCACTGTGCAGTCCTCTCTGCAGCCTGCCCTCTGACATTTTCTGCCATCTCTGATACATTGGGCAGAACAAGCTTGTTGGAACTCCGATTCACGGTCGAGCTGCGATATAGCAAAGGTTCCCGAGCCAGAACGCTTTTGTATCTTTGGTTATACTTGAACCATATCCGTTCTGCTATACTTGGAAACAGTTTAAGCATTAGTACAAGGCGCTTACATCTTATACTAGCTAGGCCTGCTGATTCGATCGGGCCGCCATTCGCTCCTCGTGCTGCCAAGAGAGCCGAAGATCTCATTCTTGATTCCATTCGGTTGCTTCCAAACAGTCTCTGCTTGACTCTATACTTGCAATCTGGCAATTCGTTAGTACAACTCTGTTAAATCATATCTAGTCAGAAGTTTCAACTGCAGAACACAACAGCGCGACTCAGCTCGCTGTATAGTGGGCAAGGTAGCCGGGTTATCACTAGCTTGCCATCTGTTCCTCCGAGCCCTCCATCATATGAGGAACTTGAGGATCCGCCTTTACTAATACCAAATGAATCTTTGCGTAAGTACATGTCTGAATTAGTCTTGATAATTCTGCTAATGCAGATCGCAGCGTCCGGCACATCCAGCTCCAAAAAGTAGCGGCGTGAGAGCTCTCGCAGGAGTACCGATACAGTCAGCCTCAAGACTGTCTACAAGAAGATGCATGACATGTCTGAACAACAAAGGAGGATAGCAGATTCTCTGCATCAAGCACTTGCAAAAATGAAAGCTCGGATATTGGAACTCCATATACTGTTGACGGATCATTCTGAAAAATACAATGAATTAATAGCTGAGGTGAACAGGCTGGATGAACGGATTGAGCGAGGGTCAGAGGAGCTTGATTGCTAGTTAGATGAGCAGATGGTGGGCGTAAAATTTGAGCTTGAGGGCTGGGTTAGAGAGGAACTCGGAGAAGCAGTTAATACAATCAAGCAACACATCACCCAAGCTAATGTTAGCATTGAATTCCAATAATTTGTATCAATTTTCTGGTCCTGATGCTGGAACTTGTTGTATCTCTCTCGAAAACATAACGCGCGAAAGTAGCTTCGGAGAGCAGCTGAAAGTCGATCCTGATTCTTTCCGGGATCAAGACCAGGTGGGGCGAAGTATAGAGACCAGTCCTGCACAGGAAGGTTGTCCGCTCAACGTGAGGTCTGAGAAAGGATTCAATGAACGCGCACGTACTGCCCTTTCCCTTCGTGCCAGCAACATGAACTTCTCAAATTCGTGAGTGTACAATCCTACAGTAGCTGTTGAGATGGAAAGAGGGAACTGCAGCAAATAACAAACCGTATGCCCAAGTTTCTGAAGCCATCCTGCCATGCCAAGCACTGCCGGTTTGCCTCTACCAGCAAGTCCAACAGCAGGTAGAGCCACCTTCGAAAGACCTGTATGTATGATATCGGTCGATCGCAGCTTCGACTTACTGCGCAGAAGTGCTAAAGCAGCCTTCGAGAAGTCAGCAGATGTAATCGAGGTACAAAGTAACGAGGAAAGTCTTCTAGCAAAACCTCTCTCCATGCTGGTGAACCAGAACTAGGGCGCCGTCGCCCTTGAAAAAGAACGAACAGCCACCTTAGCAATGAGCAAGGGCTTATGCAACCCAAGCGTGCCTGTGTAAACAACAACAGGTAACGAAGGGCCACACGGGCACAAGTACAGGGTGCCGCCGCTGTGCAATTTTTGTATAATAGTTCTTTCGACGGTATGGTCTTTGTTTTGAGTGATTCGGGCAGGTCAACCTCCATGTTACCTCTTTGCTCGTCTGGACTTATGAATACGCGGTGATGCATCTCAACAGCGGGCTAGCATTCCTCCAGTGCATTCGCTTGCAGATGAGTAGATCGAGCAATATCTCAATAAGGATGTTCGTATTCCCACGATATCCTAGAGTTAGTATCTCACATTATATCCTAGGAATTAGATTACTGGAAGACCTGGGTGCTCATCCACGGCTATTACTGGTTATCTGATGCAGCATTTCTTCAGGGATTACTGGTCGTCGAAGCGCTGTCCGCACTATAATTACTAGTCGTCAAAGCACTATAATTACTGGCCCGCGTTCCGCCGACGTCAGTTTTCATTAGCTGGCTGGGTCCAGGTAACCTCTCTTCCCCTGTACACAGAGCGTGTTCTGCTTCCTAACAAGTCTTCTAATCTTTCTGATTCAAGTCTATTACTCTCTTCAAAGCCCTCTGACCCCGAGAAAACATCATTCCCACATAATAAAAGGCCTGCTCCTCTGAAGACAAAATCAAGCTGCAGAGTCAGCGCTCGCTTAGCGCTTAATTTTGTGGCAGTGATATAATAGATTTGATTGGTGTAAGGCGGTTTTGTTGGTATGAGGAGGCTTCCCTGGTGAGCAGGTAGGATGGCATCCTTAGCGCTTAATCTTGAGGCGATATGTGTAATAGGTGTGATTGGTGTGAGGAGATTGCATTGGTGTGAGGAAGTTGCATTGGTATATAGAGGTTGCATTGGTGTGAGAAGGCTTTCTTGATGGGATGGCATGAACAGAATAATTAGCTCATCTTGTAAGGGAGAATCAAGCTACGAGAAAGCAGTAATAAATTGCAATAAGGTTGTAATAGCTCTTATTATCTAGCAGCATCATAGCTACCCTCTGATAAACCTCAGCTTATTGATTATATAAATCAGAATATTTATATATCATCTTTCTAAAATATGCTCCAATATACAATGCAGAGAGAACATTGAGAAGATACAAAGAGAACATTGTTTTACATTGCTCCGATGGGATCCCTCTAGTCCACATATATCTGCAGACTCTATAATGACATTGGGTTAGCTGATTATTCCGAATGGGCTACTACCCGGTTTTGGGAATATGTTATCCAAAAGGAATTTTTCCCCGAGAAAAGATGAGCTGTTTCATTGCAGCAGCTTCCTACTCACCAGTCTGACGATCGGAGACGAGTAGACCTTATCGTGGAAGACTTAAATGAATTGAATAAAGCAGCGGTTCTTTTCATGAAAGCCAAATAGGCTAGTGCAGGTTAAACAGATTTGAACTAAGTTGAGTTCCAAGCACTGGAAGCTGCCGCAGCATTCTGTGTAACTCTTCCGGCGAAACAGCCTATCTGGATAATGACATGCGTTGGCGTTACTACACAGCTATGGTTGTTCGACTTTGCAAGCTTCTATCTCATCCCTTACGTTCCACGCGATCCTAGGCTTTCAGATAAAGACAGCTATCTGAACGTCAGATCGCATAGCAAAGAGATTGAAGAAGCGATTGATTTCATCAAGAGACATCCGCGGCTATCGAAGCAGATCCTTGAAGAAATAACAGCCAAGTCTCACTCTGCATCTACTGCAGCCCTATCTACACCAGGCCCGAGCTCTGCGCAGAACATTGCCAATCCCGGATGCAATGTACGAAACAATGTGCGAGGGCCAGTGACTCACTGGCCCTAGGCCGTGCACGGCCCAGCCAGCCAGCCAACAGCCAGACCTGTTGATAGCTTTAGTTAGTCGCCCTCGTGGCTTTTCTCTTCTTTTCTCTTCTCTTTAGCGCACTGCAATACGAGCTTTTTTCCTCGCATAAACAAACTATGGCACGAAGCTGACCTTCTGGCGGAGCCAATACCTCGCAGTCAAGATGCATGAATCCGAATGGAAATGCTGGGTATGCTAGGCAAGCATGGCAGATCATATACTCTCAAAACAGCGTAGGGCGAAGAATGTAAAGTATCAATCGACAGATAGCTTCTCCAGATTGTAAGAGGAAGAAGCGTATTTGCTAAAATATTGAAAGACAGCATAGTATATTATGTTTTGGATGATGACTTGAAAACTACCCACAATTGAGAAGGATTTCTGGTTTAGATTATCTAACAATATCCCCCTCGATTTAGCTAGCTCAATCAAAATTGCTCATTGCAGATAAATAGCTTGATTGATTGTTTCGAGAATAAGAAATAAAGCAAACCATACATAGTATTGCATTGCTATTCAGAGTTCTCGTGCGTATGTTCAGAACAAGAATCAAATTTGATCTCTATTCTTTGATCGCCCTTCATATCTTCCTATGCAGCGTTATACGTACGCCAGCAAATGCGGGTTGGCTTTGTAGTTTTTAAGCGAGCATCCACGCCTATACAACATTGTTCAAGAGCTCGGAGGCTGCTGTTCTCGTTTTCGAGCAGGATTCCCATGCAAGATCCCTATTCGTCTTGATACGTATAGGCAGAGATAACGCTAGATAAAGGCGCAACTGATGAGTATGTAATAAATTGTGAGAATCAGTACTTGTACTGTAGTGCTGCAAAAGAGAATCGCTCTTCAGAAGGAGACCTCCAGCAATATACACTGAGAAGATTGATATGCTCGTAGCTTGGTTGCTCGTTGTATAACAGAAACATAGTGTAGAAGGCACTCTAGGGGCTGTACAAATGGTAGAAGGGAAGATGCTTCTTCAATTATTCTATCTCAAGGCACGCTTGCCAATTGCCTTCTATATAGAAAGGCAATTGGCACTAGTCCCAACTAGGCTAGCGTACCTGGCGACTCACTGCCTTTCCATTGAATGGCCCAGGCCAGTGAGTCAGGTGGCCACCCAGGCCTCATTCACTTGAGGCCCCTATGGCCACTGCCACACATAGGTTCACAAGCAGGTAGCAAGTTATCGCAATACAACAGTGCAAGTTGAGCCCCGAGAACAATGTCTCCATTAAGTTGCATGCGTAGCTAATGTACTAGAGATTAGTATAAATTATGTAAGATATTTATTATGCAGTATACATACCAGAATATTCCGTTCAGAATCAGCTTCACGGATACCTAACTGAAGAACTTCGTTGCAATGCGTGATCGGAAGGTAGATCCGGATGCAAGAATCCTGGCGCTGTTTCGAAAATAAGTAATAAGTTGATAAAGCACATGAATCAGCCCTTCTATGCGGGTAAATCCCAAAAAAGTCCCCACCAGAGAAGAAGAATGTAATATCTATAACTCTTTTAAAATCGATTACATAGTATCGTTCCCAGGAGTTCAGGCGCTGTTGCATCGCATTCGTTATCATGCTGAAGTAAACAGAATCATTAGAAGGATTTGGCGTATCCCATATAGGAAAACGTAATAAGCTTGCTGGAAGCTTTAAGCTTATGTGTTCATCCTAAATATAAATCAGTTTCTGTAATTTATAATACATAGAAGGGATATACCATAAATGAAGCCATAATGCCTGTAAAAGCTTTTGCATCCTCAACAATATATGCGCAATATTCCGACATTTCAGGAAGGAAAACAAAGACGTTCAATTCTTTTGATGCCGTCCGAGTCAAGCATCAGTCTCACTATATGCCCGCGGGTTGGTGGCATAAGTAAAGGCAGCTGCCCACGCTCGAAAAATTCAATATCATTCAGAAGGATTGAACGCTGCAGCAAATGCCTTGCACAATGGGCTGCGCTGATCATCGCAACGAATCGCTAAAAAAAAACATATAGCACGAAAGCTCGGATAATCTCGAGAATCTCAGAAGGCAAACAGCACAGCTCCAGGATCTCAATTCTATCAGCCACGATTTTCAAAGCATTTGTGTCGCAGGAACAGCCGTCTTTGAGACGAAGTGGCAATGCTCTAAGCCAGAAACTCCGATATAATGCGATCATGTAGAGATGAGCAAGTGCCTGAGACCTCTTCGCATTGTATTGTTGAACAAATATATAAGTGCAATCGTAATGAATAGTTACAGGTCTCAGCGAATGCGTGCAGACTGAGCAGAACGGTTGCTAGCATAGGCGGAATCCATCGATGTATGTGAACTGATGGCCGAGTTCTGGGAAAAGGAATTTCCCAGTTGTTTTTAGATCTGCATGTACTATGCGAATTAGCAACAACCATGTGAAAGAAACGAATAATAAATCTTACAAGCTGTGACCTCTTCGCTTGCAAAAATCACGCCAGCACAGCTGCCACACCTCGGCTGTATAGCCAAATAACGCTTCCCAAATGTAACAAGTGCCATGATCACCTGTATGGGTATTTTCATGCGAAGCAGCTGCTAAGACTTGAACCTGAAGCTTGTGAAAAGCTGTTGTATTCTCGAGAATACGTTGTTAACGCCATCGAAAAAGGGAGCTCTTTATCAATAAGTCGTAATTTCTAAAGATGCGCCGCAAGTCACGTGATATAATCAAGCTAGTTGCAGGGCTTAGCTAAGGAACATCTGCTCTTGCCTCCTCAATGAGTTGATGCTCTATGAAGCGCTCTGGAGATCTACTGATAGCTGCTGGGAAAGAGTATTTTAACCTAAGCGCGCCTATATGGATTCAAAGATCAAGAACAGACTCAAAAGATACTTATCATAATACCGAAAGTTGCTCTGCTTAAGCTCATCAATTGCAAAACCCGAAGATGAGTCAAACCATGAATTATCTAATCTATACAATTCTTCGCTCGTTGAATCCTGACTAGCCCTTGTTACTCATATCTTCTCTCATGACCTGTATATGGAATGGAGTTTGTGCTCTGATCATTGTTCCGATCCCTCATGGCTGTTGTTTTTCCTACCAGAAATTAGCTGCTGATATGTTATTAGATAGATGGGTAGTAAGAATTACTCTTTGCTTTGACCTTGTCGCATAGATTTAACCTTCTCCCGCAATATTTGAACGCCCAGTTCAGGGTTGCCTTGAATAAGAATCGCAATGCTCTGATTGTTGCTATTCCGAAGATATGTCTGTAGTTCTTGTAGCATTGTATCTCGCTTATCTATTCCGATTTTAGACCATAGCAGTATTGGAATCTTCATAACTGACTTCGCAATATTTTTAGCTGTGCGTTTCTGTAGCAGCGTAAGTAACATTGTTGCACTATCGTTGAAGTTGCCCGCCATGTAAGACTCGGCAGCTGAAAACTTGATAAGATGCGCTTAGAGATGCGCGAGTATTGATGCTTGCCAGCCACCGTGCTACAACTCCACCTACAAATCTCTGATTTGCTTACATCCGGAGCTAATACATCCCGGGATTAGTAACTAGTGACTATTCCTGTCTGTATATCCTATGCCAGCAGGTTTTGATCAATAAGTATTGCCCATGATTTGTCTTGATAAAAGCACTAGCTCGGACAATAAACAATAATATTTCATGCCTAAAAATTGATCTTCTACTACTGAAGAGGAAGAAAGATGACAGATAACAGAATCGAACACTTGGCTTTGCTTGATCTGCAATTCGCAACTTCAGCTCTACAGTAATATCCGAATCTATTTACATGGTCTGAGCTGGTGTTCGTAAGATCATCATCACAGCTCTGGAACCTGGCCAAGCATTCTCTTGGGACATTGCGTGATGACTTTTCTGATTGGTGTACGAGACCGAAGCGAAAAGTCTCGTAAAGGAGAAAGGTCCGCCTCACCTCGTCCGGCTGGCCAAGGCAGTCGGCATTTTTTGAAGCGAAAACGAGGTTCTGTAGAGTGTTGGCTGCTTACTCTGAGTCTCTGCTGGATTAGGGGTTGGTATTCGGCTTCTTGGGGTACTCCGTCCCTCTCCTTTGAAACACTGAGTGAGTGCCTGGGCAGCTGACCAGCGATCTGCCGGATCAGTTCGTGCCATTCCTCCTATAACTGCGACTTGATGCACCCTCTTCAAGGCTGCAGACCGCACTTCGCTTGGGGTTTTGAACTTGCCAGATTCAATGAGCTCACGCAAACCATCGACGTCGAGCGTCCACATGACAGTGACAAAGAGGGACCAAATATCCAGCTTGCCTTGATTTCCAGGAAGAGTCTTGTCGAATAGTTCAGAGTTTGCATATGGTAAACTGCCAGCGAAAGTTGTCGCGCAAGATAGTCGGTTGGAGATACCGAAATCCCCAAGCTGAAAAGTGTATTAGCCGTCTGGACCCAGCATGTAAAGGATGTTCTCTGGCTTCACGTCTCGATGGACAATGTCGATCGAGGTAAGGTAGTCAAGTGCCTGAAGCATCTGGAAAAGCATAGTCTCGGCAAGGCTGGAAACTTCGACTCTCCCACCTAGCACCAAGGAATGCAGATTGCTGTCCTTGAGACCCATGAATATCGCTACTCCCCTACGAGTCGAGAGACTAGCTAGCAGGCAGCCTATTCACAGGCTGGTGATTGGTGGCGGAGTGACTCTCGCATACAGGTTTATAGTTTCCCTGAATATCTTTTCGCAGTAGCTACCTAGTTCGTTGGTTTGATTTTATTTCCTATCTTTGCAATGCCCTCCCACTCGTACTGCACAGACTAGGATCTCTTACGAGTACATTTCGATGCCCCCCACCATTCCACTTCTAGAGATAAGCCCCTCATGCCTTTTACCACCGCCGGATCATACGGACACCTCTAACGAGTCAGGGATACATCAATCCTGCCCAACCTGATCCCGATTTGATGCGAAATCCAGAATTCTGCCGAATGATTGGTGGCAGCGCTCAATCAAAATAGCGAATAAGTTTCAAATGGCCCAAATCTCTGTCTATTGATTTCTGTTGTTCGCAGCTAGAGTGAGCACTTAAATGCTTGTAGTGGAGATAATCCATTGTTGAGGGTTGCATGTTTCTTCAGCTAGAGGATGGTGCAAAGAAACCTTTAGAGATTTTAGTGCAAATTGGTAGATAGAGGACTACGTGTCAAAGGTTATGGGAGTTATCAGGCAGGAATAAGATCTCTTTATAGCACTCATAGAGTCTTTAACTATAAAACAAAGTTCCTGTTTCATCTTGTTTATGTTTTCCTGTACTCTATTACTACTTATCCTGTTCATGTATGCTTTTCGAATCAAACACTTTTAAGCAGCTCAATCAAAATGGTTGAGCATTCAGTCCTCTATATCTTCGCCAGGTCTGGGTATGATACTATACAGATACCAAAACCAGCCCCTTGTGGCAGAGGCCATAGGGGCCTCGAGTGAATGAGGCCTGGCTGGCCACACTGACTCACTAACCTGGGCCATTCACTGGAAAGGGAGTGAGTCGCTGGGTGCGCTAGCCTAGTTGGGACTAGTGCCAGTTGCTGGCTCTACAGAAAAGCAACTGGCAAAGCGTGCCTTGAGATAGATTAATTGAAGAACCATCTTCCCTTATACCATTTGTAGTACACCATAGAGTGCCTTCTACAAGTGGTAGCTACGATCATACACTGCATTGAGGAATCCCTTGAGGATTCACCCCACGAAGCCACTGCGCTGATACGCCCACCTGGGAAATCAGCAGCCTTGGCAACCCGAAAACGACCAAAACACCAAAAGCTCACTATCGCGAAGATCGTGGCCATCTACACAACAGCCCTTGGCACCACGCTCACCTGAGACCGTGCCACGGACTTCCCTGACGCGTTACGCTCACCTGAGACCTCGCGAACAGGCCTTTTCATCAAAAAACACGCCCACAGGCATTCACAAGCATTCACAGCTAAGCTGTTTTTTCCTTTTACCCCGTCGCTGGTGGAAGCCCTGGCAGTTGAAATCAGCAAGCACACTCTGATCCTCGCAAGCACCATAGACATCCTCGCACAGACACCACGAGTTACCCTGGTTACAGCACGCTCGCCTGAGAAGCCTAAACCATTCTCTAGCCTTCATATTCATCTGTTGCTTATTGCTAATTAGCTTGATTAATAGCGATTCACTGTTGATTTTAACTCTGGTAAGACAATCAGACAAGCTGAGCTAACTATGAGCGGTTTCTCAAAGAACCCAATTCAACCACCTATCTACTATACTACCACAGCCAATCTAGCTGCCAGTCTAGCAACACAGCTAGGCAAAGACTCTAAACTTCTTTACAGATGCTCGATAAGTGAAGATGCGATAGTTTCTCGAGAAGAAGAGACTGCTAGTTAGAACAACCCGTTCCAGGCAGGAGACTATTATAGCAACAGCTCAGCACTATTCGAGTTCTCTGCTGTATAATGCGAGACTAGTACTCTCCAATACAAGGATTCTGAAGAACTAGCTAACTTTTTAAACAACTCTGCTTTCAAAGAGTATATTCGTTATATTAAGATGCAGGCTGATAATGCTAAGATAGCTGCAATTTATGCAAATCTGGAAATTAGGAAGACTTTGGAGGCTGTAGTACATCTTGAGACTTAGCAAGCTATAATAGCTATCAAATAAGAAGCTCTCAATACTCAAGTTAGTAAACAAACTAATATGCTAGCTCAGCTGATACATTACTTCAAGCTTAGCTCTAAAGCTACTGCTTCAGATATTTGCTTTCAGGCTAGCAATAGTAATCTATCCTCTGCTGTATCTGGCTCTTCACAAGATCCAGCAGCTCTCTAATGAGCTATTCACTATAGTGCTGGAAGAGATAATCCTGATAATTCGAGTAATGATTCCAACAACTAAGGAAGCAGTAATGAAAGCTGTTATTCTTCTAATAAGCTTCTAGGATCTGGATTAGGCAATCCTTGTAATCAGTACAATGATACTTCATTCTCTAATTAATTAAGCATTCAGCATGTTACTAAAATGAAGAAAGAGGAACTTAGAGTTTTCAACTCTGAATATAATAACTCTAAAGATGTTAGCATGATTACAGTTAGCAAGGATCTTATCTTTACTGATATTTAGTTCTTTCTAAACTATCTTGAGTTTCTTAAAGATAGTATGAATAATGCTAATATTGAGAACAAGATATTGCATATATTCAGCATCTTACTGCAAAGCGCTGCTATTTACTAGTAGATCAATGAGTTAATCAATACTAAGCATGCTGAGCTTTATTAAGAAGAATATAGCATTGTTACCAATCTTCTAGCTCAGCAATTCGCTATAAAATCTATGCATACTATGCGAAAATTCTGCAAAAGCTATTTAATCTTGAGAAATATTGCTAAGAACGAGTTTGCTCTGCGAAAGTTCATTCAGAAGAACCTCCAATATGCATACAATATAAGCATTCTCAACTGCAAGAATTTCAACTGGAAGAGCATCTTGAATGATATCTGAAGCAAGATGAATGAATGTATTCAGCACTACCTTGCTTCTCCTCGTTGCTACAATACCCTGAATAAGTATATAGAGAAGATTGAGCAAGCTAAGAGCATCTTGATTAATATTGCTGATTAATGCTACTCTGAGTATTACAAAGGAAAGAGTAGTTGTTAAAACTGTTTCCCAGCCTGCAAATACAACTCTTGTATTAGCAGTAACTGCTGCAATAACCGAGATCATTAAGAAAACTGCAATTATAATTGCAGAAGAGATTATAATTATAATTGCTGCAATAAAGATTAATTAAGCTATTATAATAAAAGCATAACTTGTTTCTTAAGATATAAGCTTTGAGATTGCAATTCATACTAAAACTGAAATTCTAACTGCAATAAATCTTAGAATTGCAACTACGATTGTGATTATAATTGATTTAGAAAGGATAGCAAGTCTGAAAATTACAAGAAATGCAACTGGAATTGCTTAGCAACCTCCAACAAAAAGAAAGCTTATAATATTACTGAGAACAAGGATGAAGATATGCTTTCTAAGAACGATAGTAACAATCTATCTTTGCTTAGCAATAGGCAGATATACTGAATTGATAGTTCTGAATGATTGCTCTTGCTAATCTCATTATACTATTCTTAATTATCTAGCTCTGTAAGCTGCATCTATAATCTATGCGAAGTTGATTATTCAGTTAACTGCATATATATCTTCTGTAATAGAGAGTTTGATTTTCGAAGCTAGATGTTTCAGCATGTAGGTGCTTGCTAGGATTGAGATCAGAAGATGAATGTTTTTAAAGAAGTTAAGAGATGTTTGAAGCATATTATGTCTTTTGGAATTACTTCGCCTGAGACAAGCATATCACTGGTTCAATACTGTAATGAAGACATTCTCACGGAAGCTATGCTCGAAAAGCAGCTGAATAAGCTTATCAGCGGTTACACTCACATGAAAATCACTGTACAAGCTACTTCCACCGGATCTGATATGACTCTCTGCAAAGATACTAGTACTGGTTATGATTTGGTAAACTGATAGTTCCTCAGTCAGTTCCCTGCTGCTGAGATCTCGGTTTACAAGCTTCAAAAGATTGGGAGTGTAGGAAAGGATACAATCATGCTATTCAAATATGCTGAATGGGACTTCTACATCTGTAGCAGGCATGCTGATAGCTCTTCTGAACTGCTATGCTAGCATACTGAAGCATAGATCATGAATAATCTACTCGCTAGAGCTCTTATCAGCAACGGATAGCTCAAAGCTTGCAAGGCCATTATCAATTATGAGAACTAGGCTATTATATACTCAGAGCAAAGCAACTTCCAGATGCCTTTCAAGGTTCAGCATTAGGCTCTCTCACCTACAGTGCGAAAGGTAAGGATGGCCTATGCCTATGTTGTTAGCTCTGGCGAGACTGCTCAGATAGCTGTAAGATATACTGAACTGCTTAAAGGCTGCTTATTCTCTTTTATATCGATTCACAGCATTGCGCTGAATGCGCAGGTTGATGCTTCTTCACCTTCTGTAGTAGCTCTGCACAATGCTATGGAGAGAGCTATCAAGATCCCCAAAGGCATGCAGATGGGCACTATTTACGAGTATGAGAATACTGGATGATTCAAAGCTATCTTTAAGAGCGCTGTAAAAGCTCTAGCAGTAGCAGCTGCCTTGGAAGGACTAGCATTGATCTACCAGCCAGCTGACACTCATGTGATAGGTGCATACAACATGCAATTTGCATTTTCATTGAGAATTCCTGTTGGTTAGATGGCAGTGAACAGAGAGTTCAATCTCATATCAGAGATCATTGCAACAGCTAAGGGTGCAGAAACGGAGATATGCTCAATTAGCAACTTCCTGTACGAAAAAGGCCTATTCTTCACATCTTACAGCAATGCTGTTTGTTAGTTCCTAAGCAATATGGGAATAGCTTATGGTATCAACCTTTCCGCGAATACCAAAGCTCTACCATTCAACAACCACAATCTCAATACATGAAAACCTTCGACCATCATCAAGAGATCTCTGGGAATCAAGGCTCCAGATGAAGCTCCAGCTATAATCCTCAACAACAGCATTCGCATCTGTTCGCAGAACTCCATCAAAGCTCAATAGTTTAAGAAGATTGTTAAGAAGTACTCAGCTGTATGAGAAAACAAAAGCTCTCTTAACATGCCAGAGAACTAGATAATGAAGATTCCCTTGATAGAGAGATAGCAGCATGCAAAGCTGAATTGCTTCTATTACTTTATTTCTTGCAAAGATAAGAAGTTCATCAATCAGGTATATGAGGATATGCATGAAGCTAGCTGCCTCGAATTTGCTAACAACGTCTGCTCGTTTGCATTGCTAATCTTCGTAGTCTAGCATATAGTACACGAGAAGGAAAAGAGCTGCATCATTGCAGATCTCAGAGCTCTTAATAAGTGAGCAGTATCTAACAACTACTCTCTTCCTCTTCAGTCAGATATAATTAAAGCTATATGCAGTAAACAATACATTACAGTTATCAACATCACAGCTTTCTTCTACTAGTTCCCTGTTCACTCAGAATACTGAAACTGTCAGACTATGATTATGCACTGTGGCTTTGAGCAATTAATAGTAGCCCTAATGAGCTACTGCAACTTGCCCGCTTACGCTTAAAGATACATGAATAGACTGCTTCGTGAATACAGGTACTTCATTAAAGCATTCATTAACGATATTATGATCTTCTCCAACTCGTTTGTAGATTATCTGAATTATCTTGATACAGCTCTTAGCATTTTCGATAAGAAGGGGATTTCTATCTCTTCTACAAAGAGTTATATCAGCTTTCCTTCTGTTGAACTGCTTGGCTTCTATATCGATATGCTCAGCCTATTTACTACAAAGGAGCATACTGAAGCTTTTCAGAGGATAACCTTTCCCAGGAATCTCAAAGATCTCGAGATCTACTTCAGCGCAACTGGTTTCCTGCGAATAATGATCTCTTACTATGTGCAGCTTGTGGAGCTGCTTCAACTGCGCAAAACATCGCTGCTGGCTGAAGGCTGCAAGCTTGGAAAAATCACGCCTGGAAAGAAGTTGCAGCATCAGGCCTATATACATCGCACATACTACGAACCAACAGATGCTGAAAGAATGGCTTTCGAGAACTTGCAGGATACTATCTGCAAGAAGATGCATCTGTACTATATGGAACTGTCTCAGAAGCTGTTCGTTCAAGTGAATAGCTGCTTGCAACGAGGATTCAGCGTAATAGTCTTTCAGCTGAAAGAGAACTACACCTGGCAGCCTGGCAAGCTAATTTCTTCGCATGCTATCAAACTAGTGATGTTTCTTAGCTGCTGTTTGATGAAGGCTGAAATGAACTACAGTTCTTCTGAGCAAGAAGTTGCATGTCTGATCTGGGCAACGAAACGCCTGCGCAAGTTGATTCAGTTAAACTAAGCATAGCCTGTAGTTGTTCTCACAGATTATAATGCTATGCATAGCATTATTACCCAAACGCGTCTTGATATCTTGTTAATAGACTGTGCGAACCAACATCTTGTTAACGCTTCTATCTATCTCAGCTAATACTAGTTCGATATTTACTACCTAGCTGGGAAGCTTAATTACATTCCGAATGCTTTGTTAAGGCTGTCTGCGATAGAGGATACAAAGGCATAACAGAGCAACAAATCAGCTATTCTTGATATAGTGATTAACAATCTTCCTATAGTCTTCCTCATTCTATCAGAAGCATAGATATCTGAAGATATGCGATAGCACTTCTGGCAAGGATATAAGGAGGATATAGTTTACAGTAATATTATCACAGACCTGATGAAGGTTGGTTTAGCTGGAAAAAAGCCTTCTGCCTTAACAAACAATAGAAACATTGTCTCTGCTTCTAAGCTCAGCTACCCATTCCGCCTGAAGAACTAACTGTTGTACAACTACAACAATGATGGAAAGGAGCGCTTCATCATCCCACAATCCCTCGTGCAGAAACTTCTGTACAATGCTTATAATAATAAATACTACTTCAGCAGAGACTGCATGATAGCTGAATTGAATGATCTTCATTTCAGAAAGAAGAGACTGCTCGTCTCTCAGTACATCGATTACTGCTACGAGTGTGGCGCTCAAAAGAAGCAAAACCAGAAGCTAGCAGGTTTATTTCAGCTAATTCAAGCCCTCTCTAAACCTATGCATACAATCTCCCTCAACTTCATTCTTGGACTGCTATCAGTTGAATCAACAGGCATTCCGTAGCAGGTAAAAGGCTTCAAAGCTTACAACTTGCTGATGCTTATTACTTGCAAAACCTCCAAGAGAACTTTACTGATTCCAGGCTACTCAACCTACTTAGCTAAGCAATGGAGAGCTGTTCTGGGCAGACAGCTGCTGTTGAGCAACTGAGCATGCTCTCGAGCAATTATCTCTGACTGCAATGCTAAGTTTATCTCAGACTACTGAACTGGCTTGTGGAAGATCTTTGGCATGCGTTTGCAGATAACCATAGCATACCATCCTCAGGCTGATGGGGCAGCCGAACGAAAGAATCAGGATATTGAGCTGGCTATCAGATATTATGCTGCTGAATACTCTAACGAGATTTGAATAAACCTAATTCCCTCTTTGCAGTGGAATCTGAACAACTTATACTAACGCTCTATCAACGCGAGCCTCTACGAGTTTCTGTTCAGATTCAAGATCCAGTTACTGTTAAACTGATTGGTTAATATTACCAAACAACTATTCGAAATACGCTTTATACATGAATATCTGCAAAAAGATGTGCAATTAGCTATAGATATCATTATAATAGATAATAAATATACATATAATACTAAATACTGATACAAAGAGTATGAGAAGAGCAATAAGGTTTAGCTAAAACTTAGCAAGGCATACAAGCTACTGCTATGCTAGAGCAACAAGATGCAAGCTCTTCATAAAGGCTTATTCACAATTATCAGAAAAGTATCATCTTTAGCTTACGAGCTTGATTTCAAAACTAGCAACTATAATGCTGATATTCAAGTATATCCAGTAGTCAGCATTTAGTATCTGAGTTGATACAAACCTACTAATAATCCCTTTAATCGCTAACTATCTAAGCCTGGCCCGATTGAGCATAACGAGAACAGCGATAACTCAATTGGATCTGATGAAAACTACTACGAAGTCGATTGCATTATGGACAAGAAGATCGAGCGATGAGATGGCAAGAATACAGTACAATATCTGGTATGATGGAAGAGATGGTCCTTACAGCACAATCGCTGGAAGGATCTGAGGAGTCTCAAGTGCCCTGGCCTCATCAAGGAATACGAATGCGCACACTCCGATAAGGCTACGGAGATCCTCGTGAAGGATAGCCCAGCTGATCCCGTGAAGAGAAAGCGCGGCCGGCCCTCCAAGAAGCCGTTGCCTGATAACAATGAAGATGGAAACGCTGTGCTGGCATGAAGGAAGCAAGGTCGGCCGGCCAAGATCACAGCCTCTCCGGCTGTTAACATTGACGCGTCTGACAACGCGACTGGAGGCCTCCCTGGGCCTGAAAAGGATGGGAAACAGAGCCCTGGAGCCTCTCCTGGCCTCCGAAGAAGCGCGAGACTGACACGTGGGCACGTGGGCACATGACCCCTAGATAGCTGCTGAGGACAGCAGGAACGTTTTTCCGTGGCCGGCACTTGTGGCAGAGGCCATAGGGGCCTCGAGTGAATGAGGCCTGGCTGGCCACACTGACTCACTAACCTGGGCCATTCACTGGAAAGGGAGTGAGTCGCTGGGTGCGCTAGCCTAGTTGGGACTAGTGCCAGTTGCTGGCTCTACAGAAAAGCAACTGGCAAAGCGTGCCTTGAGATAGATTAATTGAAGAACCATCTTCCCTTATACCATTTGTAGTACACCATAGAGTGCCTTCTACACCCCTCCACGTATGTATTCCACTGTCGACAGGAGAAAATCTACTAATATATCACAGCAGAACCTAGGTAGCGAAAGCTTTGAATGCCGTTTTGCTATTAATGATACTATGTTAATGGAAGCTATGCAAGCATGGAAAGGGCATGGGGAGCTTCGATGGAATGTTAGCTAGAAAAAGGGTTTGCTGCAATGATCACGCTTTATTATGAGAGCGAAATAGTTTCCCGGCTTGGGCTTGGTAATGCAAAGGAGCTGAGTGATGAAGCAAAAAGGATTTTTTTTCATAGGCAGGCCGGCAGTATCATTTGATAGGCCAAGGCACGGTTTGGCTGGAAACCATTAGCAGCTCGTTACTACCGGAGCGAAGGCTGGAGTAGGAAGGCTCAGATACGTTTCTACTTCAGACTACTATTCATCTACCCATCTAGAGATATTACGCAGAAATTCCGAAGACAGTCAACATGTTTTAATGTTTGATGTTCTACCACATCTTGCTGTGCTATACAGATAGAGACGGGGGATATAAATACAACCGGAAAGTAGGAAGTACATTATTTAGCACAAATCGAAACTATCATGTTTTCATTTCTCCGTACAAACCCATCCTGATTACTCAAGGCCTGGCTCTAAGTCTTGCAGTAGGCGATCCACTCGAGGATATCTTTGACCGAGCCGTCGAGCATCCTCGAACGTGATGCAGGTGAACGATTTCCAGCTCTTACGAAGAACAAGCTACTGCTTTTCATCATCTTCCAACATAAGAGCCATATTTTCGCTTCTATGATGTGTTGCCCAATTTAAGTTGCTCAAAAGAAGTAGTTTTTTGGGCAATACATATCGTACAAACTTGCGCTCGCCAAACTTTTCTCGCTCCCAGAGTTTCTTGAACGAGAACTGAGCATCGACGTCTGCAATGTCTGGGTGAAGCTCCTCGGCCTTCTTGAGAATTTCTTTCTCGAATTTGCCATCGCATTCGCTGTTGCTTTCGCGTTTTGAGCGGAACAGTCGATAGCAGCAACAGAGAATGATGTCGCGCACAGAGACATATGACCTGTTCCGAAGATTGCTGATTGTAAATCCTGCCATCAAAAGCATTTTCTTGAGCCCCTCGGAGGTTTTATATCCCCAGGCTAATGATAGAGATGTAACTTCTAGCATGCCACTAGTGCTATCATCTGTGCCATGAGGTATATAAAGAATATTGATACCTCGAATCGTTACTACCGGATCACCAGAACTCGGAGTTGTTGCCGCAGGATACAAATAATCATTGTTCTGTCTATCTGCAGCATTGTATTGAATCTCAATCTGCTTATTGCTTCCGGATTTTTCACTGCTCCGAGAACTATCAGAGCTCTGCAATGCATGAACGACGTTTCCCTGGAAATCATTAGACCTTTATTTATTGCCAAAGATTTGCACAACATACGTTATCAGACACTCTCTCAATCTGCAAATCGAGCAGTTGTCTCGGTCTAGGGCTCTTGAAGCTGCTTAAAAGATTGGGCACAGCTTCCAGAGTCTCAGGGTAGATCTGAAGAACAAATCGAAGTTCCGGATGGAAGTTAAGTTGTAATTGAGTGACAGATACAAAACCATCCCATAAGATCCGAGTGAACCCACAGATTCTGCCAGGTATTTGGTTGCGCACGGTGCCTGCAATATCTTCGCCGTTGTTGGATGTGGTGAGATCGCGCAAGACTAAGGTATTCTCTTGGAACTCGAGACAACAGCCCTCCATCATGCTCCCATCTAGATCAGGAATTTTGAAATCGCATGTCTGTATTGTTCCGAACGAATATCCAAGACTGAGAAGATCATCGTTCAAGGCAATTGGCAGAAGAGGAATATCTTCGAGCAGACCGCGCTCTCGGCAGTTTCTTTTGATAGTCGTTGTGGCCAGATCACTTATCGACTCAGGGCTTGCAGTGATGTGAGCAACAAAACAACCCATAAGCAGCTTTGAGAAAGCTATACTGCAAATTGAGAAAACTGATAATGACTTGAATTGCCTACTTTCGAAGCTGGAGGAGGTTCTCACACTGCGAAGCGCTTTTATTCCGTAAATGGAAGGATTTAGACCCTGAGCAGCACCTGGCACATCTGAAAGTTGGCATACAATCCCATACCTCCAACTTCTGATTACATTGATACTAAATCAGTTTGCATATAATAAAGATGCATTTTCCAAGTGAACAGAGATTTAGTTGATACTGCAAGTTGGAATTCTGGCTCTTAGTCATGATACAGGTTATAAACCTAGTTTCAGCTACAGCAATAGCAAGTTTGACAAAACTTGGGTTAATTAGCGTAGATTCCATGGGTATATACTGGGGGAGCTGATGTACCAACTAGAAGGCAATGCAATTTCTCAACAATTTATGTAACTGAGACATCATCCATTTGCATGCTTCAATCGAGGTCGGAATGCAACAGAAGCTGAGGTGTGGATGGAATGAACTCTGAGTACGAGGGGGCTAGCGATTAGTCAACTAGGATGGAACAGCTACTGATGTTTTGTCAATCCACAGATCGAGATAACCAGATGTTATTGCGATGATTATTGGAGGAAATACAAATGCAAAAGCAATCAAGCATCTCGTGTTTTTCAAAGTTCCCCATATGCCCAGTACAGGGATAGCAATCATGTATGGCACACTAGTGACATAAAAGCTATACGTGGTACTATGGAGACAAAAGCTATGCATGGTACTATTTTGTGGGGAGAACAGCCATACATGGCACTATGTTGTGGAGAAAAAAGCCATGCATGGTATCGTATTGTGTGTACATGTTAAGGACACAATTGTATGCACAGCACGCTCTGTTGCTAAAGACACTCTACTCTGGAGGAACTCGTACTCACCACTATACTACGGAAGAAAATAGCCCTAACCCTGGATCAGCATACAGTGTTGGAGAATGTTGGAAATATTTGCATCTCTGATTACCGTGAAATAATGAGGAAATATTACAGAATCTCTTATTTTTCGTTATTTATCCATCACTCTAGTATAGCGAATTGTTTGTAGCAATTCAAACTTGTTTTTGTGATAGATGAGACATATTCTCAACTGGTTACTATATTTGGTATATAAGTACTGAAGACAGACTGGTTCTCAACAATTAGGAAACCACACTACACCCGGCGCTAACGTCGGTCGTACCTTCCATACGTCTTCCGTAGTATAGTGGTCAGTATGCGAGCTTGTCAGGATTAGGATTAGGGTTAAACTTGATTTCTAAAGCCTCACATTCGCTCGAGACCCGGGTTCAATTCCCGGCGGGAGAGAATTTTTTGCAGTACTATGCTTTGCTAGTATTATTTTATAAGTGCTTTATTTATCTGATATTTTAGACTGAATTTTTGGACTTTTTATGGAAGTAGTACTGTTATGTTTCTGAATTAGACATTCAACTTTATAACATTTCAAGATAAGTACTAGTTGAAATGAAAGTAAGTTTTCATACATGCATTGCTGATTGCTCTGCTGCACCATGTGGACTTGATATTGCCTTTTCTCGTTAGACAAAACACTTTTGTCAGCTTATAGCATAGTAAACCAGGCGCAATTGCACGAGAGAAACAACATTAGAGTGGTGAAAAAGAATGATGGTAAAAGCAGGTTTCTCAAGCATGCATAAATATCGTCGAAGCCCTGCCCTGGACCTGCACAGGGCGGCTCAACATCGAAGGAAACCGCAATCGTGAATTCGCTTTCCCCATCTTACTGAGGAACAAACTAAACAGAGTACTCATGGAAAGTACACATACAGTGGTCACCAATGGTAGGAAGGCCGGTGGTTTGTCAATCTCCAGTACAGTTGGTGAAAGCTTGGGTCAAGACCAGCCATAACCCTGGCGGTTCAGGTGGCTAACCCGTGGTAAATGAAGGCAACCCTAAAGTCTCTACCATAGTGGCCTATAACCCGATGTTCTGGAAACTTACAGACCTTGTCTGTCCATACTTCCAGGGCTATTTACGAAATGTAGCAAACTCAGGCCAGCCATAGTGACCTGGAGTATAGCACGATTACACAATAAGAAAGAGCCTTTTCGAGTGTTCCTTGCGCCATTGACTAGCAATTGATCTGAGCGTCTTCTCAAATTTCTTGATCGATTGTGATCGCATGGAAAATCGTGCTCAACATGAACGGCGAACCAGTTGCCATAGCCGGGAATCAGTACACCCACCGGCGAAAGGATGATAATACATACACGCCTTCAATTTCCCTCAAAAGCCACTCCAACAAATACCTTGCTTACAGCCTTCACAGAGATCCTCCCGATGCGGCAGGCCCTTCCCCTCCCCATAGTACGGCGCCTTTACTTGGCATCCCGCCCATTTCTCAAGCCGGTATGCAACCCGTTCGACGTACGACTGTCTGTCAAGCGTGAAAGTGCCGAGCCCGTTGCAAGATTTGCAGCGCTGGTTGAAAACGGTAGCGCTGTACCCATTATTGGGATAACCCCGGATGACAATCGATACCATTTTGCTCGTCCAACGATTTGTAGAGCATTTCGCATTTTTACATTTAAAACTGCCCATGACGTTGGTCGAGTAGTCCTTGATGCATATTTCTCCACTGTCGTCGTCCTTGTTGAACCATATGGAGGCAATGTGATCGGAAACAGCCCTCGCTACATCTCCATGGAGAGATGCGAATGTGAAGCTAGTCCGCGTTTCTCGTGTCTCGGAGGTAAGAGTCTTGGGGGATCGCTTTTTCTTTGCCATATTTGAATATTTAAATGAGTTTTGCGTTTATATCAGAGGAAGATGGATTCGAAGTTGCACAATTGGTATGATGAGTTCAGGTCAACACTGGTGGGTAAACTCGGCAGTTTATCTCTCAGTGATCATTCTCTTCCTCAAATATTGCTACCATCAAGGAATCCCGTCTAAGTGAAGGGATACTAGTCTGTCTGATATTCTAGAACTCGTTCATGCTAACCATCAGGATATCAGTCTCTGATCTCATACACTCTGAACTTTTCCAAGACTCATGCTATCGACTCACAAAGCTCTGACCGGTCAGTGCGATCCTAGGGAGGAGGTTCAGGACCTCTCCCGCAATGATTGACCGAGTGTTTGAGACAATTAGTCCCACGATGTGACGTAAAAAGGAAACCAAGACAATCCAGGACGCAATGCAAAGTGTTTCTACATTGTTTGAAGTATACTACGCTGGGAGTCACCTCTTGAAGAAGCTTCTAAGTACTTACATGACGAATTGATTGATAGGGTTGTAATTCAAACAGTTGGGTCTCCTTTTTGCGAATCAGACTAATCTTTACACCGAGACACGTCTGGCAAGCAGAGAGAGACATATGATATCTTGGATCAAGGCCGGGGAAATCAGGGCATCGAAGCTAGAAAGCTCGGGGAAGGGATAGAGACACAGTAGATACAAGAGGTCACAAAATTCCTAGGGTCTAATCTTTGTTGGAAAGAACTCTCCATGATCCTTTAATAAATTTTTCAAGCTCGCCTCTGATAGTTTCCATAGGACAATGGATATTGGTGTTGATACGCTGCAGTTATCAGAGCGTACATTTACCAGTCCACAAAGTAATCAATCCCATCAGCCAAGGCAACCGCACCCACAGACGCATGATCACTGCCGACATACTCCTTTAGCTCTGCATTCCTCAGCTGGGTGCTGGAGTCGAGGTACTGGAACAGAGTATTGCAGTCATCTCCCATCGTATACGTCACCCCATAACTCTCCAACAGGGCGATGCGAGACAGGAACTCCTCGTATGTCTCGGTGCGCCGCCGACGGGGATACTGCTCCAGACTGCCATAAGACAGCTTAAAGGCCGGCTTTGTCGTGTTGGCCGGCAGCACTGCCTCGCCCAGCCAGTCCATATGGCTCAGGATATACCGGTCGTCCCAGGTCAGGTCTGGGCTAGCCGCGACAAAAGTGTCAAACAGGTCTGGTCGGCGGAGCAGGGCGTAGACAACAAAGAGTCCTCCGAAGGAGTGGCCATATAGGGCTTCGCGCCCAAAACCAACCTGGGGAAACTCGGAGCGGACAAAGGGCCGCAGTGTGTGCTCGATAAAATCGATAAAGTCGTCAGATCCTTCCCTCACGCCGGGAACGGCCGGTGGTGCCTCGCCAGGCGTCACAGGCTGGAAGTCGATGCTGCGCTGCGCGCCGTAGACGGAGTCGGTCAGCGGATACCCGATGCTCACGACGACGGCATCTGGCTGGTCCAGCTCGACGGCGTCTCGGCGGCGCCATGCTTCAGTCCCCGTCATACCCAGGGCGTTTCCGTCCAGAACGAACCTGTCCATTTCACAGACTATCAGCCCTCAAGCACATGGCAAGCGCCCATATAATTTCATTTACAAGAGACGACTGCTTACATGGTCAAGGCCGTGCCATTTGCTTCCTGTCGCGCGGCGGACCATTCGAGAGGCCACGAGATTTGCACTTGATATTGTAGATCCAGTCCATTGGTGACATTCCACAAGGCGATATTAGGCAATACCGTCTCCGGAAAGGCCGTCACCAATGGAGTAAAGGACCAGGTGTAGTTTGAGAGCGCCATCTTTGCTATGAGACTTTGGCCTGTACGCCAATACTGACAAACAGAATCGAGAGTGACTACCTTTATGGTGAACGATTTTGCGCCAAGAAATTAGGACTTCTTTTTGTCGTTATATGGCATATGTAAGTAAGCTGATATTTAATTTGAACCCCAGGGGCCAGACCTACCTAGGTAGTCACCGCCGAAGCGGGGTTGTAAGCTGCCCAGGTGCGATCTGTCGCTAACATCTACACCGACCCCTTGGGCAGGATTGCATATTGTGAAAAATGGGGCATATTTAACCCTAACCCTCTGTTTTGGTCTCCTCATAAACCATCTCAGAGCCTGGTTTAGTTACTTAGAAGATCTTCCTTTTGTATTAGATAGATTCAATCTCAACACTCATTCAGCCACTTCCACATACTCAGCTCATATATTTCTCCTTAGTTATAAGCCCAGTTTGCAAGAATCGGGTTTAATCTTCCCCTTATCTATCGAAACAAACTGAGCTATTCACTTCTTATTCTTTCAGAATACATCTTTTATTCCAAATAGTTATACTTACGCTCCATCAAAGCCCATAATAGAGCGCAAACCTAATAATCTTATGCTCTTAATAAAATATACCAATACCTACTCCTTTTCATTCTAGTATAGCATTTTGCAGTTCCAGAGCAAGGGAAAGAATATTTGGAAGTATCTAGATTCGGATAGCTCAGATGTGCTCTTTCTCAAATCTAAAGATTTTGATCTCGAGTTCTCCAAATTTACTTAGAATCTTAAAAAAGAGCACAAAAACACTATAACAGAGAACTATAAGCTACTCTTTATTCAGAAATAAGCTATTCTCTATAATTAGAAGATGAAATACTTTCAGCTTTATTAAAACAAGCAGTTATATGCTTACTAGAATGTATAGAGAATATAGAACTGGATTCAGAAAACAGTATTTCTGTTAATTCTCATTCCTTATATATATATTTATTCAGAAAAGAAGTCTCTCTTGATTTAATAAATGCTTAGAAATCTAAAGAAAGACTTCTATCCGTTCAAAGAAAGCATGAAACAAGTTATTCGCCTTCAGTACTGCTATCATCTTAAGCTAGCTACCAGACAAGGCACCGATTTCCAAAACTGATGCTAGCAGCACCAGAATCTTCTAAACCTAGCTTAAGTTTACAGCATTAACGAAATTAAGAAACTTCAGAGCTCTAATAACTTCCTTGCTGCTATTGAAGTTCACTTCCAGACAGAATAAGCTAAAATGCAACAATATCTCCTTGCTATAGCATCTAACAATGATCTGCCTATCAAGACTATTAAATAGCTTTAACAAAATCTCGCTTCAATCTACTAACTTCAGCCTGAGCAGAAAAAAAGCTTAATAGTATTCGCTATTATAAGCAGAAAGAACTCACAATTCAGCAACTCAGGCACAAAATCTGGAAAGAAACAAGATAAATCTTCCAGCTAGAGCAAAAAGAAAGATTATAAGTATCTCTATAAATTGTATTAAAAGAAGCATAAATAAAGCCTTATAAGCTACAGAAAGCTAAAATATACTTATACCGGAATCAGACTAGATTCAATCTTCAAAGCCTTATCTAACAAGCAAAGAAAGAAGATTCTCTCTAAGCTAGCTAGCAAAAACTATCAGAAGCTCTATTCAAATCTTATCAAAACTAAATAGCTTTCTCAAAGCTGAATAGAGAGAATCCTACAGAGAATAAAGAATAATAGAAACCTCTATCCAAATACTATTAAATGCTAGAATCTCTTAATCACAATATCAAAATGCTAGATCTAATATTCCTTAAGTTTGAAACAAAGTATTCTTAATTTCTCCAAATAAATGCTATCTTCAATTCTCAACTCTTTAACTAGACAGTATTGCTACAAGCAAGCATAGCAGTCTTCTCAATACTATTTCAAATATCTCATATTCTTTTCTAAAGTATAGTTCTAAATAACTGCAAAGCTATATATCTTATTAATAGCATCAATCTTCTAAAGCTAAATATCTTTTCTTTCTCAAGAAATGCGGAAGTTATGAAAGTAGAGAGCTCATTATTACTAATACGAAGATTCAGGAAACAATGCTTCAAAAATGCACTAAATAGAAAGCAAGAGAAATGCACTGAAAACCTAGTTCTCAACTATATAATAATTATAAATAGCTTTCATATTAATATAATTACTAAGGCTTTCTTATACGAGAAAGAGATCTGATATTATAGCAAAGATAGCATATTGCATTCAGAAATGCTTGAATAGAGTGCAGTGATTGCAAATTTATATAGAGAGTTTAACTTAGTTTTCTTCAAATATATTTCTTTTGCAAACTCTTCCTATTCTCAAGCTTCAGCTATACTGCTATACAGCTGAGCTAGCATTCTTGTATTCTCAACTCTAAAAAGAAACAAGTATTCTTATTCTTTATATAATAAGATGCTTGAAAGAAGTAATTCAGAGTATTTTTAGCATCTAAGATTGAAATATCTAAGTGCTAATGCTCTGAAGAAGCTTGTTTACTCAGTTTGTAGTATTAGAATCAATAGAACTAAACAAATTGATTATAAATACTATGCTTTAGAATGCATTACAAAGATTATTCAATGCATAAGATCTGAATACTACAGCCTTCGATTATTCTAGCACATTAGTTAGAATCTTCTTGATTATAATAAAGCGCAGAATAGCTCAAAATGAGCTCTTATACTCAAAGATGAGTATAGTAGCAAGTTATTTGCCTTTCCAATATCTAACAAGGCACAATCTACAGTATTTAATATGCTTAAGTTATTCGAGATTTGAATATAATGCTAATATCGCTTCTTCATCTGCAAAATCAAACAGAATACAGACTTCTCAGTTATAAGAAAGCTATATAAAATGATATATATATAATAATATGCTAATAACAGCATTGATCTGGAGATTATTCCACTGTATATGAAAGAGTCAAATAGCGCTGCTGAGCGAGCTGAGCATGAAATTCAGAAGCATATGCTAATCCTTCTATTATTAGCTAAACTACTGAAAAACCTATAGCCAGAGTATATGAAAGCAGCTATCTAGCTATTCAATATCTCTTCATTCATGCTTAAGCATTCCAAAATGCTAAATTTACTTCTGAATAGCTAGTTTAAGCAGTATTTTCATTAGTATACACTGGAAATAATCAGAACAGCAATCTCAAATCTACAGCTCAACTAAGCTAGAATCTATGCATATAAATGCTAAGCATACATTCTGCAAGAAAAATACAAACTTAGCTCTTATAAACAGAATATAAAAACAGAATTAAGAGCATATAAGAGCTATCTTATAAGATATATTACAAGCAATCTATACTATATATAGCTTTCAGCATTTGCAAGAGTTGCAATTATATACAATATTCTATTCAATAAAAGCTAATTCTATAATCCAAACAGCAATAAGATATCAAAAGTACTATTTTATACTCAGCTAGCATTAATCATTCCAGAAATTGAAAATAATAAGAAAATCATAGATACAATTATTATTAAAAGCATATAGAATCTAGTTCTCTAGCTTAATACTACAAATCAAAATCAAGAATCTCATCTGCTATTTAACAAGAATAATAGCTCATTCTCAGAGTTTCTCTCGGAAAGCATTCCGAGTTGGAACTCAGAAATAAGAGCATCTGAAACTAGCAATAAAGCGTTCTTGCAAAGCAATCCATTCTAGAGAAGAAGCTTAGGGAATAAGATGTAAGAACTTTCAATTTCTGAAAAATCTCTCGAGATATTGGAATGAATAGATTAGCTAGAAAGAAGCGCTGCTGCAAGCAGCAAGAATGTTTCAGTAACTAAACAAGCATCTTCAAGTACTGAATAATAAGCTATTAGTATATCTACTGCTTAGGATACAAGCTAGCCTGCAGCGCAAGAGTACAAGCCTAGTTAAGCTTCAACCAGATATTATCAAATAAGGAACAAGATCTATAAATCTCAATTCATATAGCATTCAAACAGAGCATGAAAACTAATTAATAAAGCTTGCCAATACCAAGAGTTATTCGCTACAGCTTTTATAACAAGCTAAACAGCTCTAATAAACCTTATAGCTACCTTTTTACCTAATCAGCTAAAAGAAGCAATCAGAACATGAAATAAGCATTTTTAAATCATACATAGTATAATCGCAGCTGCTATACTTAAAGCAAACTCTATATATAGAAGAGCTTTGCACTTGCAGCAAAAGCACTTTAATGCTTCTCAGCAAGTTACAGAGCTAGCAACAGCTAAAAAGAAGCATTATAAACAACTACCACCCATATCTAGAATCTGAAAAGAAGTACAAAACAATTCTTTTCATACTAAGTAATGGAAAATAATATAATTAGAAATCCAGGAACTAGTGAACAAAAGGATATAGCAGACTCTTGAGTATAAGAAAGCTAAAGAGAAGCTACTGCTACTTAAATGAGTATATAGATACAAACTTGATAAGAACAGTTACTTAATCTCATTCAAAGCTCGAATCTATATGTAAGAAAATCTGCAAAAAGCAAGCAATCTTCAAGATATATATGCAGCAATGCTAGCTGCATACTCCTTTTGCATACTTATATGTAATGAGCACTGCAGCAATCCGAGGATTCCTAAGTACATGAAGAGGTTTATGCTAACAAGAGCGGTATCAAAGTATCAAGTTCTTGAATACGGAACTGTACAAGTTCTAATAAGCGATGCAAGTGTTCACTGCCTTTGGGGCTACTCAGTATATAAAACTGAATACTTAGATTGACAACTGAAGAACTATCTGAAGGAAATCTATCTGACAGTAAGAAATGTAAACCTTTATATACCTAGTTCTTTAGTCCCTTGCTTGCTGGTGATCATTACTGATCATTCCGGATTACTACTGATCACTGAGCGCTGATGATCACTAGTGATCGTTCTATTATCTGATTAGTTGGCTTGTAATCCTAACCCTGGATTATGTAATCCTTGTGAATTGTCTGATGTTGAGTTATAATATCTGGTTCT